TAATGATTTTTTAATATGTTGTACATCCAAGTGTATACTTTAATTTTAAATGATAAAATTTTAGGGAATATCCTCACAGCATAGGTAAATGTTCGTCCGAACATTATTAGTCCGCTGAGAACAAGTTCGTAAGCTGGACTTTAAGCTAAAATTAACCTAAATATATATGTTTAGATTTTAATGATTTTTTAATATGTTGTACATTCAAGTGTATACTTCAAATTAAAATGATAAAATTTTGGGGAATATCGTCACAACATAGGTAAATGTTTGTCCGAACATTCTTAGTACGCTGAGCGCAAATTCGTTAGCTAGACTTTAGGGTAAAATTAACCTAAATATATATGTTTAGATTTTAATGATTTTTTAATATGTTGTACATTCAAGTGTAAACTTCAATTTAAAATGATAAAATTTCGGGGAATATCGTATCAACATAGGTAAATGTTCGTCCGAACATTCTTAGTACGCTGAGCGCTAATTCGTTAGCTGAACTTTAAGCTAAAATTAACCTAAATATATATGTCAAGATTTTAATGATTTTTTAATATGTTGTACATCCAAGTGTATACTTTAATTTAAAATGATAAAATTTTGGGGAATACCGTCACAACATAGGTAAATGTTCGTTCGAAAATTCTTAGTACGCTGAGCGCTAATTCGTTAGCTGGACTTTAAGCTAAAATTAACCTAAATATATATGTCTAGAATTGAATGATTTTTTAATATGTTGTACATTCAAGTGTATACTTCAAAGTAAAATGATAAAATTTTGGGGAATATCGTCACAACATAGGTAAATGTTCGTCCGAACATTCTTAGTACGCTGAGCGCTAATTCGTTAGCTGGACTTTAAGCTAAAATTAACCTAAATATATATGTCTAGACTTGAATGATTTTTTAATATGTTGTACATTCAAGTGTATACTTTAATTTAAAATGATAAAATTTTGGGGAATACTGTCACAACATAGGTAAATGTTCGTCCGAACATTCTTAGTACGCTGAGCGCTAATTCGTTAGCTGGACTTTAAGCTAAAATTAACCTAAATATATATGTCTAGAATTGAATGATTTTTTTATATGTTGTACATTCAAGTGTATACTTCAAATTAAAATGATAAAATTTTGGGGAATATCGTCACAACATAGGTAAATGTTCGTCCGAACATTATTAGTACGCTGAGCGCTAATTCGTTAGCTGGACTTTAAGCTAAAATTAACCTAAATATATATGTCTAGATTTTAATGATTTTTAAATATGTTGTACATTCAATTGTATACTTTAATTTAAAATGATAAAATTTTGGGGAATACAATCACAACATAGGTAAATGTTTGTCCGAACATTCTTAGTACGCTGAGCGCTAATTCGTTAGCTGGACTTTAAGCTTAAATTAACCTAAATATTTATGTCTAGAATTGAATGATTTTTTAATATGTTGTACATTCAAGTGTATACTTTAATTTAAAATGATAAAATTTTGGGGAATACCGTCACAACATAGGTAAATGTTTGTCCGAACATTCTTAGTACGCTGAGCGCCAATTCGTTAGCTGGATTTTAAGCTAAAATTAACCTAAATATATATGTTTAGATTTTAATGATTTTTTAATATGTTGTACATCCAAGTGTATACTTTAATTTTAAATGATAAAATTTTGGGGAATATCCTCACAACATAGGTAAATGTTCGTCCGAACATTATTAGTACGCTGAGAACAAGTTCGTTAGCTGGACTTTAAGCAAAAATTAACCTAAATATATATGTTTAGATTTTAATAATTTTGTAATATGTTGTACATTCAAGTGTATACTTCAAATTAAAATGATAAAAGTTTGGGGAATATCGTCACAACATAGGTAAATGTTTTTCCGAACATTCTTAGTACGCTGAGCGCAAATTCGTTAGCTAGACTTTAGGCTAAAATTAACCTACATATATATGTTTAGATTTTAATGATTTTTTAATATGTTGTACATACAAATATATACTTCAATTTAAAATGATAAAAGTTTGGGGAATATCGTCACAACATAGGTAAATGTTCGTCCGAACATTATAAGTACGCTGAGAACAAGTTCGTTAGCTGCAATTTAAGCTAAAATTAACCTAAATATATATGTTTAGATTATAATGATTTTTTAATATGTGGTACATTCAAGTGTATACTTTAATTTAAAATGATAAAATCTTGGGGAATATCGTCACAACATAGGTAAATGTTTGTCCGAACTTTTTTATTACGCTGAGTGCTAATTCGTTAGCTGGACTTCAGGCTGAAATTAACTTAAATATATTATATATGGTTTTTAATAATTCTTTAACATGTATTTAAAGCAATAATATTTGGTCGAATATTGTTTCAACATAGTTTCAAGTACGTCAAAACACTCCTTGTATGCTGAGAACATATATAGGCTCTATATATATATATGTGTGTTTAATATATATGTTAAAATTTATATGTTTCGATTTATGTATACTTTTTGGTGCGTATATGTGCTATATTACATATGCACAGTTATTAGTTTTAGTTCGGAAAACTATTAATTATTATCCATAGAAGGTAAATTCAAATGCGAGGTCTTTTTTTTGTGCATCGACTGTACTGCTCAAACCTAGGCGGTATCTGATTGGTCGAGAGGGCGAAGAGGGGAAATCGTTGTGGGAGGGGGGGAAATGTAGGGTCGACCAACGATATAAACAACTCATGGATCGCTGGCTCAGTGTTGGCCGCGCGGTCGAGCTTCCCCCACCATCTACTGGCAGAAGCCGACGCAGCCCATACATTCGCCATTATAAAACACACTTTTTATTTGCTGCTCTGTTGAAATTTATAGGGATAGAATATTGCTAACGCTTGTCAAACTCTTTTTACTAGTTAAACCTTTTATGTCTGTTTTGTTTCTTGCAGAAAATAGCCCATCTGAATTCTTTAAAACTATAAATTCACTAAACCCGTTTTGTAGATGTTTTTAGACAACTGATATTGCTTGTTCCAAATTGTACATGGTAAAATAATAAGTGATTACAAAGGAGAAATAGAAAGTACAATATTTGTAATTGTAATTCTATTTTATTAATCGAAATATAGTACATAAACATTTAGAATAATTTTGCCAAGTTTTTGCCGCAGTGGTAACGTTATGTTTGACGTAAACGCGATATTTTTTCATTCAATGGTTAATGACAATGTATCTTACAAAATAGGTCATAAAAAAGTATGCCTATCACGTTAATGTCAAGCATAGATTTGCGGTAAAAACTGGACAAATGTAGTAGGGTTTTTAAGAGTTCAAATGTGTTATTTTCTGCAAGAAAAGAAGAGGACATAAAGTTTAGAACAGTAAAAAGTGTTTGGCATGCATTAGCAATATTTTATATCTATATATTTAAACAGAGCAGCAACTTAAAAAGGTGCGTTTTACAATGGTGAGTGTATGGGCTGCGTCGGCTACTGCCAGTAGAAGGTGGGGGGAGCTAGACCGAAAACAGCGCCCGCAGTGCTACTGAGAGCGCAATCCAGTAGTTTTTACATCGTTGGGGTCGACAGCTGGCGATAGCTGTCTTCACGATCGTACCGAACAGAACTAACAATAGAATTGGCTTCAGATGTTCCATGAGTATGAGAAATCTACTAAGAGAGCGTGTTTTATCATAGAAAAAAATAATTATTTTTTTTCTACGGTTTTATCTTTGGCCATAGATGAACCAATATAATACTTCATCCATGCTATGGTCTTAATCTATGGTTTCACCGTACTATGTTTTATCTATGGTTTCACTGTACTGAACACCGCGAACAAAAAAGGTGGCCGTGAGTCAATTTGGTACTTCTCAGTAATTTTAGGGTTACATGATACTATGTCATTTTGTTTCTGTGCCTGTATTTAAGTCTTGTCGTCATGTCAGTCATCATAGTCATACGTTCATACTCGAGTTGTGCCAAGCAGTTACTTGGGCGAAACAGCTGCAGCTAGTTCCAAGGTCGCCGTGGAACTCGTTCCAAAAGCAGTTCCAGCTGCAGCTGGTTTTGCCCGCTGCAGCTGGTTTTCCCGCTGCAGCGGGCTATGGCTGTAGTAAACGAGGCAAAAGGGCGGATGAATAACTCAGTTTATTGCCATAATAATTTGAGACGGATTAGTTTAAGCTGTTCTTGAATTAGAATATTGATTGAAATAATGCAAAATAGCAGCTGAAAAGAAATCAATATCGTGTTTTGGAAATGTTATACTAGTAATTAATTATTTTAGTTTGTCTATCTAGGGTCTAAAAATAATACGTGACAAGGCCGGTGTAAATTATTTTAGAGGTTCTTCATATTATGCATTTATTCTTATTATACATTTTTTTATTGTTAAAATAATATTATTCAAACACCACTTACACTAATTCTTAATATAAAATTCTAAAGTTAATAGCGAAAAAATCCTGAATTAAGTTAAACACAAACAATTATTACGGTACTGATTACTGAGGAAGAGATAATTAAATTTGTATATATTATGAGCACGACTTAACTGGGACTGATGTACTTTTATTTAATCCTGCCTAAAAAAATAGAAAATGATTCATTTCTTTTAAGGCATGTCAACCATATCCGCTAATCAAACCTTTGTTTACAATAGACCAAATAAGTCAAAACGCATCAGCTGCACAGGCTAGAACTTAATGTTTAGTGAGAGTATTAATAAACCAGCTGCAGCTGTTTTGTTGTAACTGTATGTGTTTACAAATCCAGTTACTCCGGAACTTATCTTTAAAAATTTACAAAAAGGCTGCAGCTGTTTGTGCGGAACTACATTCAAATCGTTCCACCGAGCTGCAGCTGAAAAAGTAGTTCCAGTGGAACTGGAACTGGATTGTGGTTCCGCTTGGAACGGTGGAACGAGTTCCACTCTCGGAACGGTGGATAAATGTAGTTCCAGCTGCAGCGACACATCTCTAGTTCATACGTTTGTTGTATAGTTTGTATGGTTGGTTTTGGTTATGCCATTTTAGTATGAGATGAGCTGTCTGCACTGCAGAGCAGAAGCAGTGTTGTTAATACTTTTACTCCTAGGCTAGTGGAATTTCTGTGCTAAACTGATGTTCACTTATCTGTCTCGCGATTTATACACCTGATAGGATTTCATTTATGTTCACTAAAAAATTTTGGCTCATTACATTGTTAAGATTTATTCATTTGATGGATAATGTTTAGGCCTAGGTAGTTAAAAATTTAAACCTCAGTAGGCCCTAGTCCTATTGAGTCTCTAAGAGTGAGTGTAGGTCCTTTACCTTCAACAATGGGAACTCTTGACAAACTTGTCAAAGCTTTGGAAGCTCTTAAAATAAGTAAAGAACCTCCATCAACTATAGAAGATGAAACACTTGTAAGGTAAGTCTTAACAGCAAGGAAAACCCTACTGTAAGGCCTTTAACATTACCAGAGAACACATTTGAAAGATGTGGGTTTGTATTTTATTTTGTTGGGATGAGATAAAACTCAGGAATTGTTACTGTCAAACGTTGACCTTTTGTCAGATAGCATCATTCATCAGGAGCCATAGCCTCCACTAAAACAAGGCCGCAGTGATACGAAATAAGTTATAAACAAATAGATAGATGAATAGCTTATTACAGTAGAACCTTGATAACAAGACTCTCATAGTTATTTTTAAATGAGACTTGTTATCAAGCTAGACTCGTTATTGAGGTTTGCAATAACATGTGATTTGGGGTAAAATAAATTCAAGGGGATTTGAAAATGACAAGGATGACTTATATAGGCTTACCTCCGTCAGTAGTCCAAAATTGTGTCTTTTTCAACTAATGTTGTTCAAAGCTTACATGTTTCGTTGCACTGCAACATCGTCAGAGCTTTTTGTCAAAAACATCAAATGATTTATACATAAAACAAAACACGGAACACGAAACATTTAAACACGTAATAACACGATAGCGCTATCGACACGGCACGGCAGCGGTTGTAGGTAGACTGAACACGGGATAAGTAACTTCGTCCCGTCCTTCTATAATAATATGACAAGGATGACTTGTTAATAGAGGGCCTTCTTATCAAGGTTCCACTGTATAAACAATGATATCGTCATTCTGGATACAGTTGTTGCACTAATTTATATTGGAGCATATGAGCAATGTTTATGTTTACATGTTTGTTATTTCCATTTCTAAAAGCGTCTCATTTTTCTGGTCCGGACCCGATAAGAACCTTTTCTGCAAAGAAGTGGGGGATTATGGAAGAGCCCCTCACGTCGATTTAAGAAAAGTTTTTTGGTTAGGCTATAATCATATAAATAACAATTAAAAATAGTTGAGGGCAATAAATTAAACTTCTAGGTAATTTAGGCCTAACTTTCAATAAAATATTTATCTTAACACGTTCGCTACTGAGCGTCGCACCGCGGTCATTGCCATAGACCGAGGTATACATTTGAATCTTACACATAGACCAGCTGTCACTTGGTTAACAGTGCACTACACATAGACCACAGGCGAAAACCTGTAAAACAGTGATCATTTACATTGTAATACGCTGCAATCGTGTTTATAAATAATTTATTCTTTTTTTTTTTCATAACCTTTGGCAATGTCACATATTTGCGACGCCCGGTCTTCAGCGAAGACAATAGTGAAAATTATCATAGTTTTCTTGAAATAGCCTAAACGCCACATATATGCAACAGTTCATTTTTGTTTGTGTTTTGAAGTGAAAGTAAGTAAAAAAACAGATTATTCAAGAACAGATTAGCCTATAACTGAGCAAATATAAAAGCAACAGGATAATGTTGGTATAGGCCTAATGTTGGTACAGTAGGATTGGATACATACTGCATACCTACATACAGTGATACAGAAAAGTAAAGACCAGTTTTTCCAACTATCATATGACGTCACCAATCATAATATCCACAGACCAAGCGACACAGTTGTGCGTCAGACATCTCTGTAGACCACTGAAGGGAATTCAGTGCCTTCTAATAGACTGTTACAAAGATATAAGCATTTTAATAACATTAGAACCCCGACGCAAATATGCGACGGCAGTCCATTTTAATGTGACTAGCCCTTGCATATGCGACGTCGGTCTATGGGTAGAAACCAGCCGTCGTATATGTGTGTCGCTGGTCCATGTAAATGAAAAATGTTGTAGCCTACTATTGCAGTAGCGAACATGTTAAAATAATGTTTTCTAAGCATAAACAATCTCTAAACCCCGTGTGCAATTTTGTTACAGAAGGAAGAAGAAAGTAGAATTATGCAATTTTGTAGCAGATACCATGTGTTCTCCAAATGTCAAAGGGGCTGCAAACTTTCCGTCGTTACTGTCATTCTCCATGGAGACGCTGTTGCAACTCTGTGATGATTCAGATTCTAACATTCGTTTGGTGGCTGATGAAAGCCTCAATAGGATCATCAGGGTGAGTAAACTTTGCTGTTAAATCATCACCAATAATATCTGTACTAAAAGGTGATAGAAGTAGCATAATATTATAGATTTAACAAAGTTGAGCTTCCATTGTACCAATTGAATTTTTACATTGTATGAGATTGTATTTTGGACAACCTTGGATTTATCGGGGCAATGATTGATAACTTAGCCCATAGGCCTACAGTAAATTCACTTCTAATAGGTACAACATTTGTTGTGTCCTCAAATAGGCCTTGTTACTGGTGTTGTCACACAATATTAATTTATAGACCTCAAACTCATTTGTAAAATTGTCTTGATATTTGTCTCACTCAATGAACCTTACTCAAAATAAAAGTACCAGGGAACCGAGCATTGCTCGGTGGTCTTTAATTTTTGTAGGAGGTTAACAAAATAACGCATACATTTTTATGATTTCAAAATGATTTTGGTTTTCTTTCAAACAATAATATTATTATAAAATACTGTCTAAAATATGTAATAAAACAAATGTTATGAAACATTTGATCATACTGTGTTGGTGCTGTCTGGATTTAATAGTTCACAATTTTCTCATCTCCTAAGTCCCCAAAAAAAATATTTTCAATCAATTCGCATTAATAATTTCTGAGTCATTAAAAAAATACTAAAATAAACCATAAGAAATCAATGTGACGTTCGCCTGTGCTATGCAAAAGAAACATTTAAAAGTAATTAGTGTATCTAAGAAATGTGTTTTAGATGCACCAGAAAAAGCTTTTCACAAAAATAAGGGTTTAGGCTATATGTTGTTAAATAACGAGTAGTTCAAATTTCCTGGTGTAACAAGAGAGTAGATGTTACGGTTGAAGAAGTTCTCGCTTAGTTTAACTTGGGTAGTCATGTTTGTTTAGGTACTTAACTTTGGTAATTATACAGGTTGCGGAAAACCGATCTATTTTTTTTTTGCAGCGCACTGTTCAGCGACAATTCGTCTGAGAGTGGTGGAGTTAGGCTTGTTGGAAAGTCTACACGATGCCATTATCTTAGATCATAGAGCATTGGTCACCTGAGCAACGTTGGTTTGTTATCAAGTTGAATTAAAAAGTAATGATTCAGTCATTGCAACTCAGCGGCAGTTCCGTGCATTCTTTTAATCTGGACAACCAAATTCTGTCAAGTAGCACTATCATGTGGGTGGGTTAATAACTTTAGAACAATGGCTTCTGCGTTCAAAAAGAAGTTGACAGGCCGTCCAAAGTCAGATCGGACTCAAGACAACTAACTAGAGCTCGGGCTGCTGTGGAAAACAGTCCTCGTAGGCCCGCCTGAAAACAAACATCTGCTCTGAACATGGCTGACCACTCGGTTACACTAACTTTGAGGTCCGATCTTAATTCCTATCCATACAGATAATCGGGACGGAACCTCTCCAAGTCTCCATGTCAACTTAGTTTACAGAATGCATGGAAATGCCGCTGAGTTGCAATGACTGAATCATTACTATTTTAAAATGACTCGATAAAAATTGCACGTTGCTAGGTGACCAATGCTCTATGACTACAAATAATGGCATCGTGTAGAATCGCCAACGAGCCTACCCCCACCACCCTCAGACCTGTCTCTAAACAATGCGCTGCAGAAAATAGATCATTTTTTCATCCTGTATATAAATGGATTTAATTCTTATAACTCTTATTAGATAGAAAATTAATACAAAAGGTCATGTTAGCCTGTAGTGAAGTCAGGGCTTCAGTGGGTTCATTGTAGTTAATAAAACACGAAATTATGTTGAGCAATGCCGATGGAGAACGGCTAGTGAATAATTTAAATCAATTGTCAACTATCAACTATAAAATAAGTGATATAAAGATTTGTGACTTTTCTCTGGGTCTCCCCAAAGCAGAATGGTTCCTACGTGTCTGCAACGGCCTGTGAAAACCTCAAAATGTGTCCGCAAGCGCTAAAACTAAAAAGCTAAATAATGACTTATATACCGGTATAGGCCTATATATATATATATATATATATTCACTCTTTAGGGCTACTAGTAATATAGTTAAATAAAATAAGTAAATTTCAATAACTTGTATAGCCTACTTTTAAAACAAAAAACTAAAAAACTATTAAGGGGTAGGCATAATCAGGTTATTTAAATTTACTTTTTTTTAAATACGTATATATATATATACACATACCTTAACAAGTGTTAACAAGGTCTTCAGAAGTAAAACTTTAAATGTACTATAGTTTCTTTATATAAACACACTAGGGATGGACGGGATTGAAATTTTAGTTCGGGACGGGACGGGATTTTTATTTCCTTCCCGATTTTCGGGACGGGATGGGACAGGATTTTTTTCTGTGCATAAAAAAAGTACTGTATTGCAGTTACCAAAAAAGACATACGAAATCAATTTTTACCATTTGTGGCACTGATCTATAAAAACAAAAAAATGGGTAACAATTTACAAGTACCTATAGAAACTTGTGACTCGCGGGTCACGGGGTGATCGTCTGTAGAACTCACGGTCACGGCGCGATCGTCGTCATGACTCGCGGTCACGGTGCGATCGTCGGTATGACTCCGCGGTCAAGGGGTTATCGTCGGTATGACTCCACGGTCACGGCGCGATCGTCGGTATGACTCCGCGGTCACGGGGTTATCGTCGGTATGACTCCGCGGTCACGGGGTTATCGTCGGTATGACTCCGCGGTCACGGGGTTATCGTCGGTATGACTCCGCGGTCACGGGGTTATCGTCGGTATGACTCCACGGTCACGGTGCGATCGTCGTCATGACTCGCGGTCACGGCGCGATCGTCGGTATGACTCGCGGTCACGGCTCGATCGTTAGCATGACTCCGCCATCACGGCATGATCGCCAGTATGACTCCGCGGTCACGGCGCGATCGTCGGTAGGACTCTGCGGTCACGGCGCGATCGTCGGTATGACTCGCGGTCACGGCTCGATCGTCAGCATGACTCCGCCATCACGGCATGATCGTCAGTATGACTCCGCGGTCACGGCGCGATCGTCGGTAGGACTCTGCGGTCACGGCGCGATCGTCGGTAGGACTCCGCGGTCACGGCGCGATCGTCGGTATGACTCGCGGTCACGGCGCGATCGTCGGTAGGACTCCGTGGTCACGTTGTGATCGTCGGTATGACTCGCCATCATGGCATGATCGTCAGAATGACTCCGCGGTAACGGCGCGATCGTCGGTAGGACTCCGCGGTCGTCGGTATGACTCGTGGTCACGGCGTGATCGTCGGTATGACTCGTGGTCACAGCGTGATCGTCGGTAGGACTTCGCGGTCACGGCGCGATCGTCGTTATGACTCCGCGGTCAGGCGTGACTGTCGGTATGACTCCGCAGTCACAGCCCGATCGTCGTTATGACTCGCGGTCACGGTGCGATCGTCGGTCCAATAATCGCGGCCACGGCGCGATCGTCGTTATGACTCCGTAAATGTGTCCGCAGGCCCGCGTTTCTTGGCGTTTCGTGTCCGCGACAATGTCGCAGCGTCGCTCGTTGTTCTGCTTTGGGGCTGGGTCTAATTGGCAACCTTCTGATGAGAATCCGAGCACTATGGTTACTCAGCAGCCCCACAACAAACAACCAAACAAAAATACGTATGTTGTATGTTGTTTCACAGGCTATGATGGACAACAACATAGTCAAGGTGCATGTTGAGCTACACAAGGAGATTAAGAAGAATGGAAGTGTTCGCTCCTTGCGTGCTGCACTTTGGAGATTTGCTCAGCTGGCTCATATGATAAGGTGAATCATTGTGATTTTGTTTGCAATGGATTACAAATACCCGTCTAGTGGTGAATCTGGTAATGTGATTGCAGTAGTGGATGGTTTTATTGCAATTGCAGTAAAAATAGTTTTGTTTTTTTGTCATTACTAAGATAAAAAATTGTTTAACTTCTATCAAAACATTTCCTTTTATATTCACCAATAAATTATATTCCGATTAATTTTATTTTGGTCAAATGAAGATGCATTGATTTTTACAAAGCATAAGGGAACACATAACACACTAACATTTTACATGTAGGCCTTCACTAAATACTAGGCCTAAGAAGACTGAAACGGGTGGCGTCGTCCTGTAATCCAGCTACTTGGAGGTCACGAATTGTGGATATTTATAGGCATGCACTGTGGATGGGATACTCCCTGGTGTGGATTAACGTCCGCACGGGTGAGTACTACGACTATCCGCAGTACTATCCTGATAATTAGACCAATTCGTATATACCAAAGGCAAAAATGTGGTTCGGATTCCACTATAAACTGTAGGTCCCTTAGTTGTCATTAGCTGTATGGGCAATTAATTAACAGCTGTTTCTATGGAATATGTCGGCCTTAGTCACTAACAAGACTACAAGATCGCGCCACTCATCCTACACTCATCTCCATTCATACTTGGCTTTAAATACCTACTTTGTATGGTCGCCATTTCACTAAAAAGTATAAAAAAAGTATTTTTAGTCTGGGCCAGTTAATGCATTTTAACTTTTGCTCTGTTTTTTTTTTACTTAATTTTTATAATTTAAATCATTTTGTCCCACATAGATGGAAGTTAAGTTGTCATTCAATATACCTTTACTATTTTCTAAAACATTCTTGAATGAATCAGTGTAATATTTTCTCAAGACTTTCATTCTTGTTTACTTTTTTTACATTTCTTAATGAAAACTATGTCGATTATGAGACGGTTAACAAAATAATTATTTATTTTGAAACTGCACTAAAGCATTGTTTGACAATAGTTATATAAAAATCACATTACAATTGTACCATCCAAGAATTATATTTTAGGTTGTGAATTAATTAGTTACTAAGAGGTGTTTATTAAGGGTGTTCGTTGCATTCATAACTTGTAATAATATTCACCATTTAGAATAATACAGGGTGTCCACAAAGTAATGCATCCCTGTAACCACAAATTTGGACGCAGAACACTGATAATAATTTTTTTGTTAAGAACTCCAAGTTTTGTTTTAGAAAAATTTTTGTTTATTGTGAAGCAGTTGGTGGCACTGTTTGTTATTACGTATTGTTAACAAATTTACACGTGTTTTTACGCAGAAGCGATGGCGACGCTTCAGCAGAAAGCACAATGTATAGTTTGGCTGGTTGAAAGTCGTTCAATTATTACTGTTCAACGTTATTTTCGCCATTTGTTTGGTGGCAGTGCACCGCTACCATTTGTCGTTGGTTAAAGAGATTTAAAGAAACAAGAAATGTTCAAAAGAAAACGGAAGGCCTTGGGTTTCCGAAGACACTGTTGAAGAAATTCACATCTTGTGTTTACGTAATTTGTGAGTTTGTTTTCGGGATACGTTAAAAACATTGTTTACTTTGAGAAAATCAGGGATGTCGTCCACCTAAGGCAGAGAGTGATCCAGGCTGTTGGGTCTGTGACTCCGGACATTAATGTTGTCAAAAGTGTGGGAAGAGATCGAATTTCAATTTGATCTATGCCGAGCAAGGAACGGAGCTCTCATCAAACTTTTCTTATGTGCAGAAATCTTGAGAAAATTCTCTGTCTTGAGATGTATTTGTATATAATGTAAGTATAACCATGAATAAAAAAATATTTGACTTTAAAATGGGAGCATTACTTTGTGGACACCCGGTACTTGTAACATTTAACCTTTTACTGACTCTATCTTTTATACTATATAAATAAAGTTTTTGACAAATGTTAGCTAGTAAACAAATTTTTTTAGCATAGAGTTTTTGTTTAGTGAAGCAATGTCCAATAAAGTGGCCTGACTGCAAAACTCAGAAGAAAGTAATATATTTCAGCAGTTGTGATGGAACTTAGTTGTCCTGTTCCAGTTAACAGCGGCTTCACAATTCATCAGTGGAGGAGATTACGTTCTAGATCTTCATGTCTTATAGTTGTCATGTTTTCTACATCTTCTATAAGCGTTCAGAATTTCACCTTTTAAAAATATCTGTCTAATCATTTTTCCGATCTAATATCTAATAACTAGGTACCAGCACAGTATCCAAACACCCAAAATGAAATATTTGTTTATCACTTACAGGCCCCAAAAAGGCAAGGCCTATATCCAGAACCTAGTGCCTAGCCTGATAGAGATTGCCAAACGTAGAGAGGAACCTGTGCTAGAGACTCTAGCTGCATCCCTGCCTAGAATACTGTCTGCTCTGGGCAACTTCACAACGGATAACAACATCAGGGTTAGTACAACATTACAGCATAGACCAACCAACACAAGTAGACTACTCATCCCATTTTAAATTTTGAAGCTTGTTTGTTCTTGTTTTGTCTAGTTCATGTACGTCGACACTGATTAGTGATTGCTAGTGTAGACAACATTTTGTTTCTAGTATTTTAGGGTTATTTTTATGATTTGTGCTCTACTGTTTGGTTATATAACTAGAAGACCAGTTATTGTTTATGATTAAACGGTTTTATTTGATTTTATTTGTTTTTTTTTAGTCATACAAAAGAAGTTAGTTAGAATCATATCTTGTGAACCCCTACAGGAACACTGTAAACCCCGGTTCATTTAGCTACAAATTCCAACAGTAATTAACATTTATGTATTTGATTTTGTATCATACATTCTAAAAAAATCCCAACCTTATCAAACAAAATTCTCATGTTCATAATACAAGGAATAAAAACATTGCTACCATAGATTTTGTTAACTGTCTAAAACTCAAGCCATATTGTAATCTCACTAAAAATATACAACAAGCTAATACATTTGATATCAAAATATTCTGAAAATACTTTTAAATCTAAACGAGGTGTTAGCCCGTCCTACGTACGGAAATTCAGTAGTCAGTTAAAACCGTGTACAATTCAGATCAGCTAGTTTACACATATAAAGACAAAGTTTCTTGCAGTTTTAATGTGAAAAATCATCTTGTAAACAAATGTTGTGTGACCAAATATGATTTTATTCCATCATAGGCTTATACGATATGCATTTTAAATCCGATAATTTTACAATAAAACAGCAATTCTCCAATTTTTACGGTGTGAAAAGCGTTGAAGTGAGATTTGCAGCCGATTCGCACAGACGCAGACTGATTAAGTAGCCTACAGTAGAGAGAGTTAATAGTCAATTGGGAAGTGTATAGACCTAGTCAACGATACCACCTTCCATAGCATACCTGCCTCTTCCATAATTATTATAGCCACAATACAACTACTATACACAATTTCCAGTAGGTCTGAATAGAAACGACCTAAAATAAAACAATAATATCCAATAAAATTCATAGTACACATAATTTAACTTTGGTGTCCTAACATCAAAACTAATCGTCACACCTATCCTTTATATCAATTTCACTGCATTAATTGCTGAATAAATAAGCGTAAATAAAAAAAAGTAAAAACAATAACAGTTTGTTTTGAAACAGCTGTTTGGTTCAAATAACATTCATTTGAAAAAAAGAACTGGTCACATGTAGCAGGAATATAAAAAGTAAACATGCTAGTAAAGCTAATGACGTAATTGTCAATGTTTATTATCCATACTGTTATCAGTTCTATCCTTGATAATTACCCACCCTCATTGAATAAATGTACATCGTAATTTCCCATATCAGTTAATTTAAACTACAATATATTCATAGCTGAAATAAAAGTGATATTTTCACGTTTGATTACGTCACAACTGAACACGATTTCATAAAAGGGTGGTTTGTCCAATGGGGTTTGTCTGAGGTTGTCTAATTGCAGTATCCTAGGTCAATGTTGACGTTGTGTTCAATCTATGTCATCCATCTGTTTATCTTTGTATAAAACCCGGCTGAGGTTATGGTGGTAATTTAAAAATCGTGATTCCTGATTATTCTTGATCTTCTTTTTATGACATCAATATTTCCAGGCCTAATCCAAACAAAGTTAACATTAATTGTAAACAAAAAGCTACCATGAAGAATTAAAACAATATGTAAACATTGTTATTTTTCTATTCCTTCCTTGAAAAGTGGAGTAGTAAAATAATTTGCATTTATCCTTTTTTATTAAGACTCGTGTACAGAGCCTCGATTTGTACTGTGGTTTAATTAATTTTGGTCTAAACTATTTTAAACTGTGGTCTAATTATCTCTACTAATCTTACTTATTTCCTATAATCAATGACAAAATAAGAGTAAATAAAATAACCTCATTGTTCCATAGTTTATATTTAACCAGCTGTTAGTTAAAACAAATAATTATATTGCTCTAAAACAAATCGAAGATTACAAAGATTGCTTTAAAAAATAATTTGAACATCCTAGTATTTTACTATGTATAATTTAATTAATCTGTCATCCTCTTACAGAAGAATTGAACGTATCAATGATTAGCATTACACATAATATAAATAAGTCAACCCTAAGTATGTCTTTACATTTTTATCCAAATGCTGAATTTGTGACACAAAAGCTGAATGTTTACAGCTGTTATGTTAAGCAAATTATTTTATGCCAAAAGCTAGTTTAGAATCTTAGCGTCGGCTGCTAGACTTTTTAAAAATTTAAACTTAATTTCTAAAAAACTGGGACCCTTAACTAAAATTATGGCTTCGACATTCCCTAGTTCTCAAAATTATCTTTCTTTCAACACAAAAATCATGAAAATCCGTCGAGTGGTTGATTCAGAATCGTGAAATAAAAAAACACTGTTTCGTTTTAATATTATAGATTCTACAAATAGCTTTTGAACAACCCTTTTTATTCTTTAAAAGATTCTTTTGAAATGCCTTTTATTAATTTCTAAGTAGAGTTAGTAAATTTACCAAATTACTGTTGGATTTACTTGGTTATGGGGTTTAATAACTTCTATTATTCAAAATGCCTTGAATTTTTCTTAAAAATAAGATTATTTGGTTGTAATATTTAAAATATGTAATGCACCATGCCTCTTTGTGTGTAGTTAGCTATATTGTATTCATTAAATGACTATGCTAATTTTAGCAGTTTTATGACATTGTCAATTAACAAGACAATAAACACATTTCATTTAATTTCATAAACAAGGTTTTAATTACAATACAATACAATACAATATTCTTTATTGTTAATTCATTAAGAATTACAATAGTGTCAATACAATAGTGAATTGTACATGTTAATTTCCATAATTTTCATAAAATTCCTTTATTGAGTAGAAGGGTCTTGCGATTAGCCACTTCTTCAACTCCTGGTGTAGCTTGTTGCCAGTCAGGTCTCTCAGGTAGTCAGGTAGATGGTTCCTCAGCTTGCAGCCGGTGTAGGAAGGTTTTTTCTCCCAAAGAGTTGTTCGGTGAACTGGTAGTTCAAATTTGGAGCCATGACGGGTGTTGTAGTGGTGCAGGTCTTGGTTTCTTGGGGGGTTTATTTCATTCACATACTTTATGGTTTCAAGTATGTAGAGAGACACCACTGTGAGGATTCCTAGGTTTGCGAATGCTAATCTGCAAGTCTGTGGTGGGACAAGGTTGGCGAGGGCTCTTATGGCTTTCTTTTGAAGGACAAGAATTCAATTCATATTTTTTGTTGAAGTTCCTCCCCACACTGTCAAGCCATATCTAAGATGCGACTCTACCAGTGCGAAGTAAGCTGTTTTGGCCACAGAGAGTCCGCCTATGTAGTTTATTCTTCTGACGACATATATTCCAGTACTGATTTTTTTGCTTAGGTGGTTGATGTGCTCTTTCCATGTTAGTTTGTTATCAAGGATAACACCGAGAAATTTTGTGTGGTTTTCTATTGTTACATCCTCTAATTGAGGGACTATGTCTTTTTTCTTACTGAAATTCAGAGTTGTAGTTTTTGTGGGGTTTATTGCTAAGTGATTGTGTGGTTGTTCTTTGAGTATAGGATAGCTTTATTTAAGATCGATTTTGAATTAAGGTCAAGGCTTTGGGCTGTGTTGTCCTTGATCAAAATGGTTGTGTCATCTGCATACATGATTGCAACAGCATTTTCACTCTCAATTTGTTTGGGGAAGTCATTAGTCAATAAGATGAATAGAATCGGGCCTAATACAGAGCCTTGTGGAACTCCTCTCGTCAGCTTGCTTTTTGAAGATTTGAAACTTTCTGTGACTTCATTTGATGAGTTTTTCAGTTCCGCGTCTTGTAAACGTCCCGTTAGGTAGCTTTTGAACCTTTCTAGCGCAGAGTTTCTTATACCGAGTCTTTCGAGTTTCTTGCATATCATATAATTGACTGGAATAACAAGAAACAAATTGTAAACAAAACACAACCTTTACAGAACTAACAATCACATTGGCTTCAGCCTTCAGCTGTTCCATAAGGATGAAAAATCTACTAAGGGAGTGTGTTTTATAATGGTTTTATCTATGATTACAGTCTCTACACAAGTGTTAGATCTATTAACACCTGACTGAAAACAGGAAAAAATAATAGTAGGCTATGAACTGGTGACATACCAGATTTTTTTTCAAAGTAGAATAATACTGTATAAAGTACCTTAATTTAATTGTGGCCATTAAATTACTAGACTGGCTTTCTACTAGACAAAATATGTGTATCTGGAGGACAAACACTATATAACTGAGTTACCTGACATCAAACCTCCACATTTAAATTTTTTGGCCTTGAGACTTATTTGTCTTTTGGAAAAACGAGCCTTGCCATGGTGTATCCACACCTTTATATCTTTGAACTAATTTAAAATTCCATCTGAAACAGTGAAATATTGTAACTATTGTGTACATTGTAAAGATTTTGTATTTCTTGGGCCAGGAGAAATACAACAGAGTGTTTCCCTTTCAGGTTAGGTTGCTATCTCAACAACAATGCTTTTAGTTGGTACATTGGCAAATTCCTTCTTGGTTTTGGGATGTCATAAAAATAGATAATGGGTGATGTTACAGCACCCCTGCCAGAATTATTGGGAATGAGTGGCTTAATCTCAGGTGGTGAATTAATTATAGTGAAAACTTTAATTGACATTACTTAACATTAAAACCCATAAAAGGGTAATAGAAGATCAAACGAATTTTCTGTGTAGTAACTTCTGGTTTTCTGTGTCCACTGATTTAGATTATCTGAGTAATACCTTCTCTATTGAACTTACGTTATAATTATTTTAAACTAAACAATAAATTTGAATAACAACTAACCTATATTCATTGTGTTGTACAGGATCTTTTGAAGAGTTTGTTGGTCAACCTGAGTAGTGATATCACGGTAGTTCGCCGAACTGCAGCTACTAGTATTGTCAGTGTTTGCCTCCACAGCCGCAAACCAAGTGTCTTCTTCTCATACACTCTCAATTCCTTGTTGGGTAAGACAGTAGGAGAATTAATTTAGTTAATTAAGTTAAATGTTTGTGAGTAATTTTTAGCAACCGAAGGACCATTTAAAAATACCTGTACAATTAAATCATGAGTAGAGAGTTCCATGCTGAGACGTCGCTGCGAAGTGAGGGCCCTCAATCAGTCTGGTAGTCTTCATGGTGTAGTGGAAGAGGTGTTGAGATGATCACAATAATTACACTGAATTTAGTGGCATTAACTATACAAGAGTAAAAGAGTAAAAAAGAGAATATTTTCCCGACACGAGCGGTGAGAGAAAGACGTGGTCACTACCATGTCCAAGGCACATCTAACCCGACGCTGCTCACTATCTTGTCAGTCAGGGGAGGGGAACAACCCGATCAAAGTCCAAATTCTACAGGTGAGCGGATTGAAAATGAAAACTCAAAGGATTGGATTGCTCACAATAAAATAAAATCTTGACCTCGATTCTAATAACTCTAGTAATAACTAAAAATATATAATTTGTTTGGTTACAGAAATATAAAATAAAATACCTTGTAATGTGCAAATAAAAACCTTTTAAATCTTACATATTGTACTTAAATATCCAACACATGTCAATCCCAACTAGATTGCCTGAGTTTAGGTTTTTTAGCAAATTTTAGTAACTTTTATACTGTACATTTTTAAAATTCGTAAACCATCACTCTCCTACAGGCAAAAGCCACATTTTCTTTCTGAGATGGTAGGTTTTTGTTAAAATTAAGTGTAATTACTTTATTGTTTGTTGTATATTAATGTAAAAAGGTTGGCGTGAATTATAAAAAGGTAAAATATAGGTCTACCTGGTACTGCCTTGTTATTCCTACGTGTTTCAATGCCGACACATAATCTTCAATTCACATGAAGATGAGACTTTAAAATTAAACCATCATTAGGATGGTCACTTCATAGTAAACAAAATTTACATCATTAAAACATGGCTGACAAATTGTAAGCTAACACTAATGTAGTGGGCACATGCCAAGTCACAATTCATGTAGGTCTACACTTTTTTCTGTGTTTTAATTTTTTGTGTTGTGTATTTTTTATGTAACATGAGCATCCTAATGATAGTTTTTAAAGTTCATTTTTTGTGATACCTGAAAATGATGTGTGAGCATAAAAACGCATAGTTTGTTCACGGCGGAGAAGGATCACAAGACAAGGATGTAACACGTATTGATTGATTGATTGAATCATGCAAACCTAGTCCCAGTGTTCCATAGGTACAATTTAGCCACCATATTGGAAAATGGTGGCCATTAAAAAAGTGCAATTAATATTATAAACTTCTCCTTTTAATGTTTAATCTAAATCTGATAGTTTCTGAGTTACCAATGTTCTGTGTTTCTAGATGGTATTGTACCAGTCAAGGAGGGGGAGGAGTTGACTGTACAGGGAACACTAAACTGTGTGAGACTGCTACTACCACATCTGACCCAGGCCACAGCTGGTGATCATGACTGTCTCTTTAGTGTTGATAGGTTCATACAAGTAAGTACAGCCTATACTTTGTTTACATTGTCCATTATATCCAAATTATCAACCATTAGGTTGGCCACAGATCGACAAAGTAGGATTTATGCAGGAATGTTGAAATTGAATTTATAAGTTTTGCATATTTACTTATTTTATGCATAAGCTATTAACATCTATACTTATTTAATAAGCAAGCAGATTTTTTGTGACAATTACTCCTCCGAAACTACTGAACCGATTGTCATGTTTTTGGTGTCATTGGAAAGAGCGTAACGTGAAGTTGTGCAGGAAACTTTCTTTTTAGGGAAATAATGAGAGAGTGAGGCCCTGGAGCCCTTTAAAGTTTCGTATTTTTCCATAAGATTAACATTGGAAACAAAAATTGTTATGAAACTCCAGCTGTTGTCAGAAATCAAAAGTGAGAAGAATAACATATAATGTTAATTGTAAACAGTCAATAAGTTTGTTAATTTAACAGTTTGCTACAAATATTTGCTTACTTGCTTACTTGGTTAATATTCGTTTTAAAATAACTCCTGCAATACTTAGCAATTGCTCGAATTCGAGCAACAGGGACACTAGTATATTTTAAAACACTACTTAACACATCCCTTGTGCCTGCCAACAAAGCTACTCTCATTTAACCTAAAGTTATTTAAATATATAATGATTCTGACATGTATAAAAACAAAGATGTATTTAAGTGAAAATTCAACCAGGCAAATATTATTTAGTTAGTTATTTTAGTTATTTTTTAGTTGTTTCTGAGACATTACATCAGTTGTTGTGTATGATGTTACAGATATACGAGTTGTGTCTACACCTGAGTAGTCACCCGGACCACAACATGGTGACTACAGCATTAGAGACATTACATCAGTTGTTGTGTATGATGTTGCAGATATACGAGTTGTGTCTACACCTGAGTAGTCACCCGGACCACAACATGGTGACTATAGCATTAGAGACATTACATCAGTTGTTGTGTATGATGTTGCAGATATACGAGTTGTGTCTACACCTGAGTAGTCACCCGGACCACAACATGGTGACTATAGCATTAGAGACATTACATCAGTTGTTGTGTATGATGTTGCAGATATACGAGTTGTGTCTACACCTGAGTAGTCACCCGGACCACAACATGGTGACTACAGCATTAGAGACATTACATCAGTTGTTGTGTATGATGTTGCAGATATACGAGTTGTGTCTACACCTGAGTAGTCACCCGGACCACAACATGGTGACTATAGCATTAGAGACATTACATCAGTTGTTGTGTATGATGTTGCAGATATACGAGTTGTGTCTACACCTGAGTAGTCACCCGGACCACAACATGGTGACTACAGCATTAGAGACATTACATCAGTTGTTGTGTATGATGTTGCAGATATACGAGTTGTGTCTACACCTGAGTAGTCACCCGGACCACAACATGGTGACTACAGCATTAGAGACATTACATCAGTTGTTGTGTATGATGTTGCAGATATACGAGTTGTGTCTACACCTGAGTAGTCACCCGGACCACAACATGGTGACTACAGCATTAGAGACATTACATCAGTTGTTGACATCAGCTCCTAGACAACTGTTGGACACTCTCCTGTCTCCTCAAGGCATCAGCAGATCCCACATACACACCCAGGCTGCTGATACTGAAAAACTGTCTCGCAGATCACTCAGTAAGATCCTAAACATTTCTCATATCATAGAAATTTAGCTAACATTAGTTTAGTTTTGTTTCATACTTTTTTTTGCAAATGCTCAGAGTGTAATTAATATTTGAGTGTAAGATTATTAATTTCTGCTGAATGTAATGTTAAGGATGTAATGTAGCATGCAATGCAAATATAATTGATGAAAAGAAACAAAATAAACTAAGCTATTGTGTGTCTAGGTGAGATGAGTGTGGCCTCAGTGACAGCAGATTCTCCTCTGCTGGATACACAAGAGGAGATAATACAAGATGGCAGACTGGTGCAATGGATACACTCCTCCTCCACCTCCTCCCAGATAGACTCAGCCTCAGGTGTGTTACAAACCTCTATAAAGTATAATCAATAATCATATCCATCCAAGGCCTTATGTCTTCAAACAAATTGTCTTACAAAAACATGATCTATAAGTATAAAAGAGGATGTTTGTATATTTGTTTGGCAGTGATAAACTCAGACACTGCTGAACCGATTACCACGAAACTTGGTACATACGTGTAGAATTTCATGGAATAGGTTTATACACCATCAATTTCGTGATCCGTCCAATCGGCTCCGCCCCAGTGGCTCTGGAGTATCCCATGTTAACCTTATGAGAAATGGAATTAATGAATCTTAACAGCTGTTTCAATTAAACAAGTTGGTTCTGTTCTATGATGTTCAATAGCATTAAAGTTACAAGGATTACCAACAGGGTGCAGCACTATTATTTCTTTTACATTTATGACAACAGCTAATTTGCAACCAAAAGGTGAGTGAGCGTAGCGAACGAACTTCAAACTGGAGGCGAGTTAGCGTAGCGAACGAGCTAACCTGAAGGCAAGTGAGCGTAGCGAACGAGCTAACCTGAAGGCAAGTGAGCGCAGCGAACGAGCTCCAACCTAAAGGTGAGTGAGCGTAGCAAACGAGCTCCAACCTAAAGGTGAGTGAGCGTAGTGAACGAACTTCAACCAGGACGTGATTGAGCCATGCGAACGAGATCATCTTGAAAATTAAGAAGTTAAACGGGGCAAAGCCCGCGGGTTACAGCTAGTACTATAACAAAACAACTAGCTTGAACTATTCATGTGCAGAATATTTAAAATTGGCTTTTTGTCCAATATACACATGAAGAACACAAAACAATTGCACTGTTACCAATCGTCGTGGATCATTCATGTTTGATTAATATTTTCTATAGTAAATCTTGGCCTATTTTTTGTATTATAACTTGCTGTTATGTGTTTTTGTATTAACTGTGATGAACAATTCAGGCTGTAAACAAACAACTCTTAACTCTTTGTTATTCCCGCTCTTCTTGGCCTTAGACTATTATGTTTAGTTACAATGATCATATCTGTTGTCATTGCAGAAGAAAGTGATACAGAGAATATAGGAAGTAGGAGAGAAGTTTTACCAATTCTAGTTGGACCTTCTATAGAGCGAGCTCCTAGTCTAGAAGCAGATATGTTGTTGGCTCGAGACACACCTTCGCCAGAAGCTACAGATAATCAACAAAGTCAATCAGTCGCTAATGTTCAGGTAACTGACATATTAAATACATCAACTTTAGGTATTCTTGGTAAAGGGCTCTAGGCCTAACCTAAATACATACAAAACTTTGTTACTTTGCTAATGATGATATCCAAATTAAACTAAATTATGTATACAATCTGGGCCAAATCAAAAAACTACCTATTGTTTGTTCATTACAGGTGTGGGAGGTAGGGTCTACACTAGATGCTGGCCAGCCAGCTCTATTACACTGTTGTCGTCGTCTAGTCACAGGGTTCCTGCTACCAGAGGGCAATTCAGGGCCCAGAATGCGTGTCAGTGTTAGAGCCTTGGCGTTACAATGTCTAACTCAGTTAGTCCGTGTACAACCGTCTTTCTTCTTCTGCACTATTGATGTCAACAGCCAAGCTACCGCTGATGGTAAGGTGTCTTATTTACTACAGCTAACTAAAACCACCAATAAATGTTTTTTTTTTGGGGGGGGGCTGTTATTTCGATTTGGGTTTTTTTCCAGTGGAGATTTGTTCCATTTGCCAGCGATTTTATTTAGGATTGCAGGAGAGGATGGTTTTGTCCCTGTAATCGTAGGAGAATAGTACAGAGCGACTGTGAGATTTTTTGCCCTTAGGTGTAAAAATTTGAGAAATATAGAGGTCTGGGTGGGGCCTTGGCTGGGTTTAATGGTTTTATTCAAGTGAACAAAATTCCAGGGGTCAATGTAGAAACAATCTCATTTAAAATTTAAGTTTAATTTGAGAGTAATTTTGAGTCGAGTAAGACGTGTTCTCATCTCATGAGAGCCAGTGTGAGAGCTATTCAAAGCTACGCTTACTAAACAGTATTACATACAGAACTAAGCAGACTTAGACTCAAGCTTACCATCATCATGGCAGACTGAGAGCGAGGGTTGAGCAGTGGCCGCTGACATCACACAAAATTAAGAATCCATAATTATCCTATTGAGTTAGTTCTCATGACAATCAATCAATCAATCAAATCACTTTATTTGTCCTTGTACATGTCATTACAAGAAATGGAATGGCGTCAAATATAAAACTAAAAAACAATACAATTATAAACTAAAAAAAAAAAAAAAAAAAAAAAAAAAAAAAAACTACCACTACTGCTTCATAATTTTGTTGTATACATAAAATTCCTCTATTGAGTAAATGTTTGTTGATCAAATATTTTTTCAATTTACATTTTAGTTTGTTATTATTTTTTTCTGATCTTAGTTCATTCGGAAGTGCTTTAAAGAATTTATTGCCAATGTATGTCGTCTTTTTTTTAAAAAAAATCCCAATCTATGTTTTTCAAAATGTTTTTCGGTCTGTCTTCTTGTATTATATTTATGACCTATTGGTTGTACATAAGTTTTTGTTATAAAAAATAAGATACATTCAAAAATATACAGACCATACACAGTTAAAATTTTAAGATTTTTGAAGTGTTCTCTTGCGGAGTCATCATCTTCAAGTTTGAGCATACATCTAATTGCTTTTTTCTGTAGGTTTAGAATTGTATTCAGATTATTTATTGTTGTTGCACCATACAAGCCAATTCCATAAGAAATATTAGAGTGAATCAGAGCAAAATATATTTGTTTTAGTACAGGCAATGAGCATAGGCTGGCCATACGCCTTAAGGCGAATAAACCGGAGTTAATTTTTCTCGATATATGTTCGACATGTTTGTCCCAGCATAAGTTTTCATCAATATATAGACCTAAAAATTTAGCCTCATCCACTTGTTCAATAATTTCCTCTTCGATCATTATATTTGGAGATATTTTTTTACGATTTTGCTTTGTGGAAAATGTAATAAATTTAGTTTTATTTGGATTTAACAAAAGACTATTATTATTGAAGTATTGCTTTAAATTAGCTAGTTCTATAAAACTTAAATATTCAATTTCATTTTGGTTCTTTGCTGAGATTTTTAAATTTGCGTCGTCTGCATATAAACATAAATTACTATGGGGAACAGTCTGTAGCACTTCAGGAAGTCCGGTTATGTAACATAAGAACAGCAAAGGACCCAGAATCGATCCCTGTGGGACGCCACTTGAGACCAAACATAAGTCCAATGCTGCGCCCGTGATCCTATTTGAAATGGTTTGGTTAATTTCAACATACTGATATTGGTCGGAAAGGTATGACTTAAACCAATTGTATGCAACTCCCTTGACACCAAAGTTCAATAATTTATCAAGTAATAGATGATGATTTACGCTTTCAAAAGCTTTTGTTAAATCCATAAATATGCCCACTACGTTCTCCCCTTTATCTATGGACTCTATGATGGATTCATAAAAGAAACGGCTGCAGTGAAAACCTATTTTCCGGGCCGAAAACCCTGCTGGGACATATCTAGAATGTTTGAATTTTCTAAGAATTGGGATAATCAACATGACTTAACACATACACATGACTTTTTCATAAATTTTTGAAAAGGATGGCAGAATCGAAATTGGACGATAATTGGACATGTCTTTTGTAGAATCTTTTTTATGTATAGGTACAACTTTGGATATTTTTAATTTTTTTTTGGAAAAATGCCAGATATTAAAGAAGAGTTAACCAGATGAACTAAGATTTTACATAGGTGTATTTTTGCAGATTTTATTATAGTTACAGGAATTTCATCAAACCCATATGATTGCTTATTTTTTAAAGAATCTAATATTTTAATAATTTCGTTTTCACCTGTGGGCTCACATCGAAAAGTCTGATTATGAGGAGTGAGACTACTTGAAAGACTATTTTTCTGTACACTAGGTTCTATATCTGATTTTGTTTGAAGATCTTTTATACAGTTTATAAAATAATTGTTTAACAAATTACTTATAACTAAAACATCAGATACAGTCAATTCTAGATTTTGTTTGTTTTCAAGTCACCAATATGAACTAGACACAAAAACTTTATAATTATTTGAGTTGAGATGCATTTATTTGAGTAGTTTACTTATCATACCTAGTTTATTATTTTCTGTACTTAGCAGGTTTCTTCGGTGATTGAATTACTTATCCGTATTACACAACTAGGAAATATTAGAGAAGAGAATATTAATTTATGGAAGTTTTCCCTTAAATTTGAATAATGGAATAAAAGCTTACCTTTTTCTAATTACTTTGAAATTATTAGGGAATTTAAAGTGGATAGAATAGTTTTATGTTTGATGTAATGGAACTGAATAGAGATTACCATGAATAATTAATTATATCTTACCAATCTTGAATTGAGTCTTGAGGTTAAGAATGAGAAAGTCCTTTATATAACTTTAAAATACAATTACATAATCTATAGAGAAAATCACCAACAAATAAATGCAAAATGAATTAGGTAAAAACTGTGATGTATTCCTTGACTATGTCACCAACAAATAAATGCAAAATGAATTAGGTAAAAACTGTGATGTATTCCTTGACTATGTCTAAACATTGATATTATCAAAACAATAATCACATGTAGTAAAATTGAAAACCTCCAAAACATGTGTTGAAGCCAGACTGAAATAATATAAACCATAGAATACTAAACATGCCGGGCCCCTTGAACCGCAGGTTCAATTAATTAATTTAACAAGTGAGTACAGAAACAGTAGGCCTAATTAAAACAGAGAAAGTTAAAGCAACAAAAGGGGCGGAACTGTAATAAAATTTAGTCTTCAAGTACAGGCAGTGGGAAAACCTTGATTGCCGGTCTAGTGAGAAGTCCATTCTTCGTACGCACAGTCACAACTCTTGTAATGTTATCTGAACCAGGGTGTGTTTCAACAATTCTAGCCAGTGGCCAACACATTGGAGGTGTAAGGATGTCTTGAATCACAACGAGATCTCCAACTTTCAAGTTTGGTGTTTGTTTGTTCCACTTGTTGCGCTCTTGTAAAGTGTGAAGGTAGTCTCCATCGATGCCATCTTTGGAGTTTATTCATCGTATGAGGTGTACTATGCAGGTCTGATGGATCTGTTGAATGAGGAGGTACACGACGAGGTTTTTGGCTTGCTTCTTTGAAATAAGGTTGAGTTTTAAATTTCTCTTCTGGTATAAATAATCTTGTTTTGGTGTTGTTACTAGAGTTGCCGAGATGATGGTGATTAGGTTTGAATGGCAGCCTAACGCAGTATTTGCCAGAGGGTTCTCTAGATTGTGTTTTCACTAAATGTTTTTTATTTGAAAGTTTGTATTCGATCTGTCTGGGAGGTTCTTCATGCTGCCAATACCGTTGTAAAGAGGAATGAAGATCAAAATCAGAGACATTTAACATAGTTGTGAGATGAGAAGAATCTTTGTTATATTTAGAATTACTCTCACATGGAGCATGTCCCATGAGAGTGTAACCAAACACTGTGTTCATGACAAATGGTAGGTTCGGTCCAAGTTGTTGTTTCTCTCCGGTGAAAATGAATGGGAATAAACCCCCACCTAGTAAAACGTCAACAGGCCCAGGGCGGTGGAAAGTAGGGTCAGCTAGGGTATACGGTTTCACTAGTTCCAATAGATTTGGATCAAGAGGAGATCTTGGCATGTCCGAGGTAATCTTATCCAAAATCAACATTGGATGATTTTCTGAAACTTTGTTCCCACTTAGTGTTTCGATGTCCACATAGCCCATTCCCTTTGGGGATGTAAGAGACTGATTGATTCCATTAATACGAAGAGTTGACTTTTGACGTTTAATTCCCAACAGTTGGGCTGCTCTTTCTGTTATGAAATCACATTGACTGCACGAGTCGATTAGAGCTCTGAAGACATGAGCAACACCTTGCCTAGACACCAACTTTACCAATACAGTTGCTAATAAAACAGTGGTGTTCTTTTGAGGTCGAGAAAAATTTGTTGATACTCCAGCAAATTCATTTTGACTTTGAGATGAAGATGAACATGATACAGCATTTCTTGATGTGAGGTCTTTCGATGGTTCTAAATGTAACAGGGTGTGGTGATTTTTATGACATTTAAAACAAGAGTTTTTCGATTTGCAGATACTGACTTTGTGATTTCCAAGACAAGAGAAACAACGTTGCTTGGATTTGATTAGTTCATGCCGTTCTTGAGGAGATTTTTCTTTGAATAAAGTACAGGAATATACTTTGTGTCCAGGTTTAGAGCAAACGAAGCAAGGGAAATCAGTGGAGCTTTGTGTTGATGCTAGGGTAAATGGTCTGGGATGAGTCATTTCATTTTTGCGGTTGAAGTTGGACAAAGGTGGGATATTTGAGTGAGGTTTGACCCATTTACTACTATTGGGTGAGTGCATGGACACATCTTCAGCATGTGCACAATGATTTGACAGAAAAGTTATTACCTCATTGACTGAGGGTAGAGATTCAGAGTCATTTCTTGAAGATTCATATTTATTTAACAATTTTGAGTCTAGTTTTCGTAAAAGCATTGATGCTAAGAGAGGATTGTTTTCCACTACATCACAGCCTAATGCTGTTAGAGCTTGGGAATTTTCATTAAAAGAGTTTAGCAAGTTTCTGAGATCCTTAGTAGAGGAAAAACTAACACTGGGCAAATCAATGATTTTATTGATGTGAAGAGATGAAAGCCTTCGCACTGAGTGGTAACGATCTCGCAACATGTTGTACGCGATGGTGTAGTTTGCTTCAGAGATGGGTAGGGATTTGACCAGATTGAGTGCTTCACCAGATAAAGTACTAAGTAGATATTGAAATTTAGCTACATTCGAGAGAGATGAATTTGAATGAATTGTGGTATCAAAGAGGTTGATGAAGGCTAACCAAGTTTGAGAGTCACCATTAAAGTTTTTTAATTCTATTTTCGGTAAGCGCACCACAGACATGTTAGAGTGTTCCCGTTCATTGAGATGAGAGGTAATAGATTGATTGTCATCATTGCCTTTACTTTCCAAAAGATAAGAATTTATTTTACTTTCTATGCTGATACAAAGTTCATTTATTTCCTCCTGTCGATCAATTAGATCTTGTTCATCATAGTCACCAGGCAGATTCGGCACGTCCAGTAATTTTCTAATGTGTTCATTAAATTCACAACGTTTTTCATTGACTTCACTTTTATAGGAATTAACTTTTTGTTGATCAACTAATTCAACATGATCATTTTCTGATATAGTGTCAATAAATGAAAGAATATTATTGAGACGAACTTTGATTAGGTTAGAAAATCTGACAAAGGTTTGATACTTCATTTTGTATATTAAAGGAATGTACTAATGAGCTGATTGGAAAAATGTGGTTGTAAAGGCAAAGATAGAAAGGGGTAGTAATATTGTTACTAAGGCAACAGAATCAAACATTCCAATTTTTCAGAGTACATTAGTAGATTTTTAAGATTGAATTTTAAATATCTTGATGAAATAACAAATAATAATGTACACTATTAGTAGTTTTGAATATCCATATTCTTGATTCTTTCATCCGATGTTCGAAGGACCAATGAAATTATTAGGGAATTTAAAGTGGATAGAATAGTTTTATGTTTGATGTAATGGAACTGAATAGAGATTACCATGAATAATTAATTATATCTTACCAATCTTGAATTGAGTCTTGAGGTTAAGAATGAGAAAGTCCTTTATATAACTTTAAAATACAATTACATAATCTATAGAGAAAATCACCAACAAATAAATGCAAAATGAATTAGGTAAAAACTGTGATGTATTCCTTGACTATGTCTAAACATTGATATTATCAAAACAATAATCACATGTAGTAAAATTGAAAACCTCCAAAACATGTGTTGAAGCCAGACTGAAATAATATAAACCATAGAATACTAAACATACTTAAAATGTTATTCAAACATTTTTTTTTCTTTTGTTGCTTTAATACATTTATTGATTGTAGGTTTTTCTCATGTGAGTGATGTGTTGTGCTTTGCGACCCACTCTGACCAGCAGTTGAGGGGTTTGTGTTGTGTTCTGGTTGGAACATTTATCTGCTCTTCAATCACCACTGCTGCTACAACGTTTGATCAGTGGGTCAACACTTGTCAACCGACCAAACCAGTCACCCTCCCCTCCCTAGTGTCACTTCTAACCACGGTCAGTCAAACAGTCAAATTCTCTAATAAATGCAATTATTTTACTATTTTTTGTTCGTCTTTATAAACAACATGAGAGGTTTTTAGAAGTCAAGTCAAATAGTTCATATAATCCAAGCAGCCTGTTTGCTATTGGGAAAAAATTTAGGCTCGCATGTTTTAGAAAGGGAAATTTTGATTTTTGGAAAGATAAGTTTTAAATATCCTCCTACGAACCATTGTAAATATAATGCAAACCAATTTTTCTTATGGAGGTTGATGAAGAATTAGCATCTAATGAAGTGATAGATTTTTATTGTTTGTGATGATTTAGTAAAATTAGATTAATTTAAATCTCGTGGCCCCAAACTTTACTTGATATAGATTATTAATATAGGCAATTAATGTTGCATAATAGAGTGAATGCATGAACATATAAAGCCACTAGGGCGGTGACGTTGTTCTGTAATCCAGCTACTAGGAGGTCACAAATTGTGGATATTTATAGGCATGCACTGTGGATGCGATACTCCCTGGTGTGGATTAACGTCGGCACTAGTGAGTACTACGACTATCCGCAGTGCTGTCCTGATAATTAGACCAATTCGTTAATTACAAGGCAAAAATGTGGTTCTAATTTTCAAGCTGTAACACGAATATAGTAATTTAACGTTTGATGTTACTGTGCAGGGTCTACAGGACGAGTCCTCCACATGTGTGAGGCATGCTCTGACCAGCCTCTGTGTCTGTCTAGGACCTCTGTTGTGTAGTCATGACCACCAGACTGCTCTACCTATACTGCCTGCACTACTGAGAGTGGCAGACAACTCTTACTGGCTGGTCAAGGTAAACCAAGCCTTTTGATTACAGGTGACTGGCTGCATACCAAACTCTCCTAATAACTCAACCCCTATCATGTGTCATTGTCTTTAACAGGAAGGTAGACAACTTAACCGAGCCTACCTGTTAAACTAACAACCTCAAGTTGAAAATTTAATTATTATAAATAACGATTTCCTAAACATTTGGTAATCAAACTTGATTTGTTGTGAGAGCCAACAATCACATTTATCACGGAAGTCATGCTGAATTGTGAATAAACTGAAAATATTTTAAATGGCCCATGGCTACCCGCTTGGTACTGTTCTGGTGCTCACTCGACCGTTCAGGTAGGGAAAAATTAAAAATTACAGGTCCATATAAAATTTGTTTAATGTTTGATCTCTTCCCGACCCATAAAAATTGCTCTCTCATCCATAGTTTGGGAAGCAATGTGTTAAGGTATTCATACTTTAAAATATAACTTCTATTTCCATACGTAAATATAACACATGTTAACATGCTCACATTTAAAACGTCAAACTGTAAATTGTCTTTGATTTTACATTCCAATCATAATCAGACACTATTGTTCAATGACATGCAAAATTGAATTGTGTTCTCAGGTGAAACTACTGGAACTGCTGGGATATTTGTCGTACCTGCATATCCACCATGTGACAGGCAACAGTGAGTTCCAGTCCCAGGTGCTGCACTCTGTCATGTTGGCACTGCTTGGGGACGAGGATGCTCGAGTCAGGAAAGCTGCCTCTGAAGCAATCACTAGGTGAGCAGTTACTGGCAGAAAGCAATATTACATCGTAGACTTGTAAGTTTAAAAAAAATTTGGTGATCTGATGAGGCATTTTATTGAGTAGTAAACCCACCGACTGACCCCTAGAACCAACTACAGTAGTGTTGTTCATAGGTCCTCATCAGCTTAGAATAGGACAGGAACATGACAGTGTATATTACAAATTAGAGATCTGTTGCAGCTACTGGAGTGTTGCAGGTGACTGGTCAGTATCTGTTCATTGTAGTTGGTGGAGCTTTTGGTGTGGCAAGTTGGTGAGGTGTTGTAGGGGAAATTCACACGGTTTTTGCAATAGGGATATAAAGAAGGTTTAAGCATTTAAACTATTTGGAGAAAAAGAGGTAAAACATCAACTTGACTGACAGAAACAAACCAATTGATACCTTCATCATACTGGTCAATGTGTCCATTAAATATTGCGCAAGAAGTGGATTGTGTGTCGAGTCAAATAAACACCAACAATTCAAGTATGAAAGTAATTAATAGAAAGTACAATTAATTATAATATATATAAAAAAAAAAACTATTTGTTTAACTTCTTCTCTTAGTAAAATGTAGATTATTTATTTATTTATTATCTAGTGACTACAATTTGTTTCACTTGCTCCTGTTGTGTTTGTACCCAGAGCATGTGAAAACATGTTTCACCCGGTGGACTGGAACAGACTGGACATTGTTAACTGTGCTGCGGCCTGTCTCAGAGACATCTACCTCACTGGGCTGTTTGATAGAGACTGTGGTGAGTTGACTAAACAGGGGCCTAAAAACTAACAAATTCCATGGATGAATCTACTCTTAGAAATATGTTTAAGTGTAAACATAAAATTAAAAACTGCAAAATAGTTAGTAAAAACTTCAAATAAACATTCTGAATACTCTAAGATGTGTTTTTTCTAAGCTGTATAATTTAGTTTCAAAGGCTGAATTTAAGGGTTTGCGAGTCAAAAATGTCATAGCCTTTACTTTATGAGTCTAGAGCATATTTATACGAGTGTGAAGAGGTAGATATGGTCTAAATTCTATATCAGTAATTGGCATAATGATTGGTGCAAGAGGGACTATAATTTTTTTTTTTGTTGAATTAACATAAAAATCTTTTATCAAAACTAAAAAATGAAATAGTCATTAAAGGGTTAAAAGAATCATGTAAAATCATTCAAAATCATTAGGAATAAAACTTCGGAAACAGGGGAATAATCGGACAAAATTGGGTTTTTGAACGTCCCGTCATTTTATTTACAAAGTAGTGAGGCCATATTTTAATTGAAAAGACACTCTCGCCAATCCCGTGAATACATTAAAATGATTTGAATCTTGATAGGTATTCTCGTTTTTCAGGAGAAGGCCGCATAAAATGCCTTCTGGGTCGTGACAGACGGACAGAAATTGAGATAAGCCTTGTTTCCGCTTCTTTAATGTATAAAACGTAAAAATAACCAAAAAATATATTATTCTACGCAAAGGACAGACAAAACTCTAATTTTATTTATATAGATAAAGTTAAAAAAAAACAAACTCATGATAATATTTAACATATTAACTGTTGATCAGCATTGTTGCGTATTGCAAAAATCATGCGCTCTCTGGTTGCGACATGTTATTATTGGATCGCAGAACATCGCAAAAATGGGATCGTCCACAGATATTAGAACAGAAACGGTATGGATCAAAAACATAAAAGAATGTCATTGGATGGAATCTTATACTAATAATGTCCACATGTGTTTCAGATATGTTTTGACAGTTGCATTGTGTTAAAAGCATTTAATTTTATCCCTTGGTCTGTAATTTTTTTTTGTCGTGTCTTTTTATAGTATTTTATTTCCTACTGAAAAGTTGTGTGTATTTTCAGAAAAGGCTGTGAGTTCTTCTGTAGAAGGTTCTTTATCACGTGTTATTTATCTTCTTTCAAGACAACTACTACAATCTTCCTCGAAACACCTAACGGTAACTATTATATTCAAAACATTAAAAACTACGCATAGATAAGTATATATAAAGTAAATATTTATACATCTTAAAAGATTCCAAACCAAATACAACTGCTAAAGAAATAATTTTCTACGTCTATTTTTGAGTTACCTTTTTTTGTGTTACCCTCTGCTTTTAAGTGTTCATCACATTTTGCCAAGGAGGGTGGGATGTTATTTTTTTACACTTTGTCCACTGGTTTTTTATTTTATTTTTTTATTATATATTTTAGTTATATTACATACTTGATACTAACACTTTTGATAGTACACTTGATACTAAGTTTGTGGCAAAGCAGTCTAAAGCTTTGCAAAGCAGCTTTTTAGCAAAGCTGAGCATAGTCGCCGATGCACCCAATGTTCTGGTCAATCACTGAGGTTTATAAATAATTATAATAAACAGTAGAGATGTGCAAGCAGCTCGATTTTTGAGCCAAGTTTAGCCTCGATTATTAGCTAGAGGGATCGAGCACCAAGTCAGAAAATCAAGCTCAAGTTGCGCAATGTTTACGCAATTGCAGAACGCGTCAGTGACTAAACTCATGATAGTTTAAACTAGTGGTTTGGTTGTTAAATAATCAGATCAGTTGCTTCAATTTGTAAACGTTAAACTTTCTATCCAAACTTTTTAGGCATTAATTAAGGTATTAAGAGGTACTGGCCTTTACATTTTTATAATAATAAAACTACTGTTCCTTTTCAAACAAATCTTTAAATATAAAATGTGTAACTCTCTTATTTTAACACTCCTAATAAGTTTAGGGCTTAAAGTTTGTGTGGTATGACTGTTCTCCATAGCATCTCCTAGATAAATAGAATCTCGTTTTTTTCATTGAGCGAAGCTCTTATACATCGACTCTTATGCATTTTGTAATACGCAAACTCCTCCTAGATGGCTGAATCAATCGTTTTCAAATTTTGCATGGTGATAAAGACCATGTCGAGTGCCAACATCTATATGGCGTTAAAAAAATCTCTCAGGAATCCGCCCCACTGGGTCTCAAAGTTTCAATGTAATCCTTATAGAAGCAGTATTTGACACATAAACAAAGACATACGATCAGCTGTTGACTTTTGAATGCAGTAGATAAAGAAATAGCTGATAGCATTATTCCACAGATATTAGAACAGAAACGGTATGGATCATAAATATAATCAAATGACGACACTAGCTTCAGGTCCGTGACGTAGGAAAGGGTGAAGGAAGTAGTAAAGGTGAGCAGTTTGGAGTGTGAAAACTGTTTATGACGATTAGATTTAGGTATCTGCAATCCTAAAATGTTATGGGAAGGGAAGGAAACAGGTCCGCGACGTAGGAAGTGGTGAAGGAAGTAGTAAAGGCGAGCTGTTCGGGGTATAGGATCTGTTTATGACCATTAGATTAAGGTATCTACAATCCTAAAATGATATGGAAAGGGATGGAAACAGGTCCGTGACGTAAGAAGTGGTGAAGGAAGTAGTAAAGGTGAGTTGTTCGGAGTGTGGGATCTGTTTATGACCAATAGATGAAGCTATATGCAATCCAACAATGCTAAGGGAAGGGAGGTAAACAAGTCCGTGACGTAGGAAGTGGTGAAGGAAATAGTAAAGGCGAGCAGTCCGGAGTGTGGGAACTTTTTGTGGTGATTATATTAAGGTAATTGCAATCCTAAAATGCTATGGGATGGGAAGGAAACAGGTCTGTGACGTAGGAAGTGGTGAACGAAGTAGTAAATGCGAGCAGTCCTTAGTGTGGGAACCGTTTATGACGATTAGATTAAGGTTTCTGCAATCCTAAAATGCTATGGGAAGGGAGGGAAACAGTTCCGTGACGTAGGAAGTGGTGAAGGAAGTAGTAAATGCGAGCAGTCCGGAGTGTGAGAACTGTTTATGACGATTATATTAACGTATGTGCAATCCTAAAATGCTATGGAAAGGGAGGGAAACAGGTCCGTGACGTAGGAAGTGGTGAAGGAAGTAGTAAAGGCAAGTTGTACGGAGTGTGGGAACTGTTAATGACCAATAGATGAAGGCATTTGTAATCCAATAATGCTAAGGGAAGGGAGGTAAAAAGGTCTCTGACATAGGAAGTGGTGAAGGAAGTAGTAAAAGTGACCAGTCCGGAGTAAGGGAACTTTTTGTGACGATTAGATTAAGGTATTTGTAATCCTAAAATGCTATGGGATGGGAAGGAAACAGGTCCGTGACGTAGGAAGTGGTGAACGAAGTAGTAAATGCGAGCAGTCCTTAGTGTGGGAACCGTTTATGACGATTAGATTAAGGTTTCTGCAATCCTAAATGCTATGGGAAGGGAGGGGAACAGGTTTGAGACGTAGGACATAGGTGGTAAAGGAAGTAGACAAGGCGAGCTGTTCAGAGTGTGGGAACTGTTTATGAAGATTATATTAAAGAATCTGCAATCCTAAATTGCTATGGGAAGGGAGGGAAGAGAGGGAGGGGAGAGAGGGAGGGGAGAGCGTTTATGACGGAAGAGAGGGAAACATGTCCGCGACGTAAGAAGAGGTGAAGGAAGTAGTAAGGTGAGCAGTGTGGAGTGTGGGAACTGGAAACCGTTTGTAGCAGTTAGATTAATGTATCTGCAATGCTGAAATGCTATGAGAAGGGATGGAAGCATGCCTACGACATAGAAAATGGTGAAAGAAGTAGTAGAGGCTAGCAGTGCAGAGTGTGGGGAATGTTTGTGGAAATTAGATTAACGTGTATCTAAAATACAAAAATTCTATGGAAAGTGATGAAAACAGGTCCACGATGTAGGAAGTGGCTTAGGAAGTAGTAAATTATGAGCATAGTGTGAGAACCGTCAGTGGCAGCTAGATTAATGTATCTTCAACCGTAAAATACTATGAAAAGGGAACGAAACAGGCCCCACAAAGTAGGAAGTGGTGAAGGAAGTAGCAAAGGCTGGCAGTATTGAGTGGGGGAACCGTTTGGGCAGTTAGATAAATGTAATCTAATACTTAAATGCTATGAGAAGGGAAGGAAACAGGTCTATGACGTAGGAAATGGTGAAGGAAGTAGTAAGGCTTACAGTGCAGATTGTGGGAACTGTCTTTGGCAATTACATTAATGTATCTGCAATCATAAAATGCTATGGGAAGAGAGGAAAACAGGTCCACAACGTAGGAGGTGGTGAAGGGAATAGTAAAGGTGAGCAATGTTGATTGTGGGAATGGATTAATGTATCTGCAATGCTAAAATGCTATGGGAAGAGACTGTAGACTGTAGGTTAAAATGATTACGAAGCACGAATCGATACATACTTTCGATACAATAGAAATTTACAACTGAGTTGACAACAGCTGATTTTTACTCCATAGAGGCTAAATACCCCCGCCGCATCAAACCTGCAGACTAAGCGAATTTCCATTTGCCTGATTGGATTTACACTAAAATGTCTACTTAAAAATATAACATTTATTTCCTATTTAAATGGAATTAGTGTGGGAAAATAAAACTCTTCAGAACTTTCTACAACTTAGTTATATTTTACACTTTAAAAAACAGGACAACAAAACGAACCTTCTCTAAACCCATGATAACCGAAATATCCAAAATCGTAAACATAAAGGACACTAGTCAGCTGATGCTAGTTCACAGCTACAATTAGTTTAACAAGTACTTATGTTTGCTAAATCAGGGAGGGTAAAACAGTTTTTTTTTTGTAAAATGTTAATAGTTTGTAAGAAATAAAAATATTTTCCAAATTTGATCAAAATATGTTCATAAACAAGCAAAATACAACAGTTTACTTGTTCTCCATAAGAATAACATGGGATTTTCCATTTTCACCTCAGGATTATTGCATTTTATTAAATTTATTTCAAAGCATATTTTAGCTATATAGTCCTGCATTAAGCCATGGTTGTCATTAGACTCAATTATTATTTCCTGTAGATTTGCCATCTCTAGATTCAACCGTTTGGCTTGCAAAAATCCCTCTAGCATTTAAAACAGTAGAAAATCTTAATCATTAAACACATTCGAGATCACAATCAATAATCAGACCACTGCATAATTAATTATCTTTAAGAATTTCACAAAGTGTGATGACAATTGGAGAAAAATTCTTATCAGGGATATCTAAGCATTAGTGGCAGATAAGTAAAGTCTGTTATCATATATAGTGGTCGAGCTGCAGTACAAGGTACCACTAATGCTCAACGGTCAGTGCATTTTCCTTAGTCTATGCTTCAGGATGGAGCTTGTTGACAAGTTTGATCAGTTATCTTGTAGGGTTATGTTTGTTTTTAATAACTTAGGCAATAAAATAGTTTGATTTTCAATTTTTAAATAAAATAATAAAATAAGTCTTTTGATTTTTGATATAATACACTAGTGCCCAATGATATTTGTAGGATATAATAAGTAAGTTTTTAAATGAACATTTTTGATAACCAACTTTAGGTAAGTTTAGAATGTAGCCATATGCTTTGTAGGAAGCAATGAGTTTATGTGTTTATAGCTATTTTAATTAACTTACACTGAAAACTTATAACTTCTTCACATAAAAAAAATGTTCTAAAACATTTAAACACTCTTTTACTGTATTTTTAACTGCACATATAAGAAAAATCCAAGATAAACTGGGAACTTAAAAACAGTGGTTTTATTTTAAGCGTAGTGATACACAGAATCACTGCTGACAAAACTCATATGCTGACAAAACTATTTTAAACATATAAACTTTCGCAAATACAGTATCTGACAGTTTCAAGCCAAAACCGCCAAAACTAATGCTTCGCAATTAAATGTCACCCGGATCTTGTTGGTCCATATGTTAAATCCAATTATTAAACTAAAAAATGCTTTATAGATCTATGAGGCATAGCCCTGAGGTAGGCCTATAATCAAAGAAAATAGAACCTAGGTGCTATATTCTGTGCTATAATTGAAAGTTACTTTCCACAATGGTTAAAAGTATTTAAAATACTACCTCAACCTCACAATTTAACACTTTATTCGGGTTGACATTTTCATTATCAAGGTGCTCTTGTCCTTTCCGTGAAACACTGAGAAATAAGGACATTTAATGCATATTTAACAGACATACACACAAAAATACATAAATTAATTAGGGAATTTGCTACACTTTAAGCATAACAAAGTAGGCCTACATATACAATTAGTATTTGATATCTTTATTAATGTTATAAAATTTTATCATAACAATTTATATTTGCTTGGACCGAAGATGACCCGAAATGCTGTTGAAATGCTATATGAATCGACTTGTTATATGAAATGAAGTAGGTACTATAGACGATTTAGATTGGTAATTTATAATAAAAATTACCAAAATAGGCCACGAACTATTGATACATAAACAACGTTTAAAGCGTTTGAACAATTCATAAATTTTTTACTAAAATGTGTTATCCTATTCTTAGCATAAACTAATATTTTGGAATCCAGACAGAAAAAGCAAAACCTATACAGTTAAGACATCAATTAAGTTGATTACGCCTGTAATAAATAAGGTGCAACACCAACGATAACTAATTTGTAAATTACAGTGATGTGTTGGTACGTAAAAATGATTCTTGCTGCTACCAGCGGTTCAAAGGAAAAGAACCAGTACCAAAAACCAACGTTTACAGTTAAGAACTATAGTACATCCTATACTATAGTAGTAGAACTATAGTAGTAGTAGTTAAGAATTATATGCGTTAATCAAGGTTATTGATCTCTTGGTTTTGGATTTTATAGTATAAAAAGTTATTGGCAATTAAAGTTATTTCCCATCAATTGCTTTATTTTGTAAACAACTTTTAATGTAAACTAACCGGTGTCAGTTTGAAATAAAACAACCTTATACGACAACTTTCTGTTATTTAATAGTTAACGTATTCCCTAAACAATGATTAGTATATCTATTAACATAAGAAGGAAATGTGACAAAAATCACACAACGTTGGGTTTTTGGACGTTTGTAATTTTATTTCTTAAGTAGGTAGGCCGTGTATTCTAGGGAAAAGTACCGGTATCAAGGATCGTAGTCGAAAAGGTTGTTATAATTGAGTAGGCGTACGTGCCAAGAGATGGGCTATGGGCCTATTGGCTGTATGGTCCAGCGATTGCATCACACGGTGAGTAGGAACTATGGACTATATATAGTCAATGGTAGGAACAGAAAGTGACACATTGGAAAATCGAGTTTAGCATCATCCGTAAACCTCTGTTACAATTACCCACTGCAGTTGTGTTTTTTTACTTTACACTTTACACAACCGCCATTGAAGCGCCGTCAATGAGTGGAACCTTGTTTCTAAGCTATTCTATTGGCGACGATTATTAATAAATTTAAGATTCCCAGCCGTATACAACACTGATTCAAGGTCGTCTTTCTGGTTATCAAAACTCAAAAACAATTTTATGCACAAAGAATCTCTGGTTCCTGACCTGGATGAAGCCTAGTTATTTAATTTAATTTACGGTTACACTATACTATATTATTCCACTTGCGATTAATTAAATCCTTCATGTAAGAAACACGTTTTTAATCTCACTTGGATGGGATTTGCCTTCAAAACGTGATCAAAAATGGTTGCGGTATTTGTAAACAACATTTGTAAACATATCGGTGACAGCTAGAAAAAATAATCTTGATCCGAACAGCTGTTCGTTATTTCATAGATGATTATGTGATAAAAATTGGACGAAAACTTGACAAAAATCGCACAAAACTGCATTTTTGAACGTCCGTAATTTTATTAACAAATTAGTGAGGCCATATTTTAATGGCTAAAGACACTCTCGCTAATCCAGTGAATACATTAAAATGACTTGGATCTTGATAGGTACTCTCGTTTTCCTGGAGAAGATTGCGTAAAATGCCATCTTGAGTGTTACAGACAGACAGAAAGACAGACAGACAGACAGAAATTTAGATGAGACGTGTTTCGGCTTTTTTAATGTATAAAACCTAAAAATAACCTAAAAATTTATTATTCTGAGCAATGTACAGACAAAACTCTAATTTTATTTATATAGATTTGTTTTTTTTTAGCTCTACAAAATGGTTTGGAAAGAAATGCTGAATGTTATGTTTTTTGGGTCAAAAATGGGAAAAACCTATTTTTACCCCATAAAACCCCCGTAAACCCCCGTTCCCATAGTCCGATCATGCTGGTTCGTTCAAGTTTATCCCGCCTTACACCTTCATACCAAGTTTTATCAAAATCGGACAAATATTACTCAAGTTATCGTGCGGATGGATACATATATATACTTATACTTATAAGTATATAAGTGAACGAATGGTGTTTTCGGCCTCTAGGAACATCAAAATGAGAAAGTAAATTGGTCCCGGGCCTAGGTCTTACCATGAGACCAACGGTAATAGCTACTTCCCTATAGGGAAATTCGCTAAAACGATTTTTACTCCCTTAAGAGTAAAAATGCCACTTAAGATCCACAACGCATGCATTAAAAACGCCTTTTTTTACTGCAGTATGACAAAAACAATTTAATATATACCCTTGATGACTCCGCTCAATTTTGTGGATGCCTCTGCGAACGCCACCTAGTTTAACATATTTGTGAAGGTGTTATAATAATATTTATAGCTGGTGTTTATGTCCTGGTTGCTAGGCGGGGTGTTGTGAAGCTCTTAGCTCATTGGCTGACAAGTTCCCCCCCTCCACCTACCCCAAGGCGTGGCACTGCTATCTGAAGCATCTCGCCTCTGATACCAAGTCCTCTGTAAGGTTAGTACTGTAGTACTACATTTAACTATAATCGCTGTTTCAAAATATTAGGTAAGTAGCCTACTGTGCGGTGTAGTTAAATGTACAAGAGAAGAATCTAGGGTTTTGATACAAATGAGGTTTATTTTACGAGAGAAAATGAGAACATGTTTTTATGAGAGGTGATTCGAAAGAATTAACGCAACAATGGAGATTTCCATATGGTCGTGTGATGGGAATTACAGATAGACTGTTAGGAACAAAGATATTTAAATTAATACAAAAACACAAAGACAACTTGCCTAAACATATAGCCTGCTTTGAAAGAGAATTTACCAGTGAGGGGATGTAAAATTGTTTAAATTTCTCACATGTTAAGGGAATAAAAACACTTTGACAGGCTTGTTTGAGCAAAATAAGGTCTTAACATTGAGGTTCCCTTCCTTGGACTTAACATTTGAGCAGTGTTGTTAAGAGATGTTTAAATTTTCATGACACCAACAGAATTTGTTCGCAGCATAAGTTTTGGGTAACAGCTTGAAGTAAATTATCAATAATGGGTGAGGTATTTATTGGTTCATGAGTAGATGTCAGAGAGGTGTTTTTGATCAGAAAATGGCCAGGAGTGATTGCTTCTTTTTGTACCGGGTTAACTAAAAACTTATTAGTTAACTGTAATATGAATGAATAAATGAATTTATTTCCCAACTGACAAAAAATAAATGAATCAAATATTATATTAACCCACTGTTCCACAAATGTATTAATTTCCAATCCAGCATGTCAAGCTTTTTTTCCTTATTTTTGTGTGTGTTTCTTTCAAGTTGCAGAGGCTTTAGGTATCACATTTCTAACTGTTGGGGTTGACTTTGACTTTTAAAGGAAACCTTTTGTATTACAGCATCAAAATGATTTAAATGTACAATCTGTTTAGTAACTTCACACAGGGGCGATGTCTACTTGTACCGGCGTCTAGTTGTACCTGCTGCATTTTGGTGACAGGCGTCTAGTTGTACCTCGTCCAAAGGTGTAGGTACAACTTGACGATGGTGCGGACGTCTAGTTGTACCTACGTCTAGTTGTCTCTACGTCTAGTTGTACCTCTTAAAAATCTACAGGTACAACTAGTCACGTACGCCACCGTCTACTTGTACCTCATACGTCTGCGTCTACTTGTACCTACGACTACTTGTACCTACGACTACTTGTACCTACGACTAGTTGTATCTACGGCTAGTTGTATCTCCCCTTCAACTTGTCACCAGTTTAAGGGATTTATTTTATTTCTTTAAAAATCATACAATCTTACAACAATTTTTTATAAACAACTTGCTACAAAAGCCAGGAAAATTTGGCTTGTCTGCAGCTCATTGAGAAACCCCTGTTCTTGATAACAATGTAGGCCTACTTGTATCCCTTGGTCAGTGCTTATCCATATTACACTTTAGTTTTCCTTATTTCTTGTCAAGATCTGCTATCATTGTTTTTTCCACTTAAACTCTACCTTTCTATCGTCCCCTACGAGCTGTTGGCCCGTCCTACGTACGGGAATCGAGCAGTCCATTAAAACTATATATAGTTATGTCTATTTCTAATTCAAGCTTAGTGTAAGCAGTTCAAAATTTATTGTAAAGAAAAAGCTGCCAATATTAATTAAAACTTGTGATCGTTGTTACTTTCCCAACCTTTCCTCAAAAAGTCGAGTAGTAAAAGATTTTACTACAGATCGGACGCCAGACAACTAACATTCGATAGAGTTTTCAACCGCTCGACCTCAACTTCATTGTACACTTCATTGTTCATTGTTCACTGGGAAATCCATTGTAAACTATAAGAAATGCACACTAATCAATGCAAATACTTTAAGGTTATGTGAAAAAAAATATTTAAAGGAAGCAGCAAAAATAGTAATACATAATTGCTAGGCAGCGGTCTATTGCAATTCATTAAGGATAATAAACTGCTTGTATATTTAATGATATTTATAAATGTTAAAGCGTTTTTCGGTACTAGGGCTGGACAATTTTAATTACAACTATAGCTGCCATTTCGACCCTGGACAGCAATGCGTAGCTTTCAGCCTCCAATTTACGTCTGTAAAACTACTAAAACATCATAGTGCGGTGAACAATATTTGCCAATCATAATCAATTGACTCGGAACACTGCAGTTCCTGATTTCATTAAGGGTATTATTAAAAAGTACTCGTGCAGTAATCAATTAACTACTAAAACATCGTAGTGCGGTGAAAAATATTTGCCAATCATACTCAGTTGACTCGGAACACTGCAGTTCCTGATTTCATTAAGGGTATTATTAAAAAGTACTCGTGCAGTAATCAATTAAACAGGGTAACGAATTGAAGGATAGATACAACTAGACTATAAGGACGCAAAATACGCGTAGGTACAACTAGTCGTAGGTACAACTAGATGTAGGGACTACTAGACGGAGGGACCACTAGTCGTAGGGACTACTAGTCGTAGGGACAAACTGGTCGCATCCGTACAAGCTAGGTGATACTACTTGTCGGTAGGATACACGTCTAGTTGTACCTACGTCTACTTGTACCTACGTCTAGTTGTACCTCCTAAAAATCTGCAGGTACAACTAGTTGGGTGTGCCACCGTCTACTTGTACCTACGTCTAGTTGTACCTACGACTAGTTGTCCCTAGGCCTCGAGGTACAAGTAGACGTAGGTACAACTAGACGGCGGGACAACGAGACGTGGTCCCCTCACACATGATTTTTAACTCAAAACTTGTACTCAATACTAATATCTAATATTTGGTTGTCTGTTTCAGTGCCTCAGGTCTTTTAGGTGTTCTAGTGGCAATGTTAACTGCCTCACCTCTCTCTCTTGACCTGGACGTCCACAACTGGCTGCTACTGCTGGCTGCCAGTATCTATACTGGTATGCAACTAAATACAAATTTAAACATAATTATTTGTACGATTTATTTATAATGATAAAGCATAATAATATTTTATTATGATCAGAGAATCTACTAATGCATTTGTGTGGTTCATGTCTTTCAAATAGTAACCAAATTATATGATTGACTGGTCGAATGGTTGTGAGATTTGTTTAGTGATACATCATTTTTCATTAACAATTTTCAAGTTGTTTTGAAATAATTTTAAAGATACATTTCTATTTTGTTGGAAAGTCTTCTTCTTCTTTGTGTTTTGCATTTAATATCTGCCTTACACAATGAGTTTAGTGATTAGATGTGAAAAAGGTCCTTCATATTTGAATTAATAATGACAACAAGAATAAAAAACAAACAACTAACACTATACAGCTGAACATCATATTTATAAGCGGTGTAATTGTTGGTTTAATTTATTTATAATTAGCTGGCCCGACAGACGTCGTCCTGTCCTAATATGGTTTTATGTCAAATTATCGTTCATTTTCAAGATGAGCTCGTTCGCATGGCTCAATCACGTCCTGGTTGAAGTTTGTTCGCTACGCTCACTCACCTTTTTGTTGCAAATTAGCCGTTGTCATAAATTTAGGAAAAAATAGTGCTGCACCCTGTTGGTAAACCTGTTAACTTTTTAATGCTATTGAACTTACATCACCTCATAAGGTTAACATGGGAAACTCCAGAGCCACTGGGGCAGAGCCCTTTTGACGAATCTGCACCAAAGTTCACACAAACCATCCTTGAATAATGCTTAATAATGCCTGAAAGTTTCATTACAATCTGTCGAGCGGTTTCCGAGTCCATAAAGGACAAACAAACATAGGCTACACACAATAATTATACATTGGATTTTATATATATAGACAAGTTACTTAGTTATTCATGTGGTTTTTTCCTGTTGATATTGACAAAATGCTGTCTGATGCTAATTTGAGCTACGAATCTATTGCTTTGTTTATCCAAAATGTATCTATTGTTTTGTTTATTCCACAGGATTAGCAACCATGGGATTAAAAGAAAAAGAATTAAATGAGAAAATGGAAAACAAACAGTTGTGGAGTCACTTTCAAGACCCAAAGGTAAACAAGACAGTTCTGAAAAATACAGCTTACAGCACTGTATAAATTTGGTTCTTCTTTTGATGATAGTTTCAAGTTGGTAAATAGTGAGCATTTTGATTTTCAGCCACACCATTAAAATTGTTCTGTTTATTTAGGTATAAGTCTAAATCCTGGTTGTTACCATCCTAAGGTGACATGCTGTTAGAAAGCAAAAAAATCCAATGACAAAATAATTGCAACGAGGTCCACAATTGTTTCTCCTTATGATCAAACCAGCAATCTTTGGATTTTATGATAAGCATCAGCCCTACCCACTCTAACTAGGCTGCCCAATCAGTTATTATAATACACATGTTGTGGTTATAAATACAAATACGGTGTTTGGCTAGCTTTTGTAAGCTGAAAAAGATTGTTAATCAGTCACTTGAACATTGCCTTTTATGATTGATTACAACCAATCTTTGATAAAAGTTTACCTGGATTTGATATGTCCAAAGTAAATATTATTCTGGTTAAACTTATTAGGTATTTTCGTCATGCAATATTATAGGAGATCATCCATAAACCAAAACACTTATGAACTGAAATGCTTATCAATACCAATAGAAATAAGAATATAAAACCACCTCAATGTGTCTTAGACAAAGAAAGAGAAAATAATTGACTGACAGACGAAGGGTGGATAATTGGGGTTGGGGATTTTTTGTTGACTGCTACACAATTCAAACTAACTACAAAGTGATTTACAACGTCTGACATGTTACCAATGAAGCGATGGCAAGATTTTGCTCCTAGAAAACATACTGTATTTCAAAATGAATAATTGCTCTTCATATAGGCCTACATATATAATAGGTAACAATAAGTGTATGTTGTTAGACTTTGGTTTGGATTGAAAGTGTAAACCGGTAACCTTAACATGTGCTTTAGAGTTATATTATTGTTATTATCTTATTCTTACCATTTTAAATCCTGAATAAACAGCCTTCATTTTTACCAAAATCTTGGTCATCAGAAACAAACCCCCCCCCTTTATTTTAAAGGTTCTTTTGTGTAAATAACCAAAATGTTGAAATGCTTCAATGTTTGGGAACGCAATTTGTTTGTTGTAGATGGCTGGCTTAAGTGAGTCACTTCTGCAACACCTTGTGCGTATGTTGTGTGTGTTTGTGAGAGTTCTGGAGGAAGCTCCTGGACCTAAGAACACCAACCCATCACCAGTCAAGCGGCGACCTACACGCTCCTCCTCCCCAGCCAAGCTCACCCCCTCTACAGGTACCTCAAGAACAAGCTACTATACCCATAGCGTTTGTTCAATGCATTAAATGTAGCAGGATCTGAATTTGGTTGTTTAGGTCCTGAATATGTTGTCTTTTTGTTAACATTTTTTTTTTGTTCCAGGTAGAGTTTAATATTAATATAAAGTATTTAGTTTCTGCACCCTTGTCTGCAATAAGTTTTAGTAAGACAAGACCAACATGGTATTAGACTTATTCACCTTGGATAGTTTTATCAAGTTTATTTAAAATCTTTAACAAAATTTAAAAAGTTTAAATTATTAAATCAACAAGTGTAACTTTTTTGAATATATCAGGAGTCTGTATTAATTAACTTATTATAACTCTATTTGTACATGACTGATAATGTAGTTTTTAAAGTGATATCACTGTATGACTGTTGTGGTATTTTTTACATGATTGTTCTCTTCACATTTGTAGGTGAGAAAGACGCTGGGAAGGAAGAGAAAGGAAAGTTTGGTAATTTCACCCATCTTCCTCACTACAGCAAACTTTTTGATAACCTACGATCTGCTTATACCAATCACAAGGTACCAATTACAAGTATCTTAATCATTGTATTCTTTAAATAGAATGGTAAAAATCATATAATGCTACAGCCACACAATGTGTGTCATCTCATAAAAACCTTAAAAAATACTGATGTGTCTTATGGCAATTGTACAATTTAGACCAATTTCTAAGAAAGGGTAAATTTGAGATTCAACCAACAAAATTGGTTAAGCAAATAAAACATTTCTTGTTAAGTTATGTCTACCATATTATGGAAATTGAGCCAACATCAAGTATTTCATAAGTTATGAAAAATAAGAATAAGAGTCAAGATAAGTTAATATTGTACTCAGGTACAATCCTGATAATGAGCGAGTTGGTCAAGTGGTAGAGTGTAGGACTTTCTGAGGTCCGGGTTCAAATCTTGCCAAATCACCAATGCATTTTATCTAAGTGGTTTATGTATCTATTAATTTCAACAGTCAAAAATCAATACCGTACATAGATATGATAATGCCGCAACGCCTAGGTAATGAAAAACTAATGATGTGAACGAGTAATGTAAAAAACGATTCTGGGATCGTGCCTAGCTTCCTAAGGGAAAAAATCCTGATAATGAACTTGTCCTCGATGTGCAAAGTAATAAGAGATTGCGAGGTGTGCAAACTTAAGCTTTTCTGAGTCTGGCCTCCAGCTTTTTTTGAGCCAAGCTATTGTATAAATAATGTATAAATAACAAACTTTTTTATAGCAAAACGTTTTTAAACGCACTAAAAAGTAGAAAATAATTTATAAATATGTAGAGAGTATAAATACCTGTAATATTTAAAACGAAAAACGTGGGGTGCATGCAATAGATAATTTACAATTACCTTCACCTATTGAACTAATGTATTATTATCAATTGCATGCATCCCACGTTTTTCGTTTTAAATCTTACAGGTATTTATACTCTCTACATATTTATAAATTACTTTCTACTTTTTAGTGTGTTTAAAAACGTTTTGCTATAAAAAAGTTTTTTATTTATACATTATTTTCTACTTTTTAATTTTTAATGTGTGTGGATGTTAAATATATGTCAAGCATCTATACCAGATTAAGACAGAGGCATGTGGGAAATCTAAGGTTTATTTGAGGTTCTCTTCATATAATTATGTATTAGATTGAATGTATGGCCTACCTACTAACTATAAATATATCAATCTATTTAATTTATTGTTTACTTAATAAAATAAATACATTGGTATCATACACCTTTAAATCTGCAATCAGATTTTTCATCTTTATTTTGAAATGTTTGTATGGGAGCATAACCTGTACCTCTTAACCTCTGCTCTTCGAACTGTCAAATTTAAGTATTTACATCTGACTTAAATTAATTGATATATTTACATTCTTTCAAAATGTAAACATGGAAAATTTGGAAGCCCATGGGGCGTAGCCCAAGGGAAATATGAAAATTAAATGCTATAATATTGCATTGTCATCCATTTGTGAGCTATGTTTCAAATTTCAAGTCTCTAGCTCATCGGGAACTTCGTTTAAAATTGATATCAAGATTTGTAGGAAAGCGAGCTAATAAAAACAAGCCCATGGGGCGTAGCCCAAGGGAAATATGAAAATTACATGATATAATATTGCGTTGTCATCTATTTGTGAGCTATGTTTCAAGTTTCAAGTCTCTAGCTCATCGGGAAGTATCAAAATTTGCAAGAAAGCGAGTTAATAAAAACACGCCCATGGGGCGTAGCCCAAGGGAAATATGAAAATTAAATGATATAATATTGCATTGTCTTCCATTTGTGAGCTACGTTTCAAGTTTCAAGTCTCTAGCTCATCGGAAAGTTAGTATAAAATTGATTGCAAAGTTTGTACCGGACAAGAAAGCGAGCTAATAAAAATGTTTTAATAAGCTATATGATAATCATCAACTCACACTATGTGGCTTATTTGTACATGTCTCTTGCGGTCGCGGGGACATCATCATCATCTCCCTTAATTGCTATAACATCGTGAGTTTTTTATCGTGCAATCTTCATTGCGACACTTTCAATTGTTGTTGTTGTTGTTGTGTGCAGACGCAGCTGGAATGTGGTGACAAGATGGCAGGACTGCTAGGCTCAGTACTACTTTGTATCAGTCAAGTCTTGGAATTCTCAACCCTGGCTGAGACAGGCAGGTGTGCTGAGGAACTCTTGCTATATTTACGAGTTGTTGTTTCATTGGAACCAACCGCAAGTGTTGCTACGGTGCAACAGGTAAATATTGCCCTTCTTGTATGCAAGGCCGGGAATGATAAAGTTATTTATTTTAAATGTAAATCTTTTTCAATTGTTATGTTCAAGATGCCAAGAAAAGCTTTATTGGATTTTCTGGTTTTAAAAACTCTTTTTAAATAATTTATAAACGGTATACTTTATTATGTATTTTAAGGCACACACTTATTTCCACCTTATAAATCACAACTTTCTGATTCGATCTAGTTGAGATTTGATGTACAGTATAGTCTACACTTTACAATGTCAGATTTTAGTCCCAATATCAGGATAGAGAGAAAAGTAAGATTAAGTAAAGAGAGTATCACAGGTTTGAAATTAATTGTGAGTCTGTTGTGATGACAGTGTAATCACGAATAGTCATGCTTGAGAAAACCCAATGTGAATATCCTCATTTTGATAATGTTTCCAGTTCCTATAGGTGATAAATATTTTATTTGTTGTATTTTGCAGCTGTTGAAGAGTCTGTTTGGGTCCAACCGTGTAGCAGCTTGGGAGGAGGAAGGGAAGATGTCCCTGCCTGAGCAACACTCTCCCTCCCATTGCAACACCACCACCAACACACTGGGCTTCTATGATCTCATACTTCACAGGTTTCTTCAACAAAACACATCACCTACAGAGTCTGACATCCTGCCTAACAAGTAAAGCAAGTCACCTTTTCCCTTGATTCTATTGATCTTCATGATCATAAATGTATCTACAAACTAATACTTAAAGTTTTCTTAGTTTTAGCGAATTTCCCTATAGGGAAGTAGCTATTACCGTAGGTCTCATGGTAAGACTTAGGCCCGGGACCGATTTACTTTTTCATTTTAATGTCCCCAGAGGCCAAAAACACCATTCGTTAAAATTTTTATATATGTATATATATATATATATATATATATATATATATATATAGATTTATATATATATATATGTGTCCGTGAACACGATAACTTGAGTAATTTTTATCCGATTTTGATGAAATTTGGTTTGAAGGTGTAAGGCGGGATAAACTTGAATGAGTTCGCGATCCAGCATGATCGGACCATGGGAACAGGGTTTTATGGGGTAAAAATTGGTTTTTCTCACTTTTTACCCTCAAAACACAAAATTTCCCAATTTTTCTCCAAACCTTCTTAAAGAGCTTAAAAAAACAAACAATTCAGTATATCAAAGTGTTTTTGTACGGTTATTGGTTACGGAGAAAACTAAAAAAATTGTAAATTTAAAATTCCCATGTTATTCTTATGGAGAATATTGTAAAATGTTGTAGTTTGCTTGTTTATGGATATATTTTGATCAAACTTGGCAAATTTATTTATTTTATAGTAAGCTATCAATATTTTACTAAAAACACACTACTTTATTAGTTTCCTTGTAGCAGCAAACCTAGGTACTCGTTAAACCTAATGTTATTTAAATAGATCAATTGAAAATCAATTCGGCCAAATGGAAATTCGCTTAGATGGCAGGTTTGCTGCGACGGGGGTATATTTATAATTACTTTCTTAATCAAACAAGTACATTAAAATAACCACTATATTTTCTAAGTTTGAAAATATACTGGTTCTGAGTTTTATTTTCTTCTACAGTATTTAGTTTCAGCAAATTCCCCATGTAAAAACAATAATAAGCTATTACCGTAGTACTCATAGTAAGACCTGGACCCAGGATCGATTTACTTTTTTGTTTTGAGATCCCTAGAGGACAAAAGCACCATCGGTGCAAATTCATATATATTTATATTTCATTTATATAATATATGTAAATATATGTGTTTGTCCGTTAGCAAGATAACTCAAGCAAAAATGATCCGATTTTGATTAAATTTTGTATAAACATGTAAACCTACATTTATTCTAATGAGTTCGCGAACGAGCATGATCGGACTATGGGAACGGGGGTTTTTATGGGGTAAAAATAGGTTTTTACCATTTTTGACCCTACAAACACAAAATTTCACAATTTCTTTCCAAACCATTTTGTAGAGCTTAAAAAAAACAAATAATTTAGTTTATTGAAGCGTTATTATGCGCCAAATGATAACTGAGAAAATTCAAAAAATTTAAAATGTCTATGTTATTTTTAAAGGGGAACAAGTCAACTGTTGTAGTTTTGCTTGTTTATGAACATATTTTGATCAAACTTGGAAAATACATTCATTTCTTACTAAACTATTAACATTTAAAACAAATGTTTGTTGTAATCTTTACCCTCCCTGTTGCAGCAAACCTAAGTACACACTCAATAACTAATTCTATTTAAATAGGTAATAAATTTGATATTTCTAAGGAGACATTTTAGTTTACATCCATGAAAATTCTGTTAGTCTGCAGGTTTGCTGCAGCGGGGGTATTATTTAACTTCAACAGTTTTTTGTGTGCCTTAGCTATATTTGATTTATCTGAGTGCATCCTGAAAGATTAAAGAAGATTTTGAAACTGTTATTAGTCCTCTTACAACGTCCCACGAGTAAAAACATGATTTTGATCTGTTTACCATGTTCCCATTTGTATTGTTGGTAATACCCTTTTTAAGCTAGCCCTAATGATCAATATTGACAGTATATAGATTTACTAATTGTTGATCACAACAACTTTTTAAACACAGCAACGAGAAAGAAGCTTGGAACCAAAGAAAGACAGTTTCCATCATCAAGGGTCTGATGAAGAGTTCTGATCGCCATGCACTAGCCTCTTACATCCGCCTGTTTGAGCCCATGGTCATACAAGCACTGAAGGTGAGACCAAACACAACACACCTTATTTATAGGATTGTGTCTGTTTTCTATTCTGTAGAGGTGATCGAAGACAATTTAGAACTTTTAAACTATACACACACATTTTTTTAGGAAATTGACTACCTTAACGAGTATAACAAAACATATAATAAAGTAAATCACAAGTATTTTTTTGCTAATTTTAAAGTGGTTGGTGGGTAATAGTTAAGTTAAGGAAAATTAAGTTTTTCACCAAATTAATTGTTGGCCTATATTTGTTTTCATTCAAACATTGATTATATTTGTAGGCCATGTTATCAAGTGATGTTCTTTGTTCTTCTCTTATGATACTTTGCCACCATCAAAGAAAATCCCATCCTAAAAAATTACATAAAAAAATCACACTTTTTAGACTGAATTTTCAGGTCTTGGATCAATTCTACAATAATAATTCAAAATGGTTAAACATGTAACTATATCTGTTTGTTTAAGCAATACACAGTAACCAACAATGTGAGGCTCCAGGTGGCTGTTCTATCTCTTCTGACTCAACTAGTCCAGCTGAGAGTCAACTATTGTCTTCTGGACTCTGACCAAATATTCATCGAGTTTGTGTTGAAACAGTTTGAGTTTTTGGAAGCTGGTCAAATCAAGTAAGTTTCTGACTAAATTATCTTGCATTTATTTTTGTAGTACCAGGAGACCGAGCTTTGGTCATTTTGAATTAAACATTAAATTTATTAGATAAGCTATTTAGCTAAATTAAAGATATTTATTATGTACGTTAATCAATTTGAACAAATGTTATATGATACAAAGAAAACATTATAATACACCTTTATAAATACATATATTGCTATAAAAATAACCTGTTTCAGCTGTTTTATTAACTGCAGCTACAAAAAGGTATTGACGATAACATGGGTACTTTAAGGGGCTTTAAAGTAGGGCAGAAACTGGATTTTTCCCAGCCTTGTGACGACAGGGTATTAAAAAATATTTATTTTGAAAATCTTGAATTTAAATTTCTTGCGGACATTTTTAAAGTTGGTCAAAACAACTTGCATGTTTTTTTGGCACTGTTCTATAAAAAAAGAAACAAAAAAGGGATGGGAATTTCATATTAAGTAATTTTGGACCGTGAAACATCAATCTAATCATAAAACACCACTAGCTAACTACAGAGGTATCTAAACTGAACATCACTGCATTTAAAAAAATGTGTATTGTTTTAAGGTTTATTACAGCTTACATTACATTAAAGCTTACATAATTTCAATTTGAATTCCATAGCAAAATTAGGAGAACAATTTAAATTTTCACCATGTTAAGTAATGCTTTTGGTTAATATGCATTTTAGGGTTTGCACGCGATTTTTGAAATTTTTTTCATTCTACTCAAAATTCAACGCTGATTCCGAAAATGAAGTTCTTTTTCCGCGGAAAACGACCATAACACGGAAAAACAACCAAAACTACCAAACATCTTTTTTTTATCAAAACACGTCATGTGGGTACTCAAATTAACCGGAATATTAAGCAGATCACGAATATGCAATTGTTTTTTTTTTGTCAAATAAGCGAGATTTTTACGAAAATGTGATACTACCAGCAATAACCCCAACTCACTAGGGGACAGGTGGGAATTCGGGGTTTTGGGTGGGGGAGACATCTAACGTGGTTTATCATTGGAAAATTAGGCGGGGGAAAGGGTAATTTAATGTGTAAAAAGGGTAATTTAACGGGAAATAATGGGTAATTAGTCGGGTGAATTATGGGAAATTTGCTTGGAATTAAGAAACTTTTCCGTACCAACCTATTCATTGGTTGTTGTAGAACTGCCATGTTGCTTGAAGTTCAATCACGCATTAACTACTGGTTGGATTGTGTTGAAATTTGGTATGATGATAGCTCACATTCCCGATTAACATATAGACATATTCTTACCTCAAAAATCCCTTCGGGCTCCGCCCCAACGGCTCTAGAGTTTCCCATGTTAACCTTATGAGTATTCATATTTAAAAAGAATTAAATAATTTTGCCAGCTGTTTCAACTAGACACAATTTGTTTCTATGATATTCAATAGCATTAAAAGGTTATACGGTTTACCAACAGGGTGCAGCACCATTAGTTCTTTATACATTTATGACAACAGCTAATTTGAACCAAGCAGCAACAAAAACCTGAGTGTGAGAACTTTACTTCTTTCTATTGTTTAGGTGAAGAGGTAGAACATTATGGCTATGGTAGATGTTCTATATACTATATACCGTAGATTATAGTAAACCAAATGTTCTCAAAACGTGTCCTCTCTCATTGCAAATGCAAAGCACGAGTATTTAACCACAATAAGTATTGTATACCAACCCGGTACGAAGGACGGGTACTCAGCTAGTAGTTCTATATATATGTATTTATAGGATTATTTGACTCTATTCAATACATGCTATTTGTGTATAGCAAATAAAAACTTAGAGGGATGGTCAAGTCTCAAAATTTCGGGAAATTTTACATCTCATTACACGAGACAAGATTTCTTTTTGGCCGAGATTTTTATCGAGACAAGAATAAAAAATAAAAAAATTAAAAAAAAATTAAAAACGCCTGCCGAAAGTAAATGCAATACCCGCAATACAGGAGCGTGTTGTAGTTGCGTTTCCTTTGCGAAGGCGTTCTTATTTAATTAATTCTTTAAATGTAAATATTACTTTAATTATTTTAATAATATTACTTTAATAACATTTGAGAAGTTTTGTTAAGTGTAAGCAGTGTGAGGAATGTTTTATTACTATAAAAAGTCAAAACAAGTAACTATTTTATAAAAATGAATAGGTATTGCTTTTATTTTATGATTTATTTTATTTTAGGATAAGTTGAACTCTATCCTAACTGATATCACTATGTTTCCTAATCGTAGGCATTTTTAATAAGTTAGGCGTGATCAATAAAAAAATGTTATGCTGATGTTTTTTAATAAAAGATTGTAAATATTCTTGCCTATTATCATTATTTATCATTTATTTAAACAGTCATCTAACAATGTTACAAAATCAGGTAAAAATTTTGAACGTGCATTTCCCGTTGTGTATGAGAAGGGAAATCCCGTCTCGACCTCGTCTCGAAATTTTATGAGAGATAAAAAATCTCGTCTCGTCTCGTCTCGAACTAAAAATCCAATCTCGTCCATCCCTACTTATTTGATTGGATTTGAATTGATTATGATAATGTTTCAGCCATTGTTGTGTGTATACTGATTTGTATGTAGGCTAAGTGATTGGTAGTACCAAAACATTTATTTTTGTAGCCAAGCTGAGGTTTTAACCCCCAAGATGTTTGAGTTTCTGGTGCATCTGTCTTATGAGAAGAATCACTCTAAGCCAGTGATTGGAGTGGCCAAGGTGATACAACTCTGTGATGGCCTCATGGCCAGTGGGCAGGACCCTCTCACCCACTGTAAGTAACCACCAAGCACTCTCTAAACAAATCTGCTGTCTAATGAACAAACACTAATGTAATGCAACATTAACATGTTAAGCGCGTGGGGCAGGAAATCTTGACCTACAGTAGACTGGGCAGGATATGTCGTTCTCCTAACTAGCAGTTTTGTTTACTGCTGCTTTCTGTTGGGCTTTTGTAAAACTATGTCCACAAATACTGGGATACAGTACATACTATAATATGCGTCTCATTTTGATGAAACTGAATTTAAACGTTTTTGCACAATCATCCGCAACCGCATTGAATGTGTTAAAGCTATTTTTTCAGCTATTTATTTTTTAAAGTTATTCGTGGAGCATTTATCTTAGCCAATAAACCATTGTTCATTATATCTTGGCCAAACAATGCAACCAACCTGATTGATGGCTCATGGGGGATTTTGTTGCACAATTGATTGCACATTTTGTAGTTAGGTGCCAAGAAATCTGTTAATGTTGACTATAGATGTATGAACTAGGATTATTTAAAAGGACATAATTAACTGTGTTGTGGTACAGGTATCCCAGCCCTGGCGCCCATAGTAGAGCATGTATTTACAGCTACAAGCTCCACTAGTGTCTGGCAAGTCAAAACTCAGAGGGACGTAGTAATTGCCATGCTGCTCAGACTAGCTGAATATCCTCAGGTATCTTAAATTATAATTCATATTTTTATATAGTATGTATTTTATTATTTTTTATATAAAATACATATCTATATTTTTAGATTTTTAATCCCTGAACCTTTCATCTCTTCTTGTGTTCATGGTGTGCCCAAAAGCTGGTAGGTTGCGTAAAATTTTCTCCGGGGTGATAAAATATGGTTTGGGTCCTGTAAAGTTGCAAATGACTCCTGGTTAGCCACCTGATATACCTTTTCATTATCTTCAAGCCCAGAATTTCCAGGAACCCAGCAGAATGTGATTTTTGAGCTCCCCAACCTGTAGGTGGCTTCAAACCATTCCCAAACTAACCTTGCCCTAAACTCGTAGAAAAAAGTTCTTTGAGGGAAGCTTGGATCTCTAAAAAAATGCAACACATTCCAAAATATGTAAATTATTTGCGACTGTAACATAGAGAGATTCTCAACTAAGATGTTGATCTCCCTTCTGGCTCTCAATTCCTGTATTCCTATCTCAGTTTCAGTGGTTGCTTTAGAGCCATCTGTTAACCAATTCAGCTTACCTTTTGGAAGTATTACTTTACCACTATTCATCTAGTTACGGAATCCTTACAGTAAAGAAAATGAGTTTCAAACCTTTATCTGATTGTAGTTCATCCTCAGAAGAGCTTCACCTCTCACTTCAAGGTAATGCTGGGTGGGTGAGCACACCCAGAGTCCCTCACATCTGACTCTCTCTCACCCTTGAAATGACAAAATACATAAAGTAGCAAAAGATCCAAAAGAACAGTCACTGATCAGCATACAAGCTTATGTACGCCCAGCAGTATTTCAGCAGCGCTTTTGACATTGACTGTGGGTCACCAGACCAGCGAACTATAGGTCATTGATACAAACAGATGATGATGCCAGGATGTCCCAGCAGTTCCCCACCATTCCCCTGCAGGTCATAGGACGCTGAAAGGTCATACAACCACCATGAACCTTACCTGTATCCGAATACACTCAGTATACAAAACTCTAACCTCACTGAGTTTGCTGAGTCAGATGTTGATAGCTAGCCAAAGTAAGGAGAGCAAGCGTTGGTCTCACCAGATTGCTGATGTGGTAATGTTGGTTATTTACAATGTAATGTTGTGTATAGGTGCTGAGTTTGCTGAGTCAGATCTTGATAGCTGAGCGAGGTGGGGAGGAGAGCAAGCGTTGGTCTCACCAGACTGCCGATGTGCTGATGCCACTTCTGGCGCAGGGAAGAGTCAGACTAGACTCAGCTGAAGCTATTGTTGCCTTGCTGAATCTTCTCAATAGTTTGCTACCTCGCACACTCAGTCCGCCTGATCCTGTATTGCGGGTTCTGTTTACCTCACAACTTTTTGTAAGTCCTCGAATATATGTCCTTTATTTATCAGTTAAAAAGATTTATTTTATTTTCTGTGTTGTCTACACTAATGGAATTCTTTACGTTTTTAAATAAAAGGCAACGGTCTGAATCCTAGACTTATTACTATCTAACGTCAACCTTTGTTAGATAGTATCCTTAACTCATAGCATAGTGACAAATGGCATCTGGGTCTGGAAACAATCTCTCTTCGAATTGAAAGAGCGACCTTAAGATTTGAAGGTAAGCATTGTTGCAGTAATTAACAATATTATTGTTTAGAATAGGCATTGTTCCATTAGAACATTGGTACAGTTAACCACATTAGTATGATAAATCAGTTGGGATGGATGCAGGGTGTCCAGCCAACCTTGGAACCGAGGAAACCGGGAATTGTACGTAAATTTTGATGACCGGGAAAAATCTGTGAATTTAACGTGAATTTTGTAAGGACTGGAAACTTAACATTTTTTTAATAATTGCCAAAAACAGCCTGAAATCACAGTATGATGACTGACCACAATCAATAATTTTACCTTCCGAAAAAATAATTTTATCTGTTGCTCTAGCTTTTTGAGAATAGATAGTCAAGAGCTCTCAAACTATTCCATGCTTTTTGTTATTCCAGGAGATAGAGTACAGCAGCCGCAGCCTAAGCACAATGTTGGCGATGCTGTTGTACATCATAGGTAGAGATGAGGAGGACAGTTTTTTGGCTAGACTGGAGGATCTGAAGCTGTGTGTGCGTGAACAGAGTGATGATCCTCTCAATGCTACAGCCGCTAACCTCAACGACCCACCTCAGACTGTCTTTGCCAGGTGTGTGTTATGTCAGACCTCATGAATTTAACATATAATCTAACAAAACCTAAGCAAGATTAACTGAACAAACACACAAACTGCGACAAGCCTTATCCACACTATGCTGGTTGTTTTACCAGTTCTATCAGTAAAATAAATCATTCTTTTTTAATGTTAATCCTCCATCTGGAAAAACACTAGTGACTATTAAAAGTAGTTCCTCTACTGGAAAATTACTAGATATAATCGGTATGGATCGATGATCGTCAAAGTCGCGGCAACACCCGTACGTATATGTTACTGTCTCGGTAGAGATGCGATCGTCATTTGGGATCGTGTCAACATTCCTAAAAAAAACAAAAAACACCTCAATATCTTCCCTGTAGCAGCAATCCTAAGTACTTCTTAAAATTAAAGTTATTTAAATAGGAAATAAATCTAACCATTTTAGGGTTTATTTTAGTATAAATCGAGCCAGGTCAATGGAAACTCGCTTACAGCAGGTTTGCTGTGGCGGGGGTATTAGTTATATTGTAAATGACTGTATTACTTGTGGAGGAACAAAGATTTATTAAATTATTTTAATACCTGATTTACCGCCCCATTAAACCTTTGTAAAGAATTGGTGTAGTTTAGTTATTCAGGATTTTTTACCCATTTGTAAATACTTAATATTTTAGTGAATCTTGCCTGTTGTATAGATTGCTGCTCAGAACATTGCTGTGCCTTACCACTCAGTTACACTCAGCCACCTTCTGTTCCTATGGAGACCCATCTTCAGCCTCCTACCTACAATACTTGCTGGCCCACTTCTTGCTCTGTTGCTGTCATTTGCTTAAATCAAGTTAGTATATTTTTAGCAATACAGTATATAAACTATTCAAATAATTGTGTGGAGAGCTTTAAATATTTAGGAGTTACTGTCAATAGTTTAAATTCTGAAGATCATGAGATACAAAGTAAACTAGCAAATGCCAATAAGAGCCTTGGGGCCTGTACAAAACTTTTGTCATCGAAACTTTTATCAAGATGCTCAAAATTAAGATTATACAAGACCATTATACAGCCAGTGTTATTGTATGGAAGTGAAACATGGGTCCTCTCCAAAAGAAATGAAGAATGTTTGATGGTGTTTGAAAATAAGGTACTTCGTAAAATATTCAGCCCAATTTATGAATAAGGAGTTTGGTGCATTAGGAAAAATAGAGAGCTGCGTGCCCTATATAAAGAGCCTGATATAATAGTGCTTATAAAAGCCAAAAGAATTAGTTGGCTAGGCCATGTACTTCGGAGACAGGATGGCACAAGACTGAAGGAGGTTTGTGTGGCCGTACCTACAGGTAGACGACCGTTGGGTAGGCCTAAATTAAGATGGTATGACCAAGTCAAAAAAGATGTGATCCATCCTTCCCCAACAACGGAAAGCTCTCTTTGAGAAAACTCCTTCATACATCGGATGCAAACTGAATAATCTGTTACCAAATAATCTCCAAACTCTGACTGGAAAAATCCTCAAGAAAGAACTTCAAAAGTATCTACAGGACCATCCAGTGTACACCTTAGATGAGTTCCTGGGCCTACTACAATGAAAAAATGCAGTTTCAACATGAACCCATTTCTTGATATTATCGGATTTGTAATGTACAAATAAACTCCATCCTCGCTGATATCGCTGCCTTCTGGTAGGCAGAACTCAAAGGCCGCTAATCGTAATCATGTCAAATTTGGATAGTAAGTCAATTAAAATATGTTCTTTATAATTATGTAGTTATTTTTGATCTCCGGTAAAAAAATCCATCTAAAATAAGTGGCTTTCGGATAATACCAAAGTACCTTATATTTCTTGTTCTCAAATAAGCTATGTTGACATTTCTTTTGGTAATCATAACCCTTCTAACTTTGTTGCTATAAATTTGTTGTAGGTAGTCATCAGGTTATTGCAGCAGGGTTAGTAGCACTAATGGCACAAACAGAGGCCGCCAACATAACTCAGCTGAGTAAGATGTTTGTCAGTCTGGCACCACGATGTCCTCTAGTAGTGGTACTTTGGTGTCGTCTACTAGCCTTCGCTGGTATTGGACATTGTGATAAAGCTTTCTGGTCTACGCTTGTTGGAATAAACAGGTATTTACGTTTCCTTTTTCAATATCAAAAAGAATCTGGTAAAAATAGTGCATTTAGTACAGAATATCATAATAAAAAAACCTTACCAGTTCATGACAGACTGTCAATGTTTTTGTAACAACACCTCCAAACATTCAATCTCTCACTACTGTAGTAAAAGTCCATACGGCCATTGTATTTCAATAGGTTTAAATGAGGTTCACAAGGCAGCCAGATAGCATTAAATATTCAATTGAAGGTTCTAATAATACTTACTCTCAGCAGGATTATAGATCAGTGATTTGTAAAACATCCAAAATTAAATCCGATTGTGGATGCTCATTACTATAATTTTCAACATTGTACACCATTTCTTAACTAATTTTCAATGGGTTTTTCAGTGTGGACATCAATAACTTCAAACATTCATGTTTGAATTTGGACGTGGTTCACAGAGGCAGCCTTATCGTGTTTTGCGATTTTATTGCAGTAAGTATAACCATCACTATAGAAAACATTTCTTAGAGACCTATAAAAATTACTTAAACTGAAAACCCCCCACCAGAAAAAACTTGCAAACTGAGAAAGTTGCAGTTTATTTATTTAATTTTTTTGCTGTAATCAAAGGAAATTTACTCTTTATATTACACCCACAAAAGTGATATTGGCTCAGTGAGTGCTTAAGAGGTGTGGTAAAAGCAGGTTTTGGTGTATAAAAAAAATAAAAATAAATTTAAATTGATCTTATATAGCCTAAACAATAAACAGAATTTTTCTAAAATATCTTTAATTGTCAATTATCATCTGATAATTGATTAATTGATCAATTAATCTTAATCACATAAATCACTTCACTGAAAAGGGCACTTCTGTGTTTCAGTGGACACTTAATAATCGAGCACGATTGTGACTTTGGCGGTGTCGAATTATTGAAAATGACGGATTACTGAACATCTTGTAAAATATCTGTGGAATTTTATAGTCTGCATCTTATAATGATGTATCTTATAGAATTTCATAGTGCTATAACACTATTCATTTGTGAGACTAGGATGAATACCTAAGTCTAGCGATTGCTCCAGACGTCTATGAATCACTACCGACGTCTACCAAATGCTCCTGACATCTACCAACTGCTCCTGATTTCTACCGATCACTACCAATGTCCACCGATTGCTCCTGATATCTCTCGATCAAGAGCCATTGCTCCTAACATCTACCAATCACTCTTGCCTCTCCTAATCGTACCAACTCTACCAAATGCTCCTGACATCTACCAACTGCTCCTGATGTCTACCGATCACTACCAATGTCTACCGATTGCTCCTGATATCTCTCGATCAAGAGCCATTGCTCCTAACATCTACCAATCACTCTTGCCTCTCCTAATCGTACCAACTCTACCAAATGCTCCTGACATCTACCAACTGCTCCTGATGTCTACCGATTGCTCCTGATATCTCTCGATCAAGAGCCATTGCTCCTAACATCTACCAATCACTCTTGCCTCTCCAACTCTACCAAAAGCTCCTGACATCTATCGATCGCTCCCAACGTCTGCCGATCGTTCCTGATGTCTATGATCACTTCCTACTCTGCCAATTTTTCCCACACTTATCTGTTTAAAAACAGCATGAAATATGTATTTAGACCTGTAGACCAATGATTGATTATCAAAAGTGCCGGACTATCAGATGCCAAACTAGCAGGCTTTTACTGTTATCTCCTGTTTGTTACAGAGCTCAGCTAGGCTTGTAGAGGACAGCGCCTGGCTGCTTGGACGTCATTTCCCTTCGTTGTTGTCTCTGTATACAGAGCCCCCCGTGTATGAGTTGCTTGAAGCCTGTAAGAACAATCCTGCCACTGCTGGACTACTGCTACCCCCACTGGCAACTGTCGCTGCCAACAACCCTACTGTAAGTAACCAACCTTTACCCATATAACACTAACAATAAGGACTGAAAATCCATTGTTTTGTTTTAGGTACCTGTTTTAAAATAGTATGATCTTTATCTGTTGTTTAGTTTTTTATTTTTTCCAATCTTGCCTCTTCCCTGTCATAAAAGCTGGTGATTCTCTAAAAGCCTATGCTTCTATGTAATTTAACTTTGAGTTAAAATATCTATTTATTTAGCTGTACTGAGGTTTGGAATACAAAATATTTTAACATTTAAAGAAAGAGATACATGACAGACCCTATTAAAAAAATATGCTCGAAATGATTTTTTTTACCTTCAGAGGATTTCTGATTATAAAAAGTAAGCAAGTTCTTAGATTGATGTGCATAAGATAGGGTACTGCAAAACATCACTACAACCACTGGTATTATGAAATAAACAACAAACTAAATAAAGTTTTTCCACCTTTTTTAAGCTTTCAAACTATTATTTATTTCTGCAGACACGCAGGTATAAAAAAATGCCTATTTTAAAAGAACTCAGTTTTACAAAAATAAAATAGTTTTATGGTAATTTCTTATAACTCTGGCTTGAATGGTGACATTTGACTGATTGATTGGTGGTGTTTAGCCATGGCTAGTCAGCAAGATCCTGGACCTACTGTTCTCTGTCAGTCTGGATGACTCAGGCTCCGTGCTGACTATACTCACCATGCTGCTGCAACATCCTCACCTAGTGCTGGCCCGGCGTGCTTCAGCACTCGCCTGCTCGTTAGTATAGTGTACAGCATGAGTGTAAAAATACTTTCAAAGCTTTTGAAGAACCTTTGTTAACATTTGCCAATAATTTATTTTTTATGTATTCCTCCCTATGCGTGGTATGTACACCACCATTTTGGCGAGGTGTAGTCTTAAGCTAGGACAACACAGTAAATTTATGGACTTCTACTGCCAACCAAACCTAATTACTTTACCTAATATGGTTATCAATAGTAATTAAAAATGAATCTTCTTAAATTTAATTTTATCATAATAATAAAACATAGTGGTTTAACTTTATATTCAATACTAACCTATGTTTGAGGTCTAGCATGAGCATGACCTAGCATGTGGTCTAATCTTGCCTGTTTTCAGGAGAGTAGAATATCTTCTGATCTTGGAGAGAGAAGAGGTTGTGAAAATGTTGGATCATGATGATCTGCTTAACTTATTGAGACTGATAACTACCAAAAACTCACGATTGGCTACCAAGTAAGTAGATGGCATCCCTTTAGGTACATAATAAAGTTTTAAAATCTATGAACTTAAGAAAGTTGTTAAAGAATAAGTTTGTACCTATTTTCAAAATGAGGACACAGACAAACATGATTTTAGTAAGTTCTTGTTAGGTCATCTGCACTGTTAGTGTTGAGCAAACCTGAAAAAACTATTATGCAATTCATTCTACTCAACTTTGAAAACCCCATTATTTAAACCACTATTGATTCAACCCTACATGAAACGCTATGCAAAGGTTTCCTCTGTGTATTTTATATTTTTTAGTACATAAATTAATATCTTCTTGGTCATGCCTCTGTTGCTGTACCTCATGTGCCTATTCCTATGAACTGGATTTAGTTTTCTGTCCATTCCTCTTGCTCCCCAGTGTGAGCCGTGGTTTGCTTCAGTACCGGTAGTGTATTGTTTTCCCAGAGGAATAACAATAACATATTTGCACTTAATTGCATTGCATTTCAGTGATGTACAAAGATAAGGATCATGATAAAAAGCAAATTGGTTTTGTTACATCAAAATGGAATACGAATATAAAAAAAAAAACTTATATAAATGCCAAAAGCACAATATTAAACCGTTACCAAACCAAGTGGGGTATTTGTTCTAGAGTTGTTTGCAAAAGAAGTGAGAAAAGGGAATGCAATGAAGAGGAACAAATATGGGGGGGGGGCTTAAAGGAGAGAGACGATGAGAAAGAAACAAACTTTTTTGTAGTAAAATAATAATAAAATAAATTATGATGGTATTAATGGCATTACAACTTTTTATTTGTGACAGAGGTCAGTACCTCTGTCACAAATTAACCAGGCCACAAAATCAGTATTTGTGCCCAAAATTACAAAAAAAAGTGTTCCGTTTGATGTAAATAGATCCCCCCCCCCCTGGAACCCTACTTGAGTGCCTTATGGTTTTTTTAAGTTCAAACGTCCAATGTAGGGTTAATAACGTTTGCCATCGAGCCTGGTGCTAATGTGTCCATGAATGCTGCAGACACAGTGGACTGGTCAGTTTGCTCAACAAGTTAGCGACCACTCACTACGACATGACTCTTCCATGTGAACAGGGCCGCAATGTCAACACTACCAACATCCAGTCCATCTGCCTGGACAAGGCTTGGTTCCTTACTCAAGTGCGACTGAGGTAGGCCATTCATACAAATAGTGTTGTTTCAAATATTGTGTCATTATATCTTTCAATATATAATTTGAAACTTTTATTTAGAAATGCATTTATAAAATGAAATGTATGCTGATCCAACTTTAAGGGTGTTTTAATTAATTGGGGGAGCGAGCTGGCGTAGTGGTTAGAGCGTGGGACTTCAGTCCGTGAGGTCCCGGGTTCGATCCCCGCCATGTCACCAATGGATTTTATCTAAGTGATAATGCCGCAACCCCTAGGTCTAGCCTGAAGTTAATGTGAAAAACAATCCCAGGCTCGTGCCTAGCGTCCTAGGACAAAAAAAAAGGTGTTTTAATACACTGACCTGACATGTAGCATCTCAAAATGTTCCTTGTGATCCTAAATTTATTAAAAAACACAAAAATTATCAAAAGTTATTTTCATAAGGCCCAATTTTGAGGTATAAATCAATAGGGAATAAGCTATTACCGTAGAGCGGATTTAGAAACTGCCAAGCATACAGTTGTGTCACCTGTTTTGGCTTACATTGTTGTACGCTGTTAATTTCTTATGTTTTACGATATGTATGGTTGTAATCTCGCGAGTGTAGCTGTGGGTACAAGCTAGTAACGCATGGTGCAGGTGTTGTCAGGTGGAGAGTGCTCAGCAATGCAGCCAACTGCTGAGTCAGCTGGACTATGACGACATTGTGTCTGTAATGAGATGCCAGCAATTTAACAACTGCATTTTGCAACACTGTTTCATCCTTGGAACTCAACTTACAATGCAGGTTTGTTAACATTTCTCATGTTGTAGGACTACATTATGTATGTAGACTATAAGGTATAAAGACATATATTTTTTTACAAGGTATAAAAGTCCTTATCATCTCCAGTTTTAGCAAATTTCCCATATAGGAAATAAGCTATTACCGTAGGTCTCATAGTAAGATCCAGACCTGGGACCGATTTATTTTTCTCTCTCGATATACCCAGAGGCCAAATGCACCATCTGTTCAAATTCATATGTAAATGTGTCTGTTAGCGCGATAACTCAAGTAAGAAAGATAGCATTTTATAAAAGATAATTTATGAAATTTGGTACAAACGAGTAAACTTACATGGGTTTTTCCCATTTTTGACCCTCAAAACATAAAATTTTCCAATTTCTTTACTAACAATTTTCTAGAGCTTAAAATAACAGAAGAAGAATTTAGAAGAATTTAGTAAGCTGAAGCATTGTTGTGTGCCTAACGGTTAAGGCATTCTTAAGACATGGGGGAGAATAAATTATCTGTTGTGGTTTTCTTATTTATGGACATATTTATTTCATACTAAGCTATCAACATTTTAATAAAAACAGACCTTGCCTGTAACAGCAAACCTAAGTACTCATTAAAACTTATAAGTAATGTTATTGAGATTTGAGCCGGGTATGTGGAAATGCAGGTGGCTTAGTCTGCAGGTTTTGTGCGCCCGGGTATTTTATTTTAGGAGATAAAACACAAGGTTGGACCCCATATAAATAATTGCTCCAGGTGCTGGGAACAAAAGTAAGAAATAAAAATGTTTGATAAACTACACTTGTCCTTTGATTGGTTCTTATATCTGTTGTGTTAGGAGCGCAAGACACCCAAGACATTGAGTGAGCATCTGTCTCCTCTACACCTTGCTGCCAGGACCACTCTACTGCAGCATCTACACCATCTACACACTCTCCTACCCAGGGTGCACCAGGTGTGTGGCAACAATCCTTCATCAACATTTCAACTTCAAACTAAGATAAATTGTACTCTTTCTTACAAACCAACCAGCCAATTATACAGGGTGGTAAAAAAGTCCCAGGACAGTTAAATATTTTAAAAAATAATGTAGATAGAGCTACAATACTTGGTACAAAGTTACAGGGCATTAAACTCTATTTTAACACATATTCAGTGATCCAATAACTCTTCAGGGGGACGGCCCACAAGGAGTCGGAAGAAAATCTTAAATGGAAGCATAGGTCAATATGCACATCAAATTAAAGGTATTTTTTAGTAGAATACAATGCCGCAAACCGCAGTTCAAAAGGTTGATCCTGCGCAAAATGGCAGATGTTCAAAGATTTCATGAATCCGCCATTTTGAATCTTTGAACGACTGCCATTTTTTACTCAGGCATTCTTTTGACCTTGAATTTACGGCATTGTAATCTACTAGTGAAGACCTTTAATTTGATGTGCATATCGACCTATGCTTACGTTAACAATTTTCTTCCGATTCCTAGGGATGTGCCCCCTGAGGAGTAAGCGTATAATAGCAATGTAAATTGAATGAATCTTTGAACAACTGTCATTTTGGCCAGGATCAACCTTTTGAAGTGTGGTTTGCAGCATTGAATTCTACTAAAAAAGACCTTTAATTTGATGTGCTGTGCATAATGACATATGCTTCCATTTAAGATTTTCTTCCGACTCTTTGTGGGCCGTCCCCCTGAAGAGTTGTTGGATCACTGAATATGTGTTAAAATAGAGTTTTATGCCCTGTAACTTTGTACCAAGTATTGTAGCTCTATCTGCATTATTTTTTAAAATATTTAACTGTCCTGGGACTTTTTTACCACCCTGTATAGAAAGCTAAGCAAAGTAAAGATATTAATTTTAATTTTATTTTGTGTGTTTTTCACACCAATGGCACTTTTTACGTTTTGAAAGGGATATTGATGTTATTATACGGTTTTCCTGTTCTATTATAGTTTTTCAATTCAAAAACAACTTGTATTGAATCCCAACTAGAGACTTACTATCCTAAGTTTTAAAAAGTATTCTGTTGCTAAAATGTTTATAGTGGTGGTACCAAATCAAGAGAATGTGAAAAATGACTTGCTGTGTAATCCAACCCTAAATAGTTGAACTATGAAAATTTATGTAAATTAGATGGTTTGGTTATCTATCATAAAATATGTTTGTAGGACTTTCCACATTTCGTTATGAAGCAAACGATACCAGATGATCCAACCTAACCTAATCGCCGCAGCGCGCTGTATAAGGGTGGCCTCTGTATAATACGAAAGTACCAATTAGATGAAACCTCAATAATCTGAGTGCATTATTCATTATTATCTGTTTGAAGTAATTATCTAACTTATATTAAATGTTATTAAAATACAAGTCTACATAGCGTTCTTTAAGCTTTGTTCATTGTAGGTGTACAGTCCAGTGGGAAGGCTGGCATTCCCCAAGGAGACCAAGTACACGGAGAGGCTGAATGAGCTGTTTGGTGACGCAAAGTTTGTGGACACTCTAGTGAAGTTGGTGCCAGCGGTAGTGGCATATCTGGCGTCCACCAGAACCACAGGCTGTGATCCCTCACCTGCAGCTCAAGACCTGGTTACCTTCGGTGTCCTCTGTACTGAGGTGGGTTCATTGGACCCAAGCTGCCTTTATTTGGCTTTTTAAAATATTATTTTAGTCAAAGAAACAGCTGATCGTAGTCAGTAACAAATCTGTTTTATGATCCTTCACCTTAATATTTTTTGGAAAGTAACTGAAAGAAACATCTTGTAACACTTCAAACAAATATTTACGCTTATACTGTTACTCACAAGACAGTAAATATACATAAAAGATGGTAAGTGGTGATTGATTTTGATTAGACACTCCAATCATCATCAGACCCAATAGGCAAATGACCATTTGAATCACATGTTTGCTACAGGTAGTACATTGGATGTTGAGAAAGTCATCTCAGTGCCCTAGCCTCATCAACAACTGCCTGGAATGTGCTGTAGATGTGCTGCAACTGGAGGAGGTGTCTGGATTGTTGTTTAAGTATTCACATGTTTGCTACAGGTAGTACATTGGATGTTGAGAAAGTCATCTCAGTGCCCTAGCCTCATCAACAACTGCCTGGAATGTGCTGTAGATGTGCTGCAACTGGAGGAGGTGTCTGGATTGTTGTTTAAGTATTCACATGTTTGCTACAGGTAGTACATTGGATGTTGAGAAAGTCATCTCAGTGCCCTAGCCTCATCAACAACTGCCTGGAATGTGCTGTAGATGTGCTGCAACTGGAGGAGGTGTCTGGATTGTTGTTTAAGTATTCACATGTTTGCTACAGGTAGTACATTGGATGTTGAGAAAGTCATCTCAGTGCCCTAGCCTCATCCATAACTGCCTGGAATGTGCTGTAGATGTGCTGCAACTGGATGAGGTGTTTGGATTGTTGTTTAAATATTCACATGTTTGCTACAGGTAGTACATTGGATGTTGAGAAAGTCATCTCAGTGCCCTAGCCTCATCCATAACTGCCTGGAATGTGCTGTAGATGTGCTGCAACTGGAAAAGGTTCCTGGATTGTTGTCTGTTACCCACTTGGGTTCTCTGACCTCTGCTTTGGCTCGCCTTGTCTATTTTTCTACTCGGAACAACCTTATCATGCCTAGGCAACAAGGTACAGCATTATTGTCTGTCTCTTAAAGATTATACCTCAGCATGCATTTATTATAGATCATACTCTGATATTATTTTGTACATAATGTTATGCTTATTCTTCTATTAAACTTTTGCAGCTGTTTTCTTTCTCCTGGTTTCAACTAGAATTGGTGGTGGATATTTAGCTGTGAATATTATAGTTTGCATTTCAGTTATTTTTATAAACTGTTTATATAGTTTTTTTCATTATTTGCAGCGAACAATCCTGTAGTTAGTTGAATAATTGTGCTATTAATAAATTTGGTTTGTAACGTTAAATTAATGTTGAATTAACCACTAGTAGGTCCAGTTGTGTAGTTTTTGTTAATGCATTGGATTTGTTGTACAGTAGAACCCTTCGTATCCGAACTCCTCGGGATATCCGACCTGGTGTCCGACATTCTACCTGTTTCCTGTCTGGGGTGATAACGCCTAGCACGATCGGTTGACCGAAAGACCAATTGTGGCAGACAATCACCACAGTCGCCGATAACGGGTGTTGTTGCAGTCATGGGAGACCATTACCGAAGTCACGGAGACAGCAAGTTAAGCCTAATCCACACTTGGAGCCGACTATCGGCCAACTGTTGGTGGACAGTCTGCCGACAGATTGTCTGCCGACAGTCTGTCAACATAGTTTTGGATACAAGTTTCCGATGTGTTTTGCGTCCACACTAGCCAGCCAGTGTTTGTTGGTATGGCGACTGAGGAGGACGTGTTTATATCCTTGTGGGCTTCATATTTTATCAGCTTTATGAGACAAATTTTATCAGCTTTATGAGACAAATTTTATCAGCTTTATGAGACAAATTTTATCAGCTTTATGAGACAAATTTTATCAGCTTTCAAACTCGAGAATCAGGGGACCAAAATAAATCAACCATCAAACTCAAAAACACAGAAATTCCAAGTAAGGACAACATTAAATTCTTAGGATTAGAAATAGATAAATCTCTGAAATGGGACTCTCACGTTGAAAAGTTACTTGTCAAAATCACATCAGGATTATATGCTTTATCTAGATTGAAACCTTAATGTGAAAAACAAACTCTACAAGTTATTTATTTTTCATACATCCATGCAAGTATATCTTTCAGGATTTCACTTTATGGTGCAACTAGTGATTACAATTTGAATTCTATTCTATATCTAAAATACCCCCGCCACAGCAAACCTGCAGACTAAGCGAATTTCCATTTGCCTGATTTGATTTATACTAAAATGTCTCCTTATAAATATCACATTTATTCCCTATTTAAATAGAATTAGTTTAATGACTACTTAGGTTTGCTGCAACAGGAAGGGTAAAAAAGGGATTTTATTTGTAAAATGTTAATAGTTTTGTAAAATAAAATCTTCCAGAATTGATCAGAATGTATTCATAAACAAGCAAACTACAACTGTTTACTTATTCTCCATAAAAATAACATGGGGATTTTTAATTTACATTTTTTTTTTAATTTTCTCGGTAACCATTAGACACATAATATACTAAATTATTTGTTTTTTAAGCTTTACAAAATGAAAGAAGGAAAGAAATTTCTACATTTGATGGTTTTTGTACCAAAAATTGGAAACCAATTTTTACCCCATAAAACCCCCGTTCTCATAGTTCGATCGTGCTGGTTTGCGACTCGTTCTAGTAAATGTAGATTTACACGTTTATACCAAATTTCATCGCAATCAGATCATTTTTGCTCGAGTTATCGTGCTAACGGACACACACATATATATATGAATTTGAACGGATGGTGTTTTTTTGGCCTCTAGGGACCTCAAAACGAAAAAGTAAATGGGTCCTTGGTCCAGGTCTTAGAGGTGTAAAAGCAAAAGAAAGCTGTTAGAATTATGTGCAATTTAGATTCTGAAACTTATGTTAAAAAAAACATTTTAATCAGAAAATATAATGAAAATTTATGGTTATCAGTAAAGGAAAAGACCACCATAGTCTGAAATTTTTTGAGAAAACCCCATGTATGCGGTATCAAAATTTTTTAATAACCACCCAAAAAAAATTAAGTCAGAGACTTTCAAAACAATATTTAAAAATAAATTTAAAAAAATTTTCATCAGCAAGGCTATTTATTCTTTTGAAGAGTTCAATAGTTGAGTGTTAAACATAAATAAACATACTATTTTTTTGTTTTATTGTGTTCAGTTTTAGTAATTTTGTTTGGCTTTACCTTTGTTTTGTTGTACAAAATATTTAGTATGTGAATTTTTTTATGTAATGTATAAAATAACTATTACATGCAACTGTTGACACTATTCAATGTATTTCTATGTACAAGAGATGATTAAAGTCGTACTATGGTCACAATCTTCTATCTGACACTTCGAGATGGTGCAGGATTTGGGAACTTCGCTAGGCTGACTCCTACCGGTTTTTGAAGTTTTGCTAGGCTTTGTTGGGCCTAAGATTTTCAAGCTTGAAGAGATGAACAATTCAATAAAATGTCATATAATAATATAAATTAACAAAAAATAATTCCAAAACTTTAAAGATACTAAATTCAGCTCTTTTAACACCACTCATAAATAGTAATATTACCGCGTTGCAGTCCAACTAAATGGGCTAAATGTTGAACACCTTCAGGTTGTATGCATTCTCCAGACACGTCCACACATGCAGACTTGAGACAAAAGTTGTGTCTCTTGTCTTGGTGTTTCCCATTTGTATGAGAAACAGAAAACACTATTTTTTGTCTCCATAAACACAAAAATCTGTCTGCCGACAGTTGGCAGACAGTTGGCTGACTATCTGGAGACATTGCTGGATACAAATGGCAACACTACAGGGACAGTTGGCCGACAATGTTTCCAGAGACAAATTGCCATGTGAGGACTAGACTTTACGCCCAAGGGTGTTGCCGCCGTCACGGGAGACGATTACCGAAGTCCTCTGGGACTGCAAATTAAACTCCTCCCGATATCCGACCTTTTGGCCGTCCCGACCATGGCCCGGTCCCATTATGGTCGAATATGAGGGTTCTACTGTAATTTTATTTTGTAGACTAAAACAGTTTGACACAAAAACTTCATAAACATTTCCAATAACGAAACACAGAAATAATATTAAAACTTCATAACTGGTCCAATAGGGGTTAGGAATTAAAATTAGCCTTTATCAACCTTAATCTGTATGATTTTTTTATTAGTTGTATAACCTTGTTTAAGGAAATTCACAACTTGATTTCATGGTAAGGATTGAAGATGGCAATAACTTTACTTTACCAAAGCCTAACCAAGGAAATTATTTAAACGGTGAGTTATGTTTGACTTTTATCATGTAATGTAACATTTTAAATATGAAATTCATCCGACGTTGACATTATGTTAAATTAAGTTAAACAGTTGTATCTATTTTAGTTTATTTATTTTTTAAATTTTAGTTTTGGTATTCATTACCTTGTAAAAGAGTCCTTATATGCACATGTTTTCTGTACTGCAAATGATCTGTCAGGCATGCTTATTCCCTTTTGCATGTATGTAATCTGTACAAACCTATGTAGTTCTAAATAAAGTTACAAATCAGGTTGAATGAAGCTAATGCAGATAAGCATTTATTAGTGTTGTTAAAAGCTATGCTGTAATGACGAAATACTATTTGGTTAAATACTTTTAATCTGTTCAATAAGGTGATATGTTAAATTGTAAATATGACGCTGTACTATTCTCAACAAATATGTTATTGTTAATAAAGAATATTGTCTATTATTGATAAGTAACAAGATCTCACAAGTTATTATTTAATAATTTAGGCCTACAGTTAATGGAACAATTATTCAGAATTTTGAGCATTTTAAGTAAGTGGAAATGACCTGCAATTATTTATCAGCTTGTGTTTGCAGGTGAAGATGAAGATAATTCCCCTGAAGTAGAGACTGTAGTCGTGTCTCACACGTGTCTCCAGGTAGCAGCTCTAGTCTCATGGCTGGAGAATGTTCCACAGCCACTGTCTCACATACCACCCTTCATCATCAACTCCATCAGGTACATAATAGGCTAATGGTGATGCAGTGCTTGCAGGAGATAATGACCAAGTTATTTTAGTTTGTTTTAAACATTAGTACAAAACCTAATATGTCACCACAAACGTTGTCAAATCTAGTTAGTAATGTTACAAATTTTGCAAATTTTGTTGCAAAATTTTGTGACAGTTTGTTTTTGTTGTTAATGTTGCAAATGTTGAAAAAGCTTGCAATGTTGCCACAAATTTAAAAAAAAAATTAATGTTACTGAACAATTTAAAAAAAGGGTAAAGTATTACCGCAAACACTGAAGGAGCTTTAGCTGAAGCTCGCAATACTGCTATTGCTAAAGTTAGCAATAACTATGTGCTATTTGCGATGTTAGCAAAATCCGTCTATTCCAAATTCTTGCTAATCCGAACAGGGTTTGGTCCCAGTTAGTTTGGAATAGCGGGAAAATTGTTAACCTGGGATTGTCATAGAATTTTATTTTCATGGCTTGTTAGATATTCTATATTTTGACTGTTTGTTACAGAGGCATGGTACAAAGTGTCAGTAGATGTCCCCCAGTGTTGTGGCACAGTGTGACCCCACCTGATGCTTGGCCTCCTACATCCACAGCTGCTACACCACCTGCTCCTCCACCTCCACCTCCACCTCTTCATGACATTGATTTGCTAAGACAGCAAGTGTTCAGGTTGGTGAAGAAACAGTACATTTGTTTAGATACAGTCTCATAACGTATTTAGTTATTTTGTGCTAAATATCAAGGTTTTCACCAACAACCAACTTATTCAGCAGACATAGGTGTGCCAACATTTAGAGGAGAGCTGGAAGTCTCTACTAACAGTGCCTGTCCTAACCGGATGAGATCCAAGCCATCATGTAGGTGTATTATTTAGCAATAGCATATGACATGTTGTTGTAGGATATCGATGGTAGGAGAATGAACCAGTTGTACACAGTTTAAGGAGACTTGGATATCTCTACTGACAGTGCCAGTACAAGCAGGGTGAGATCCTTTAAGCCATAAATTAGGTGTATGGTTTGACATGTGACATGTTGTTGTAGGATATCATTGGTAGGATGGACCAGTCGTACACAGTTTGAGGAAACTTGGATGTCTCTACTGACTGTGCTTAGTGCCAGTCCTAGCCCTGACTCTGACCAGGATGAGATACAAGCCATCATGCAGGTGTCTTATTTATTTTACTGTTCTTACTTATTACTCAGAGGTGTGTAAGCGGTTAGATTTTCGTTCTTAGCCTAGCCCAACAGTTTGATTGATCAAGCAATAGATCAGAAATTTAAGTTTCCGTTGACCTCTCACTTTGCAATATTATTTTGATGACAGACTGCGTTTGCAAAGGTTGCACATTAGAAAAATTCTTGCCCTTTCCGATTGCAGACAACATTAATAACGCTTCCACGATCAAAGGGGACGACAAAGATGTCTTCATGACTGCAAGAGTTGTTTACTATACTGTCATTATCACGGAAGACGAAGATGATGTCTACTCTAAAGCGGTAAGTGTCCAGGACTTTTTAAGTGATCGCAGAAGATGATGATGATGTCCACCCCAAGAGATGTCAAGGATTTTTCTATGATGGTGGGAGACGATGATTTTTTTTGCGATCACAGTGGACAATCATAATTTTGCTTTGATTACCAAAAACGATGACAATGTTCCCGTGACCGCAGGATATATTCAGGATTTAGCCATGTTCGCGGGTGACGATGATTATGTTTTTGCGATCTATGATCGCAGATGACGATGATGAAAAGTGTTTACAAAGAAATGTAAGCTATGACTTATGAAAAGTTCCTATTCAACATACTAGATATTTAAATTGTATATAAATATGTATAAAAGGCCAAATATATATTTCCTAGAGCCAAATAAATAAGGTGACAAAAAAGTCTGGAAACGGTTTAATATATTTTTAACTAAATACATTAGAAAATTCAAACCTTTCACATCAACATACATGTATAAAAACTACTTTTTCAAGAATTATAATTTTTTTACCTCTACAAGGGGACGACCCACAAGGAGTAGGTAGGCACATAATCTTTAATGTAAGCATAGGTTGATATGCACATCATTTTAAAGGTCTGGTCAAGTGGAGTTCATTGCCGGAAACCGCGTCAAAAAAGGTTCATCCGTTACAAGATGGGGGCTGTCCAAAGTTCTTGTTGAATATACCTGCACAGGCCCTTACTATTGGTAAATACTCTTATTAAACATTAGCTTGAGAGCTGAAACTGTATTTTAACCCTAGGAGTGGCGAGACCGATTTTCAGTATGTGCTTTGTGGAGTGGCACACTCATTTTGGTGAATTTGTAAGGGAGTTCTTCAAAAATCTGTATAAAATTAGTATGTAGAGATAAACTATTGAACCGTATATTCATTTTGTTCGTAATAGTCAGTAGAATTCATAAATGGTAATACAAACCAATTTTAGAAAGGTAGATTTTTAGAAAAAAGTAAAAAAAATAAAATTTATAAATTTATCAAGTTTTATTTCAAAAGCAAACACGTGTCACATGTAACGTAATTTTTTATTGCACAATTCAAAATATGCATTTTGTTCAGAATTTATTCCTCTACATAGACATATCATAATTTACACAAAATAATTATTTTTATAGATTTACTAGCAATAATACGGAAAAATTGGAAAACGTCAAATTCTTCAACTACACGTTGATAGATCCACAAATGCCCTCTACTAATATATCAATATGATAAAACCATAATTTTTTTGTAGCCAATAATATCATTCTATATAAGAATAACTAAATAAGATAAGTAATAGAATATTTGGTTTTCACAAAAGCAAAAATGTAAACAAAACAACTGATCAGCTGTTATAGCCCACAAAACTTCACTGACCTTTTATCCTATTTTGGATCACACTTGTATAAATATTTATGAAAAATAATGCATAAATATTTCGCCTAATACAAAATAATAAACTAAAACGAACATTACAATGTAAAATTAGGGATAAACCCACACTTCGTCTTTGTTATCGGACAAAAACTCACGACGACGCCGCCATTTTAGGTTAGACGATGACAAGTGTTCTGTTCCTTTAGCTTTGAAAAATCAAAAGCTTCTATTTGTGTGACCAGCCTAACAACATTGAATTCTACTGTCCTTCGTCTACAAGAGAGTATATAAAACAACGTTTTTGTACTTTTCACATTGTATATATATGCGATTTAGAAATCGACATTTTATGTCGATCCGCCACATGAACAATACGTAAAAATAGGCTATTTACAAAAATTGTTTATCAGCTGTTGGAATGTATAATGACGTTATACTTTATACAGAATAAAATATTTCTTTATGCTTGTTGCAGTGGTACCACTTGCTTTTGTCAGAGACAAAAATTACGTCTGCTATTTGTTTTTGAAATGACTCATCATTTACGATTGCGCAACAAAACATGGCGTTCGCGAGTTCGCGCGTATTTTTCGTTTAAATGTAACTCATTATAAGAACGATATATTTATGTTATAAGGTTCATTCTTATAATAAAATGAAACTACGGAATCTTATCTTTCCATTGGTATAAGAGTTATGTCATTTCACCGACTTTAAATGTGCTTAACATGCAACTGAAAAAAACGTTACATAAATCGACATATTCTGTCGCCCGCCACTCCAGCGGCACATTTTGAAATCGACATTTTCTGTCGATCTGCCACTCCTAGGGTTAAAGTCAACTAGCTCATAGACTAATATTATCCAATCTTCAAAACAAATTTAAACGGGTTTCAGATTTCCTGGCTAATGTTGAATTTGAGTATTTACCAATACTAATCCTCTGCAGGTATATTCCGCAAGAACTTTGGACTGCCGCCACTTTGTAACGGATGAACCTTTTTTGACGCGGTTTCCGGCAATGAACTCCACTTGACCAGGCCTTTAAAATGACATGCATATCAACTTATGCTTACATTAAAGATTATGTACCTACTCCTCATGGGCCGTCCCCTGGTGAAGGTAAAAAAATGGTAATGCTTGCAAAAAGTAGTTTTCATACATATAAGTTGATGTGAAAAGTTTGAATTTTCTAACGAATTTAGTTAAAAAGATATCAAGCCATTTCCAGACTTTTTTGTCACCCTGTATATCCAACTCTTCAAATAGTATTAAATAGCATTTTGAAAAGAAAATTCGTCAAATAAACTTATACTATGTCACTACGCCGAATTCGTTATGTAAAAAGTTCTATACAAAAAAAAGTTGAGGCTCAAGCAATTTTCCAAAAGCTGTATTCAAGTTCGGCTCGATCGAAAACCTCAGGTTTGCACACCTCTAATTGTTATTACATAATTATTTATGAACCAATACTATGGTCTAAGAGCTCTCATTGTACACATTTCTGTGTTAATTTTGATTGTTTGATCCTTGTATTCTATTGATATTTTAATTCTTGCGATTTCTATACTTTGTTAACCAGAATGTAATGCTATTTCTAAATTAAAAGTTGGACTGTCATATGTCCTTTAGGATTAAAGATAAAATGCTAGAGATATATGGCTTGTAAGTCATCATAGAATTGGAAATGTACAGAATGGCATTTATATTTTTTTACTCTCTGGGCTGAATGAAAAGCCTGCTCTTTGCTGAATTGTAAAGGGGGTTTTATCAGCAAAACTACTAAACAAGCTAATTCCATGAAAGTGCAATAGTGGCATCTTTTGATTGCCTTCTTCCCTGGGGTCTAGGTTCTTTGCAATACACTATAAATATGAAACACAAAGAGGCTCCATTTAAAGAGTATGCCAAGATGTTGTCCATTATACAGCTTCCTGTACTCAACATTCTCTCTTGACTCTCTCGTGAAATGCCTCTGGCATAGAAAAAAAAAAAAAAAACTACCCAGAAGCAGTTACATAGTTTAACCCTTTCAGTGCTATGCAACGATATATCGTTGTTTTTTAAATCTCTTAAGAAAAACCCCGTTTCCATTGTCGAATCATGCTGGTTCGTGAACTTATTCAAGTTTATTCCGCCTTAGGCCGGGGCCACACTCATCTTATCTCGCTAAATTTTTCCCACGGGTGTTACCGGTGGGTTTGAAAGATACATTAGGGTGTATGGGGCAGGCCAGACTAGAGTAAAAACGTCCGTTAACACGTTTGTCAGTGTATTCTCTACTAACATTCCACGGGCGTTGCACGTAAAACTAGTTGCAGCTTATGGGAGTGAACACACTCATCTTATCTCGCTGAATTTTTTCCAAGGACGTTTCTAGTTTTAACCTGACTGATTTACTGTACAGTGAGCGTGGAGGGGGGGAGTGCGGATCACGGACACAGACAATTTTTATTGCCAGTGTAGCATGCTCTATCAGTCTCTCTGGTTAGCCCGAAAAACCTATCTCCGAACCCAGTACTGGCCCAGTATAACCCAGTCTACTGGCCCAGGATAACCCAGTACCGCCCCAGTACTGGCCCAGTATAACCCAGTACCGGCCCAGTATAAACCAGTACTGGCCCAGGATAACCCAGTACTGGCCCAGTATAACTCAGTACCGGCCCAGTATAGCCCAGTACTGGCCCGGGATAACCCAGTACCGGCCCAGTTTAAGGCCCGGCGCATATTGAGACGCAGTCGAAGCAGCGCAGCACAGGGCAGTGTTTTGTAAGCCATGTGTTAGCTAGGCGCATATTATGGCGCAGCGCAAGGCAGGGCAGTGCAGTCCCGCACGTGGACTGCGCGCACTTGTGGTTGAGTCACGAGTGTCTGTGCCGCATTGCTCACCTGCGCCGGGTTGACTAGTGTTTTGCAACGGATCTAGAGGATAATTAATAGAAAATGTGCGTTTTTATCCAGTTTTTACATTACCAGTCATAGTAAGTATATAAAGAGTAATTACAAGAATAAAATCTGGGAGAAAATACGAAAATCACTAAACATTGCAAATTTTTTGGCCTTCCTTTCTTCTTCTCTGGTGAAGAAGTAATAATAAATCTAGATCAACACCTGAATCTGACTCGGAACTCAAATCCTATTTAACAACATGTCCACACAAGAAATTGTATCACTCCTATACAAGAACTGTACGACACTGCTTCCCAATATGCGATGTCAACTGTGCAACACAGACTTTTTACCCAATTCTGCCCTGTGCTGTGCTGCACTGTCCGGACCGTGCCGCACAGGTCAATATGTGCCTGGGCTAACCCAGTACCGGCCCAGTATAACCCAGTACCGGCCCAGTATAGCCCAGTACCCGCCCAGTATAACCCAGTACTAGCCCAGGATAACCCAGTACCGGCCCAGTATAACCTAGTACTGGCCCAGTATAACCCAGTACTGGCCCAGGATAACCCAGTACTGGCCCAGGAAAACCCAGTACTGGCCTAGTATAATCCAGTACTGGCCCAGTTACAGTTTGGATTGGGTGAATCTTTTATCTAAGTGGTTGTTAGTGTATCCTATGAACATGCAGGTCACCAAAGGCCGTTGTGCTACCCTTCGTTAAAATATCCTTCCTCTCTATATCCCTTAGAGATTTTTAAAAACAACGATATATCGTTGCATAGCACTGAAAGGGTTAAGGTTGCCTACTCTATAGTTGAACCTCTTAGTAATCCAGTTAAGTGGGGAAATCTTTCTTAGAAACTGGTAGTGTTGTGAAAAGTTGTCAAGTGGGGAAATCTTTCTTAGAAACTGGTAGTGTTGTGAAAAGTTGTCAAACTGTTAATGTAACGGTACCAAAAGCAATATCCTGTGCCCACCACTTCACTTTTTATATAACATTTAAAGTCATTCCTCAAAATTGAGTTTAACTTTGACTACACTTAAGAAGGTTAGGTTCGAGTTTTTATGGTTCAAGCAATTTTCATCAATCAAACAGCTGTTCAAAAATAAGTGTCAAAACTGCAACCCAGGAAACAAATGGGTAACAACTTTAAAAATAATATTTATAGGAAGCAAATTTGTAAAATGTTCAATATGCAGCCACTTTGTTTCTGTATATGTTAGGACGCTGAACTTTTCACAAAATATTTTTAAAGAAAGACTACATCATAAATCATTGTAAGCTTCAAAGCTATTGGTGAATAAATGGCCTAGTAATTTTATGTCAAATATCTTTACAATTCCGAGCATTGCTTACAAACCTCATTGTGGAGCATCCAAGATAAGATTTGATATTCAGTAGTGGCCAGACCACTGAATGGATTGTCTATGTGGTAGGGAAGCAGTGTAGCTGTACAGGCCATCACCTCACTCCTAGTACAGACTCTACTGCAGCCATCTGCAGGCAACCCCAACACTGGTAGATTGATGCACTCTTCCAGAGATCTGCCTCTAAATCTACCAGAACAGTAAGTTTCTACCTGAATCTATTGACAATGGACACGTCCCAAATACAGGATGGAGCCTGGTCAATTCCTTTTGATGAAATTGTCGCTGTTGAGATTGTGACCGTGGTTTATTGGAAACAGCAGTGAGATTTTACTAATTGTTTGTTCAGTTGCCATATTACAGTTGGATATGTGAGAGATGCTCGTGATGAGGTGAATTTTTCTATCTCTCACTCAATTATTTCTTATAAATTGGGTAAATTTATTCCTAACAACAGGGAATATGTTAACGAAGAAGATATAAAACAAATGTTAGAGGTTACAGCTTAGTACTGCATTCTGTGAAAAGTAGATTTTATTAATGTTCAATACTCCTGTGCTAAAAATTAATTGCTGAATGCTGACCCATGCAGATTTTGTTTGGGTAAATTTGAACCATTCTTAAGAGAGAATACAGCAAAGACAGCGTCTTGATATAGGCTACTTAAGGGCTGCTTAAGATTGTTTGTTTCCAATATGGTGGCTTTTGTAAAAGTTATTGCTGCTGCTTTAACTAATTTAAAATGATTTAATATAACAGTTTTACCTATTCCTCATCATACAAATGAAGATATTTAATTATTATTGGTAAGGGTTAAATATCATTGTACAGTCTTAGTGGTGTTCAAATTTTGTGTTTCTTACTTATCTCTGAAATAAGTACTAACCATATTGGAAGGAGCAAGTTTAGAAAACATGTATCAATTTTCTGAGATCAATCATTGATATACTGTGTTTTAGATGGGGAGGCAAGTTGGAGATAGTAACAGATGCTCTCTATTGGAAACTTAGAGAATGTCGGACACTTGTACCAACCAGTGTTAAAATAAGCTGCTTACATGATCGATGCAACATTGAGAGGCTTCACAATGTGCACAGGTATGTCTACAAAATATCAATAAATCCAGAACAATTTAGTTAATTACAAAAAGTTATGAAACATAAAAAAATTCACAAAAAGGTTTCTGATTTTTTAAAGTAAAGCCCATTGTTGTACAAAGTGTTTTCATGTGTTCTATCTATTATTGTGTGAAAATGTCGGTATTTTGGGCCCTAACTTAAAACACCTTTTTTAAACTATATGATTTATCTGTAAGGTATAATATAACAATTTTTATTTTTAGTTTAAATGAAAGTTACTGTTTATTACTAACAATCCTTTTAGCATTTCAAACTCAAGTATTCAAACAACCACTCAATTGTAATGAGCTTCAATGCTATATTGTTAGGTGCATCTGTGTGATAATTGCATTTTGTAGTCATGAATGGTCTATACTTTCAGGTATGGCTACAGTCAAGTCTCTGTTAATTTTTTGAAAACAGCAGTCATGTCAGCAGAAGAAAGAGCTGCCTATCCCTCAGGTAATGAAACGAATACTTTATTTTCAGTTAAAATCTTTCTTTTGAAACATTGAATTTATTTTCAGTCTTAGGGATTAGATAAGGTTTATAAGACCAAATTATTCTTAGATAGTCCTATTATTTTTGGAGCTTCAAAACGTAAATGTTTTTATGAACTCTTGTTGCTACAGTAGTCTGTATTGTCTAGTAATAAATTGGTTGGTTGGAGGTTGTTTGAGAATTGCAAGTAAATACTTTTGTTTTATATATTCAAGAGACATATTTAAATTACAGTCATGATGGTCCTTAATTTGGTGAGTCGGTGGCTCAGTTGGTAGCGTCGCGGACTTCGGGTCCAAGGCAGTAGTGTCATGGGTTCGGATACTGTTCACTGCCACAAACTTTTATCAGTACAGTTCACCTTTGTACTGTACCGGCTCACCCCTTGCTTTGCTGGGTATGTTCCACGCACAGATCTGTAGTCTATGTGAACGGGCAAATGCAAGGATAAAAGAGGCCGCCAACCTCTTTAAAAAAACTTAGCTAAAACCCCCAAAATGTTATAAAATATAATCAGAGAAATACACTAAAAAATAAAATTAGTGCTTACAAAATGAGACCATTAGGTGTCTTCAGTCCAGTACTAATGTACAAAAAATACTTTTTTTGTAGTAAACTCTGACTATGAAGAACATTTGAGGAGGATATCAGAGAGTGGGCTGGACTTACACTCTTGTCTCCAGTTCCTCTTAGATCTCTACTCACAGTGGACACAGCCCGAGGTATATTCATTGCCCATCCTCTTTAATATATATATATTATTTTATAGTAGATGTTAAAATCCTTGTAAGACATTGGTATTTTGCAATCATTATATTTTCCAGTTTTAACCTAATAATTTTATTTTCCTACAGTCACCCGACAAAGTTGGCTTCCCTGTACTGTGTACAGGAAACTGCTAATATCTGCATATTTATACTTTGTCGTACGGTTTATTTATTGTTTCACCTCATTCCCAGCAATGTATTAATGCCTAATAAGACTGATTAGTATATTAAGAACTTGTGAGGTTATGCAGTAGAACCTCCCTAACTGAAATAAAGGGGTAGGAGGTTGTTTCAGATAGCAAAGATGGTGGTTAAATTGGTATTTTCTATTTGTTAAGGTTAATAAGACTTTTATTACGGTATAATATATTATACATGTAGATTATGCTTTTTTTTTATATAATTCAAGATTTACCATATTTTTTAAATACCCATTTCTTTCTTGTAATATTCCACACACCACAGGCACTGACAGACTTCTATCTACTTACATCTTCTTCTAATTACATATTATTATTCTTCTAATTATATAAACGCGTGGATCACGATGGGAGTATCGGTTGTTAAGTGTGTGAATGTGTGTTAGGTGAGTGTTCCACTGAACCTGCTGGTGGAGGTGGTGAGGTCTACGGTGATCTTGTCAGATCTGTTCTCTGAGAGATCTCACTGGGCTTGGCTGCTGGACCTCAGTCTGGAGCTGTCTCGCTCACATACACCAGAAGACGAGATCCTACATCAGTACCTGCTTCTGGCTGCCTGCAAGTCTGCTGCTATCCTGCCTGCTCTGGTAAATATCCTTGTCAGTCACAAATAGTTACAAATTTTAAAGATGTTTGTGTTTTAAATCAAATCAATTGGTGAGTGATTGGAAATAGATTAGATTTGGATGCAGGTCCAGACAACTGTCTCTTGAAATGTTAGCTTGGGAACACTGAGATGTTCACAAATTCGCTGCGATCTCAGGAGATGTTGGCAATTTTGCTGATATGGTTGGTGAGGATGATGTCCTGTCCCAAACCAAAAGTGCAATGCTGTCCATCCCTAATATACCTATTAGGAAACCTAAAAAATAATTATTACACAGGGTGGGGCTGAACAGATTAAGCAATTTGACTTGTGTAGTACTACAGCTGTGTAGGTGTAAGGCGAAAACTTTTGGCTTTGTTTTCTGCAGTTCATACCATTTCAATAGCCAACGTTGGTTTGGACGAGAAACATCAAAATTACACAATGCAGGGTGGCGATCGACCGGGAAAACCGGGAAAAGTCAGGGATATTAAAAATTCTGGAAAAGTCAGGGAAAAGTCAGGGAAATTTGCAAACGGTCAGGGAAAAATATGCATTTTATGAATTGTGTTAAACAAGTAGATTGGCGATATATATTGATGATTACAATAGAAAAGTATAACCATAGAATATTTACATTACTTAAAGTAGAATGAATGTTGTTGCGTAGATACGTTTCCACCGTGAGTCCGCATTATCGTGTTGACAAGAGGTTTCGTCTGCTAGTAGCAGCGCGGGGAATAGTGGCCCACTCGCATGGCAACAGCTACGTCGCTACGTATGCCTCAAGGTCACTTTCGTTGCTATATCTTCTCTTTCCCTCCCTCCTGCCTCTCACTCTATTTTTTTTAAGTGAATTTCAATTAATAAATCTTTGTTACAGTGTTAGCTTTCATTATTGCAATCTGTCTTTGTTCTACCAATGATTTGTCTATCTAAATACAACTCAGTTTCATTCTAACGGCCTCTTAACAACAACTCAAACTCAACCCGTTCCACTTCAACTTGTGCCATTGAATATAAATTCCTATGTGCGTGTTATATTCGTGTCCGATGAAAAACTGAACTCGCATCTATTACATATCGATCCAATTCAAACTGAAGTCGTACCCTGCCTGCTCGATTTCAATTCAATTCATTTCAGAACGTTCCATTGCCTATATTTCCAAGGAGATTTTTAATCAATGGCCAATCTGAAAAAAAGCCTAGTCACTCCACTCCAGTCTTCGGTATTGGACATTGGCATTGGAGTGGAGTGGAATATCGGAATCGGAGTCGGACACAATTAATTTCTTCATCACTCATCATCAAACATTCTCCTCTTTTATTTTCAGTGGTGATAAAATTTACTATTTTTTCCTTGCGATGTGTTCTGAAATAGTCATCAATGTCTCCTAAAAGTGTTAAAACATCTTTTCAACTCAATTGGCTTAATGAGCCTCAATTTTCTCCCTGGTTAGAGAGAGTTGAAAATAATAATTCGGTAGCGAAGTGCAATGTCTGCAATAAAACGTTTAACCTTAGTAATATGGGTAAACGTGCGGTGTCTAGCCATATGAATGGCGAAAAACACAAAAAGTTTATGTCAGCATGTGCTAAATCTGCTTCATTGAGATGTTTTATTAGGTCTATTAATGATCAACCCACAGCGTCGTCGTCTGGTGAAATTTTACAGCAAGTCGCCACTAGGCCTACACCTGTTGAAGATAATATAGTGCAAGTTCAATGCAATAGGCCTCAACCTTACGTAGAAAACTCTACTTTCAAACCTCGAGGGATGGAAAAATTTGTGTTAATGGATAAGGTCATTACAAGTGAAATTTTGTGGTGTATTGAATCAGTAATGACTCATGCCTCCTTACGTTCTGCAGCACACAATGTGTCATTGTTCAAGCTCATGTTTACTGACAGCGATATTGCCTCGAAAATGCAGCTTCAAAGAGATAAAATAGGTTACACCATAGTCTATGGAATAGCTCCATATTTTCAAACCGAACTCCTGAAAAAAATTGATGAAAGTAACTACATGGTAATTGGCTTTGATGAAGCTCTCAATAAAGTTGCCCAAAAGAAACAAATGGACATTAATGTTCGTTTTTGGGACCCGGACAAAAATGAAGTGACCACAAGGTATTTGACATCAGTGTTCCTGGGTCGATCAAAAGCAGAAGACATCCTAGTGGCCTTCAATGATGGAACCAAAAACCTAAACATGAAGAAACTTGTACAAATTTCAATGGATGGTCCTTATGTGAACCTTAAGTTTTTGAAAGATTTGCAAGCTGAACTAAATGATCAAGGTTCTGATGAAGTTAACTCAAAGACACTCCTAGACATCGGGAGCTGTGGACTACATACCTTGTAAGTAGGCCTAAGCCCTTTTTAACTACAGGCTAAGATAGCCTTTACTCCTATAACTTAGCCTATTTTTAAAACAACTAATTAGAAACTTTAAACCAAACATTAGGCTCATCTGTACCGGTACCATATATAAAAAAAAACTAAATGTTGTTTTGTCTAGTTTGAATTGGAAGGCTTTCCATGCCTAAGCCTAAACTTAATCAACACAAAACTTCTACAATAAGTTAGTGGCTTATTAGGTCAGATTTGAACATAGCCTATTAATTATTACACTGTTAGTTGTTATTGATGTTAAATTATTTTTAGTTAGGCCTATTCTTGAGTAGGCAAAAAGTGTTTTATGGCACTAAAAACCTAATCTTATCTAACTGGATCTGACTTGGGAAAAATAAAATTAGGCCTAGGCCTATTCTTATTGCCTTTTAAAATTGAATCAACATACCGGTATTAACTCTCTTACCTTAAGCTAACTTTTATAATTGTCTTAAAGTAACTAAATTTAATATTTTCTGTTAACTGATTACTATTTTGGAATCATATTCGTTATTTTTAGGACTTAACTTAATTACCGTAGTAAAAAATATAGAAAACTTTTGAGCTCGTAAAATTATCCTTTGTTTTTGCATAACTCTTTGAAAAAAATTACCATAAATCTATAGGATTTTTATATTGTTTGCAGACACGGAGCATTTAAATCAGCAATGGTTGTGACAGGATGGGACATTGTTCAATTTTTGAGGTCTGTATATAATCTCTTTAAAGACTCGCCTGCCAGAAGAGCTTACTTCACTAGTGTTACAGGATCTTTAAAGACTCGCCTGCCAGAAGAGCTTACTTCACTAGTGTTACAGGATCTTTAAATTTCCCCAAGAAATTTTGTTCTGTTAGATGGCTACAAAATGTTGAGGTAGCAGAGAGAGCTCAAGAGATTATTCCTCACTTAAAAGAATTTGTTGAAGATGTGAAAAAAAATAAGGGAACTGGAATGGACACATATAGTTTTCAACAGGTTGCAAAAGCTGTTAGTGATCCTCTCATGCTTGCGAAGTTAGAGTTTTTTAAGAGTTTGGCCAGTGACATGGAACCTTTCTTAAAAGAGTTTCAATTTGATCACCCAATGTCGCCTTTTTTGTACACTGACCTATCGTCAATATTGTTGGATGAGATTAAAAGAGTTACAAAGCCAGATGTCATCAAGGAAACCAAATCAGTCACTGCCATCAAGTTAATTCCCTCCAATCTTCTACCAAGTAAAGAAATAAATGTTGGCATTGCTACAAATAGGGCCATCAGTAAGGCTAATGCCATGGAAGGAAACTAACTGATTTAGAAATACTCAAATTTAGAGATGACTGTAGGAAAGCAGTTGTAAAATTTGTTGAAAAAATGTTAGAAAGGTCTCCGCTCAAATTCAAGCTGACAAAAGCGCTTACTTGCATAGATCCCCAAGTAATCGCCAGGAACGAGAACACATCACAACTAAGGATGGAATCATTGCTAAATATTCTATTGGAGTTCAATTGGGTACCTAGTTCAAGAGTTGACAAAACCATGAGAGAATATTGCACCTTGATAGCGTTGCCAAATGTAAAGGATAAGATGAAGTCCTACACTAGAAAAATAAGATTAGACCATTTCTGGAATGAATTGGGACTATCCCCAGAATTTAGCAATCTAGAAAATATTGTAAAGCTAGTTCTGTGCCTTTCGCATGGAAACGCTAATGTCGAGAGAGGTTTTTCGGTCAATGCTGAATGCATTGTTGACAATATGAGGAACGAACTCCTAATTGCAAGAAGAGTGGTTTACGATTCAATGACAAATTTGGGCGGGATTGATCGTTTTATTGTAGAAAAACCTCTGATCAATTCCGCTAAGAATGCTCATTCAAAATATGTCGAAGCACTCAATGAAAAGAAAAAACAACAGGAAAAAGAAACAGAAAACAAAATGAAGAAAAGACTTGCAACGACTAAGTTAAAAGAGTTGGAGTTGAAAAAGAAAAAAATATTAGAGGAAGCTCAAAAAGAAGTGGAGCTTTTAAATGAAGAAATTAAATCCATAAAGTGAAAAAGTGTTATTGGTGGTTGGTGATCTATTCATTTGGTAGGGATGGGGTACTTCTGAACTTGAAATTTACCTTTACAGACATTTTAAAGTGTTTTTTTTATTTTTTATTGTGTATTAAGAGTAAATACACATTCAACATATGAACAGATTTTTGTATTTTTCGGATATTAGATTTTGTCAAACATTTATTTGACCAATAGCCTAACTCAAGAAATGAAGCTTGAATAAGCTTTGGAGATTGTAAATTAAAAGTACAAGGGAAAAATATTTGAATTTTATATTTTAGGCCTATAACATACATGACCTTAATAACAATGGTTGTGTAGCATCAGTTCATATCATCATTGTTGCTCATGATGGGTGAGTAAATCCTTAAATATTTTTAAGTTAGGCCCATTGAAAGCATTCTTTCTTATCAATAACCTATTTTTTCTTTTTACAAGCAATTTCAATTAAGTTATGTTTTTTACCACCAACAAAACAAACATATCTCTGTACATAACTCTGTTTTGTTGAGTTATGTATATTCAACAACTTATTCATGGTCGTCAAAAGTTAGTTGTTTTTCATATATGATTCGTAGGCTATACTAAGATCAGTCAGGGAAAAATACAGTTTTAACATTAAAAATCAGGGAATTATCAGGGAAATTTATTATCCTGGATGAGTAGCCACCCTGACAATGTTTATTTCAAAAACAACAAACCAGTCATTATGCTTTAAGAGGAGATTTTTGCCAGTGGCTTTTTAATCAGCTCAACCACACTATTCCTTGTTTTTTAAATACGCACTCATTGCATAACCTCGATGTTGGCCAGTCTATCCCATGATGGCTTTGAGAAAGGTACGAGTCACCCACATGGCTGGTAGCAGTCCATGGTCCTCCAGTGACAGAGTGTTGAGACTGCTAGAGGCTGGACTCAAGGCTAACTTCTCATCCACCAGGCTGGCGGCAGTCCATGGTCTTATATACCTCTTGGAGAGTTTCTCTAGTTATTACCATGTTGCAGGAGACAGAGGCCAGTGACAGAGTGTTGAGGCTGCTAGAGGCTGGACTCAAGGCTAACTTCTCATCCACCAGGCTGGCGGCAGTCCATGGTCTTCTGTACCTCTTGGAGAGCTTCTCTAGTTATTACGATGTTGCAGGAGACAGAGGCCAGTGACAGTGTTGAGGCTGCTAGAGGCTGGACTCAAGGCTAACTTCTCATCCACCAGGCTGGCAGCAGTTCATGGTCTTATGTACCTCTTGGAGAGTTTCTCTAGTTATTACGATGTTGCAGGAGACAGAGGCCAGTGACAGTGTTGAGGCTGCTAGAGGCTGGACTCAAGGCTAACTTCTCATCCACCAGGCTGGCAGCAGTTCATGGTCTTATGTACCTCTTGGAGAGTTTCTCTAGTTATTACGATGTTGCAGGAGACAGAGGCCAGTGACAGTGTTGAGGCTGCTAGAGGCTGGACTCAAGGCTAACTTCTCATCCACCAGGCTGGCAGCAGTTCATGGTCTTATGTACCTCTTGGAGAGCTTCTCTAGTTATTACGATGTTGCAGGAGACTGAGGCCAGTGACAGTGTTGAGGCTGCTAGAGGCTGGACTCAAGGCTAACTTCTCATCCACCAGGCTGGCAGCAGTTCATGGTCTTATGTACCTCTTGGAGAGTTTCTCTAGTTATTACGATGTTGCAGGAGACAGAGGCCAGTGACAGTGTTGAGGCTGCTAGAGGCTGGACTCAAGGCTAACTTCTCATCCACCAGGCTGGCGGCAGTCCATGGTCTTCTGTACCTCTTGGAGAGCTTCTCTAGTTATTACGATGTTGCAGGAGACAGAGGCCAGTGACAGTGTTGAGGCTGCTAGAGGCTGGACTCAAGGCTAACTTCTCATCCACCAGGCTGGCGGCAGTCCATGGTCTTCTGTACCTCTTGGAGAGCTTCTCTAGTTATTACGATGTTGCAGGAGACAGAGGCCAGTGACAGTGTTGAGGCTGCTAGAGGCTGGACTCAAGGCTAACTTCTCATCCACCAGGCTGGCGGCAGTCCATGGTCTTCTGTACCTCTTGGAGAGTTTCTCTAGTTATTACGATGTTGCAGGAGACAGAGGCCAGTGACAGTGTTGAGGCTGCTAGAGGCTGGACTCAAGGCTAACTTCTCATCCACCGGGCTGGCGGCAGTCCATGGTCTTCTGTACCTCTTGGAGAGTTTCTCTAGTTATTACGATGTTGCAGGAGACAGAGGCCAGTGACAGTGTTGAGGCTGCTAGAGGCTGGACTCAAGGCTAACTTCTCATCCACCAGGCTGGCGGCAGTCCATGGTCTTCTGTACCTCTTGGAGAGCTTCTCTAGTTATTACGATGTTGCAGGAGACAGAGGCCAGTGACAGTGTTGAGGCTGCTAGAGGCTGGACTCAAGGCTAACTTCTCATCCACCAGGCTGGCAGCAGTTCATGGTCTTATGTACCTCTTGGAGAGTTTCTCTAGTTATTACGATGTTGCAGGAGACAGAGGCCAGTGACAGAGTGTTGAGGCTGCTAGAGGCTGGACTCAAGGCTAACTTATCATCCACCGGGCTGGCAGCAGTTCATGGTCTTATGTACCTCTTGGAGAGCTTCTCTAGTTATTACCATGTTGCAGGAGACTGAGGCCAGTGACAGAGTGTTGAGGCTGCTAGAGGCTGGACTCAAGGCTAACTTCTCATCCACCGGGCTGGCAGCAGTTCATGGTCTTATGTACCTCTTGGAGAGCTTCTCTAGTTATTACCATGTTGCAGGAGACTGAGGCCAGTGACAGAGTGTTGAGGCTGCTAGAGGCTGGACTCAAGGCTAACTTCTCATCCACCAGGCTGGCAGCAGTTCATGGTCTTATGTACCTCTTGGAGAGCTTCATTCATGTAAAGGTACTCTACAATCAGTGTAGCAACCATTTTTGAAAACACTCAACATTGGATTCAATAATTATTTTGAATAGTTTCAACCTATCAAACACTCTTTGATAGATAAACTTCTTAATGTTAATGTACTTAATGTAGAATGAATAGCAAATTGATGATGTAGAGAATTTTAGTAAATATTTAAGTTGTGTTTTTTTTCTTTTTTTGATATTGTGAACTGCTTACCGTTCAAGTTTCTGATGGTATTTCTCACGAAGCTTTTCTTTGACAGAAATTGATTGAATGTAATGAACCAACTACAATTTGTGTCCATGTGAAGAAAAAGTACCCGTAGAAATATATTTAAGAGTGCTGCTATGAAATTTACATGGATATTTAACCCTCCCAGTGTTACTTGACGAAAATTCGGCAAGCACCACACTTTGTATAGTGTTACTTGCCGATTTTTCGGCAAGCAGACATCGTTTACGGCGAAGGCTCTATAACTGACTGAATCGGATTGAACTGGATCGAGTTAGGTATCGTTCTTTCCGTTACATTCTAAGCTGTCTCCAGATGTCTGTCTCAGCGCTGTATTTTTCTCCTAGCCGATCATAATTGATGCAGACAGCTGACGTTCGTGTTTCAGCCATCTTGGTTATTTTACGTCGGTGCCTTGTGTGTTTTAGTACGTTTATCGTCGTTTTTAGTGGTAAAAATGGACAGTAGTGATATTCGTAATGCACTAAGTGAAGATATAAGTGATGTAGAAGGATTTGTTGATGATCCCGAAGAAGTAGGCAGTGACATTGATGTGAATTATCCTTCAGATTCTGAACTATCTTTGCTAGACTTTTCGTCAGGGAGTGGAGAGGAATATGTGCCCGATTTGAACGATTTAGAGACGTCAGATATTGACGAAAATCTTGAAATTGAAAATGAACAAGACACTAATGCAGGTAGGCCTAGGCTAATACCGGTACAGCAAAACATAGAACCTTGGATTAGGGTGTATCCCCCCGAACCTCCGAAAGATGTCAGACCTCAGTTTCAAGTTAGGGCTACAGGACCCAAAGATTTACCCCCAAGAAATTCTTCCCCTATCAATTATTTGAACCTATTTTTGACTGCTGCCTTTTGGAGTATCATTACAAGAGAAACAAATGCCTATGCTCAAAGAACATTAGATGAAAAGAGAGATAATTTGAGTCCACATTCTAGGCTCAAAAGATGGTCCAATGTTTCCATACAGGAAATGAAAAAGTTTTTTGCTATTCTTATCAATATGGGAATGACTGTTAGAAAAAACATCAAATCATATTGGGACACTAGAAAAACAGAACATATAGCATTTTTTTCAAACACCATGGGGGTAAATAGGTTTTTACTCATAAGCAGTTTCTTGCATTTGACATCGGCCCGCGCTGTTGAGAGGGGTCAGCCTGGACATGACCATTGGATAAAAGTAAGGTGGTTGTTAGATCATCTCAATTCAAGTTTCAAAAAACACTTTGTACCAAATCAGGAACTCTCCATCGACGAAAGTGTAGTAGGAACAAAGAACCGATGCATATTTATTCAATATATGCCAAATAAGAAACATAAACAATACGGCATCAAGAAATTCGAACTTTGTGATAGTGCCACCAATTATGTTATGCACATGGAACTATACAGTGGACGTGATTACCTTGCTGAAGCTAATTACGATGAAGAGTTGTTTACCGAGAGGGTAGTAAAGAACTTGATTGAAAAATCTTCATTGTTTGACAAAGGATATCATGTCTTTACGGACAATTTTTATACAAAGATTCCGTTGGCTGAACACCTTCTTGAACGACAAACATTCATCACCGGAACCATAAACAAAAAGTCAAAATTTTTATCAAAAAGAATTAAAGACTATAACTTAGGAGAAAGGGAAACAGTATACTTTAGAAAGGGAAATCTGTTATTGGTTGGTTACCGTCAGAAACTGAGTAGAAAAATTGTGTATATGATTTCTACAGCATACCATGCGGAAGATCAAATTATTACAAGTAAAAAGGGACTGAGAGGCATGAAACCTGTTATGATACACCATTACAACCAGTTTATGGGTGGTGTAGATGTAAGCGACAAATCTGTGTACCATATGTCTTGCAACCGCACCACTTCCAAGTACTGGAAGAAGCTGTTCTTCAATTTTATTGATATTGCGCTCGTAAATGCTTACATTCTTTACAAAGAGAACACTGACAAACCTGTATCAAGAAGAGACTTCCACATATCTATTGTAGAATCCCTCGTAGGCGAAGAAATCTGCGATGCCTTACCTGGACCAGTTCCTGGACCTCGCGGGGATTGCGGTGACCACCGACTTGAAAAACTGCCTCGAAGAAGTGAAAGAAAGTGTATCGTTTGTAGTCACACCAAAACTAGAGGCAGGTCTTCATATTGGTGCCCCGGATGTAATGTGGGTGTTCACAAAGAGTGCTTCCACAAAATGCAGCACTTTTGGAGGCATAACAATGGCAGAAAAAGGGCCAGAGTGCCCCTAGACCAAGGTAGCGGAGAGGACTCTGATTAGGCCCATGTGTTAATTCTTCTGTATATAATATTTCTATTCATAAGTGTTAAGTTTTTATTTACAAGTGTTGAAAACTATTGACAGCAACAACTGTGCAAGTTTTTTGTCTGACTTTTGTGACTTTTTGTAAATATATTTTGGATACTTTGTAATTTATCAAGTTCAGCAAACGAATTCTTCAAGTTCGGCAAAGGATTCTGGCCCCAATCAAGGTAAAACCATGCTGTATTTTTCTCATTTACTAGTAGGCTGATTTTGTACTAACTGTAAATAAAATTTCATACAACATGAAATACTCTGGTTGGTTCAATATGTGTTTTTATGAAAGGTGTTGAGTCATTTGGCGATTTCGGTATTTTCTTTCAAACGCGCAAAACATGTTTTTCACTCATAACTTATTTATTTGATAACTTACCTCACTATATGATTATATATTTGTAATCCTCATTAAATTTAGAACAAAGTGGCTATTTTCAAATATTTATAGGCCTATAATTTATACAATTTCATTGAGCGGAAACTTTTTTTTTTTCAATTTTTCCAAAATAATTTTTTTTTTTTTACCTAAAAAATTTTTTTGAAACAAATATTCCATATGTTTTATGTATGATATTGAAGCCCATGATTTTCCAAACAAAATGGTATATAGAACATTAGAATTAACATTGTTATAAGCTTCTCAGATCCGTTTTAATAAAACCTTGCAAATGCGCCAAAAATAGGTGGACATTTCGGTATTTTCTTTCAAGCGCACAAAACATGTTTTTCACTCATAACTTATTTATTTGATAACTTACCTCACTAAATGATTATATATTTGTAATCCTCATTAAATTTAGAACAAAGTGGCTATTTTCAAATATTTATAGGCCTATAATTTATACAATTTCATTGAGCGCAAACTTTTTTTTTTTTTGAAAATTTTCAAAATTATATTTTTTTTACCTAAAATTTTTGGCCTAAACTATGGACACTCGGAGGGTTAATAAAAAATCCAAATTATGTTATGAATAATTTGACTAAATAAGAACTCCGAGATAAAAATTTTTTGACAGAGTAAATACATAATGTTTTCTAAAATAATCAAATTTTTACAACAAGGACTCATTAATCAATTACAGACTGAGGAAAACGTTAGTGAAACTCCCAGCAAAGTGCCAGATACAAGGCAAAGACTTCTATCCATGGCAAAAGAGTTTATCAACAAGCACTTTACTACCGAGTCTTCCACTCTGTAAGTACTTTCATAGCAATATTTGCCTAACTATTTCAGTTTTTCTCCAACTTAATGTTGTCCATTCATTTTTACAGAGAATACATTAAAGATAACAGAAAAAGTGCATTCCTAATAATTTGAAAATCAATTATAAAAAGTTTCAGTTTTCTTTTGAATTTAAAGTTTATATTTAGCGTACACAGATTGTGTGTATCACCAGCTGTATCTGTATATACAGTAATTTGTAATTGTCACCTCCATTCCTCCATACTCTATCTGACTGTTGTGTTACTTGTATAGACACAGTGAGGACAGCCAGCTAGTGGTGTATAGTCTGGTGTTTTATTTAATGGAACACTCACCAAATGATTTACCTTCAGAAGTACAGTCACATCTGCTACAACTGGTCATCTCCACATCCTCTGGAAGACAGATAGTTCTTTATCAGGCACTTATGCAGGTCAGTGTATGTCCAGTTTTAAATTCCCATCAGTTTTAATTCAAATGTTTTACTAAGAAATCTAGGAATTTTAGGACAAAAATATTGTCTTCAATTTAAAAATACATAGATTAAACTATCACTATCTCAGTCTCAGGTGCATAGTTAAGCAACCACTCCCCATTAGTGCAATATAGTCTTTTCATAGACAGTTCATACAGTAGACCTGGCTCAACCGAAATAATGATAACTGAAACCGCCTAATAAAAGAAAAACATTGAAATGCATCTTAGACAAAAGAAGTGAATGTGAAGTGACCTAACAAAGAGGGATGGCACAGGGTTTGGTGTTAAGGCCGTTGATTGCTTCACAGTGCAAACTACAAACACACTGGCCGCCTTACTATGAATTTGAAAAGTACATGCTTTAAGTAGGGTAATAAAAACATACTAATATTAATTTATTTTAAGAACAACTTCAGAAGTGAATTTGTAAACTTAAACAACCAGCAACATATCAACATAGCAACCAGAAAATCCACTGTCAATAGTATATTTCATGACAAGAGTAGAAAGTGAGTCATCACATATTTGAGACCATGTTAAGTGCGAGATTTATCGAGAACTTTAAAAGGTTGAGAATATGTATAGACCCACTTTCACTCGCGTTTTGAACGTTACTTTTCGCTACACTAAAAAGACTAATGGTTTTCTTGAAAATTAAAAAACTCATAGCATTTTCAGGTTAGGCCTATAGCTTCAATTTAAAGTTAACTAGTGGAACCCCGTCGAAATCGACGGTTAATCTTGAGGTTTTATGTAAATTCAGCTAACTGCAATAGATAGAGTGAAGTCATTAAAATCTTAGTTAAATGAAGGGAGGATAAGCAATAATAAGTATGACGATTGTGTTCCCTAAAAAACGTGATTGATGAATTCGTTTAACACAATATTTCCTACCTTTTTATCGGCTTTAGGTTGCCCAAAAGGTTTTTTAGGAGTCTTATAATTGTTTGTTCGTGAGTTTGTGAACAACATGTCTACTACATTGTTTTTAGTATAGTGAGGTTTAGATGCGTTGTTCGACCTAGCTACATGTGTACAGCAAAGTAAAAGACCCTACCCTATACACATTTTTTTAAATACCTGAATTGACATTAGTTCAACTACTTCACCAAAACCATAGATGAAACATACTCCGTAGTTAGTCTATTCCAAAACTTGAACACAGCTCTCATCCTCAACGTACTCATCTATGACACAATTTTCAACCCGATTATCGAAAACTTCTATACCAATAAATAATTTTCTGGTGTTCTTTCTTGAATTAAAAAATAAACGGTGATTGAAAGTAGGCAAAAAAGGCAAGTGCCAACCTTACAATATATATATGCTAACCCGATAAGGAATAATTATATATTCCTTCAAAATTGATATGTCACACTTATTTCATAATTTAAAATTTTCTAAGAGCAATAAAGCATAGATTTTTGAACAAAACATTTAAAACGTATAATAAATTCATCATTTTGTTGAAACTATAAAAAACTTGCCATGCAGTGGAGAATCAATTTCAAATAATGAATAATAATGTAAACATTTAATTTTGACAGTTTCAGTAGACCTTTGAAAACAATTTTAATATTAACAGCTGCGGGGGGCTAGTGACCTGGAAAACCTGGAAATGTCAGGGAATATTAAATATCTGGAAAAGTCAGGGAATTTTGTCATAAATCAGGGAAAATTGTAAAATGTTTAAAATAATTTTAATAATTGTTAGGAAAGGTCGATCTGGTGAGAGTACGTATGCCGTGTGGGTGAAAACTAAGAAATATGTCTGTACAAATAAATTTTGTATTTTTGTACAAATTAAATTTTGTTATAAACTGCAGATCATCTTATCAAACTCAGTTTAATTTTACTAAGGCAAGTTGCAAAGTTTGAATATAAGCTAGCCTGTATCTATAGATTTTATGTATTTTAGCGAATTTCCCCTATAGGGAATAAGCTATTACCGTAGTATTCATGGTAAGACCTGGACCCGGGACCGATTTGCTTTTACGTTTTAAGGTCCCTAGAGACCAAAAACACCATCCGTTCAAATTCATATATATATATATATATATATTTATATATGTGTCCGTTAGCGCGATAACTCAAGCATAAATCATCCGATTTTGATTAAATTTGGTACAAACGTGTAAACCTACGTTTATTTAAACGAGTTTGCGAACCAGCGTGATTGGACTATGGGAACAGGGGTTTATGGGGGGATTTATGGGGTAAAAATTGGTTTTTCCCTTGACCCAAACAAATTAAAATTTAGCAATTTCTTTCCAAACCGTTTTGTAGAGCTTAAAAAAACAAATAATTTAGTATATTGTAGCATTATAATGCGCCTAATGGTTACCGGGGAAAATTCCAAAAATCTGCAAATTTAAAATTCCCATGTTATTCTTATGGAGAATAAGTAAACTGTTGTAGTTTGCTTGTTTATGAACGTATTTTGATCAAATTTGGAAAATGCATTCACTTCATACTAAACTATTACATTTTACAAAATAATACCTTTTACCATCCCTGTTGCAGCAAAAAAAAAAAAAAAAAAAAAAAGAAATAATGAAAAACGGTCATTTATCCCAAGAATATAAACTAAAACAGAGAGTAGCTATACAACTAACAGTACAATATTTCTAAAATAAAATAAAATTGCCTTACTTATGGGATAGGCCTACATGGGCAGGTGCCTGTGCGTAGGCCTGGCTGTTATCAGTCTAGCAAATTGAGGGCACACACTAAAATTGGGAAGGTTTTTAAGCCTTGTTAATTAAACTTGATCGTTTAGCGGATAAGAGAATGTCGGCGACGACAACCAAAGCCAGTGCAATCTAAGACAGGAGACATTGTGAGGGCGAGGGGGGTCGAAGGGTCAAGGATTGTTTAGTCAGGGTCAAGTAAGGTTAGGTCTGATCAAAGTTTCGACCTCTTCATTGGTAATCGTGTGCAGTAAAACAAGCATCTGTTTTTTGAATTTCTGTATTGAGGGTAAACTAAAAATGTGTTGAATATTATATTTTTGAATTAGATTTCGATATAGAATCTGAGCAACATAAAAACAGTTGGTAGAACTGACTTATGTAGCTGAGGGACAGATATTCCAACATTGTGTGAATATCTTGTGTAGTGTTGATGTGTGACTGCTGTAAGGATCGTGTTTGAGTGTTTGAATGTGTGACTAAGAAGAAACTGAATGAAAATATGTCTGACTGGTAATACTCCCGTCTCACGGAATAGCGCATCAGTGGAGTACCTTTTATTTTTTCTAAAAGCTACTTTCAAAATTGATCTTTGGACCACATTCAAGGGTTCCAAGGTGGTGTGATAGCATGCTCCCCAGCAGATAATACCAAATGAAATCAATGATTGTACATAAGCGAAATAAGCTCTCTTTATGTCCTCCTCGTCCAAAATGACACTCAGTTGATTAAAAGCATATATGTATTTACGAATCTTTTTCTTTAAGAAATCTACTTGCTCTGACCACCTCATTCGGTAGTCAAAATAAACACCTAAATATTTGTAATAATCTACTTTTTCAATGTATTCACAATTACAAGATATACTGTTATGGTCGCCGCAACAATGAATCTTCAAATTGTCTAGACTATAATCAGTGCTTGTACTGAGTGATATCGGAAGAAATTTAGTCTTGTTCACATTAAGTGAGAGCACATTTTGATCTAGCCATTTTTTTAGAAGTGAGAGGTCACGGAGAGCTTTAGACCTGACATCCTCCCAAGAACGACCCTTTAACAAAACTAATGTGTCGTCAGCAAATAAAAATAGTTCACCATCCAGGTTCAGTTTTGAAATGTTATTTATATAGATTAGAAAAAGTATAGGCCCCAGAGTACTTCCCTGAATAACCCCATACTCAATTGAATTTGCATCACTATTCACACCACAAATGGAAACTACTTGATGTCTGTCAGATAAATAGTTTTTGAACCAGGCGAGAGCAGTGCCTCTGACACCGATCTGTTCCAATTTTGCTATCAACAAGTTTCTGTTAATTGAGTCGAATGCTTTTTTTAAATCTAAGAAAATTAACATAGAACGATTGTTATTTGCCATTGAGTTATTTATAGATTTACATACTTCAAAAAGTGCATCAGAGATGTTTTTATCTTTTCTAAACCCAAATTGTGAATTAGATAATATATTGTTATTATGAAGGTACTCCACCAACTGCTCCTTGACAATACGCTCTAAGACCTTGGAAAACACGCTTAACAATGAGATTGGTCTAAAGTTGTTACAGTCTTTTGGATCACCTGTTTTAAATAAAGGAATTACTTTTGCAGTTTTGAATTGAGCCGGGAATATACCAGTCAGGAGAGATAGATTAATTATGTGTAGCAGCGGAATGTAAATTATGAGTGCGTTTTGTTTAAGTAAATCAGCCGAAACTTCGTCCAGACCCGGAGCTGAGCCACCGCGCAGCTCGGAGATGTGTCGTAGTACGTCTTGTGCAGAAACAGTTTGCAATGTGAAAGTAGAGTCCAGTCTGTAGTCAGAGTCAACAACCACTGGGGTCCCACCCGCATCTATCTGCTTCGATAGATTTACTCCAACAGAAGCAAAGAATTTATTAAAATCATCTGCTATCTCGTGTTTTGCGGCTTGAGTATCATGAGACATGCTGGGAATAAATTTATCAATTGGAAATGAATTTTTATTACGTGGCCTGCCAGCAAGATCATTGATCAGTCCCCAAAACAATTTTGGGTTCCTATTGTTCTGGTACAATCTTTCTCTGTAAAAATCTCGTTTGGCTCTTTTTAATAGATAGCATAGGTTTTGTCTGTAATTCCTATAATAAGTTTGTAGATAATCATTAAAAACCTAAAGCACAATACAAACCTCAGCAACCTCAAGCAATCATCAGCAAACCTAAAGTACTCGTTAAACTAACCTACATCTCATTTTTGGTCTACCCAGTGTACAGTTTTGGTAGTTGAAAATTAAAACAGTTGACAAAACAATTACAAATCTTTGCTTGTTAACGTCAGCAAAGTAAAAAAGAAATAGTAAACATTACTTTCGCATAGTAACCATTTTTTGCCGTAGTAAAAAATGTAATGATGATTTTTTGCAGGTGATAAACCAGTAACAGAAACAGGTTTTTATTACACAATATTGTAGCGAAAAAGAATTTTATCATAATGGTTAAAATACAAAAATAGTAAAAAACACAACAGATTTACAATATCTGTGCTCTAGTACTAGATGGAATTTCACATCAGTCTGTCACTGACGTCTGAAGTGAAGTCTTTAAGAAAAAACAAAAATTAAAACTTGAACCTGGGAATTGCAGAAGATTTAAAAATTCATAAACAATCTACATAATATTTTAGACCTAAATTCTCAACAAAATTGTTTAATATCATGAACATGTTCTTCAGTTACTTTTTTGCATCACTTTAAAATTTGAAAACCCCTGGTAACCAGCTGAAGGGTTAATTTTTACTGTAGTCCAATAGTTTATTATGTTTTACAGGGAGTAAGTAGATTGGTGTTGGCCCAAGTGCCAGGGCTATTGGAGCCTGTTACGAGGCTAGCTATGGACAGACTCAACCAATCAGATCCTGCAGTGTCTCTGCTTGCTTTGAGGCTACTTCTCATCTGCATGTATAGTGGTATGTCTCCTCCTTTTTCTCATCTTTTTACAATGAGGATAGTATTTGTGTTGTCTTGTACTGTATTGTATTGTAATGTCGAAACGTAGTTATGCAAAACTTAACTGTTAAACTCTATTTAAACAGGTTTACACTAAATGCCACTAGAAAATTAATTTATTTAAATTTTTATGACGCTTTATTTGAGTAGGATGTCATAATGAAATTAGAGAAACTACCTGAATTTTATAAACTAGAAATAGTTAAATGAAACTAACAAAAATTTAGTATTTGAATTATGTTGTAGGAGATTACAGCAGAATGAGGGGACAAGAGGATTTTGTAGATCCTGAGCAGCTTGTGGCGACCATGGAGAAAACCTCTGCTTTGTTTGATAGGTAGGCTTACAGTAAACCTACATATCTTTCAAGCACAGGAGTAAGTTGACTTCTTGCATGGAAATAAACCTTAAAAAGTTTAAAAAATGCATGTAAAATCTAAAAATGTATAGTTGTATCCTCTTTCAATTCAATTAAATGAATTACATAGGTTATTAAATCATCTATTAAATCTACTGATATATCCTAACTCTCCTCTACTGTAAAGTACTTTACAACAGCGTCATCCAAAAACAAAACATATGTATTCATTTTCATTGTATATAATTGACAAAATCACTAATCTCTTTTCAATCAATTATTTTGTTTTAATGTAGTCAATCAAATTATGTGGGAAACAATTTTCAGAGTTAAAAAGGGAAGTCCTTCAGAGGTAGAATGTGTGTGTGCAGTTCTTCCGTACCTACTTGCTGACTTCTTCCCTGCTTCAGAAATGTTGACCAAAGTCATAGGAGAATTTCTTTCACCTCAGCAACCCAACCACAGACACCTATCTGCTGTTGTTTTTCAGGTTAGTATTTCAGTAACAAATGTATTGATAATTTTTATAATATCTATTCTCCTAAGAGGGTAGGTAAATTCTTGTACACTTTTGCATCATAGCAAAAAATCATTATTAGAAAGCAAAAATAAATTTTTTCATAACTTGATAATTTAAATAGGAGGAATAAGAGAGAATCAATATCTATATGGGCCCAAGTAAATTATATTATAGGTAAAAGCATAAAAGAAAGTATTGATTTTACAGTGATGAAATATTTAGGTAAAGAAAATACACCTCAGGAAATATGTAATAGTTTTGTTCAACATTATACTCAAGGTATAAATGAAGTAGTCCATGACTGTAATATAGTCACAAATTCAATGAAAAAATCCAGGAATAGACTGCATAAAAATAATCGATCTAATGAAAAAATCACAGGTGTTAACAGGTCCCTTGGTAAAATTTCCAATCCTGCAGTATCGGCAGTGGCATTACAACATATTAATTAAGGTGTTCTTGTTTCATTTAATCCCCGTAACACCTTTTTTTCAAACATTACAATTGCAAAGTGAATAAAAATAAAAAGTTCTAGTCTGATTGAGCAAAGCGAGGGAAGCTCTTATACTACACTCCTGCTTTTGATTTGCGAATTCCCCTCATGAACGGCTGAAGCAATCTACACAAAATTTAGCAGACATAGTAACCAACCATGGGAAGGTATTAATCTGAAATATAACAAATCAGACTTAATGGCTCTGTGGTCCGGTATTATTAACTTAAAAAAAAAATTTAATATGGGCCTTATGAGAAGATTGTTTGCCATTATGGTTTTGCAAAATACAAAAAAAGAAGTTTAAAACACAATAGTTGTTACATATGTTAATTAACAAGCCATTGAACTGTGCTCTCACAGGTATGCAGAGAGGACCAACTACCATTGCTACAGGCGTGGTTGGTCATGTCTCTACTGATACATTATGTTTTGTGTGTTGGCCAGGTGTTATCACAGGCATGCAGAGAGGACCAACTACCATTGCTACAGGTGTGGTTGGTCATGTCTCTACTGATACATTATGTTTTGTGTGTTGGCCAGGTGTTATCACAGGCATGCAGAGAGGACCAACTACCATTGCTACAGGCGTGGTTGGTCATGTCTCTACTGATACATTATGTTTTGTGTGTTGGCCAGGTGTTATCACAGGCATGCAGAGAGGACCAACTACCATTGCTACAGGCGTGGTTGGTCATGTCTCTACTGATACATTATGTTTTGTGTGTTGGCCAGGTGTTATCACAGGCATGCAGAGAGGACCAACTACCATTGCTACAGGTGTGGTTGGTCATGTCTCTACTGATACATTATGTTTTGTGTGTTGGCCAGGTGTTATCACAGGCATGCAGAGAGGACCAACTACCATTGCTACAGGCGTGGTTGGTCATGTCTCTATTGATACATTAAGTTTTCTGTGTTGGCCAGGTGTTATCACAGGCATGCAGAGAGGACCAACTACCATTGCTACAGGCGTGGTTGTCCATGTCTCTACTGATACATTATTTTTTCTTTGTTGGCCAGGTGTTATCACAGGCATGCAGAGAGGACCAACTACCATTGCTACAGGCGTGGTTGGTCATGTCTCTACTGATATATTATGTTTTCTGTGTTGGCCAGGTGATATCACAGGCATGCAGAGAGGACCAACTACCATTGCTACAGGCGTGGTTGGTCATGTCTCTACTGATACATTATGTTTTGTGTATTGGCCAGGTGTTATCACAGGCATGCAGAGAGGACCAACTACCATTGCTACAGGCGTGGTTGGTCATGTCTCTACTGATACATTATGTTTTCTGTGTTGGCCAGGTGATATCACAGGCATGCAGAGAGGACCAACTACCATTGCTACAGGCGTGGTTGGTCATGTCTCTACTGATACATTATGTTTTGTGTATTGGCCAGGTGTTATCACAGGCATGCAGAGAGGACCAACTACCATTGCTACAGGCGTGGTTGGTCATGTCTCTACTGATATATTATGTTTTCTGTGTTGTCCAGGTGTTATCACAGGCATGCAGAGAGGACCAACTACCATTGCTACAGGCGTGGTTGGTCATGTCTCTACTGATACATTATGTTTTCTGTGTTGGCCAGGTGATATCACAGGCATGCAGAGAGGACCAACTACCATTGCTACAGGCGTGGTTGGTCATGTCTCTACTGATACATTATGTTTTGTGTATTGGCCAGGTGTTATCACAGGCATGCAGAGAGGACCAACTACCATTGCTACAGGCGTGGTTGGTCATGTCTCTACTGATATATTATGTTTTCTGTGTTGTCCAGGTGTTATCACAGGCATGCAGAGAGGACCAACTACCATTGCTACAGGCGTGGTTGGTCATGTCTCTACTGATACATTATGTTTTGTGTAGATACATTATGTTTTGCGTATTGGCCAGGTGTTATCACAGGCATGCAGAGAGGACCAACTACCATTGCTACAGGCGTGGTTGGTCATGTCTCTACTGATACATTATGTTTTCTGTGTTGGCCAGGTGATATCACAGGCATGCAGAGAGGACCAACTACCATTGCTACAGGCGTGGTTGGTCATGTCTCTACTGATACATTATGTTTTGTGTATTGGCCAGGTGTTATCACAGGCATGCAGAGAGGACCAACTACCATTGCTACAGGCGTGGTTGGTCATGTCTCTTCATATCTTTACTCAGACTCTGCCTGTAGCCACATCCACTTGGTGCCTTGCCTGCTTCTTCATCAGTGCCTCCACTAACCCCTGGCTGAGAGCTATGTATCCTTTCTACAAGCCAGTTTTATGTTATTTTAGATTTCTAAAATCTCTTTAACCTTTTTTTGTAAGGTAAACTGCAAACTCAATTAGGCCTTTTTACCATCTCCACCTTTAACAACAAAACCAAGTAACCAGAAAAAGCCAAATAAAAACGATTAATACCAATCCAATTACGTGCCCCAGGTTCCCTAGTAATTATTATTATAACTTTTTTTCTAAATGGCATTTGTTTGGGCCCAAATTTGATGTTTGAGAACCTGTCATTTCAAACAACCGTTTCACAAAAGTAAGGACGACTTATTCGTTTTATTCAACTTCCAGTTTTGATTACATTTGGCATGAATATGAAAGGCTGGATCAGTGAATAGCTTAGATATTGACAAATCTTGTGCATTGTGCTTTGTAAGGACTACAAAGTGACAATGATGATGACCCTGTGATAGTGGGAGAAGTTCACGGGAGAGATATTCACAATTTTACCACGATGGCAGGTGACGACGATTATGTCCCTGTGATCGCTGGAGATGTGCAAGATTTTGTTGCGACTTACGGAGTGGGGACCAGGTAATTTGACCAAGGGCCGCATTATTTATTTTAACTCAAGCTATTAATATTTTAATAAAAAAACACACTTTTTTACCCTCGGGGTAGCAGCAAACCTAGGTACTAATGAAACCACATGTTATTGAAATAAATTGAATTTAAAATCAAATCAGGCAAACGGAAACTCACTTAATCTGCAGGTTTGCTGTGGCGGGGATATTTTGCCTATTCCATGAAATGCAGAGATGGCATCACAACCTGTAATTGCAAGGAAAATGAAAAGGTTGCTGCAGATCTCTGGAGAAAGTTGAGAAAACAAAACACTGAAAAGTTTTAATTATTTTATTTATTAAAGGCCGCCATTATAAAATGACCTTATCAAACTTAACCATTGACAACCTGGGCTGAGATATTGTGTTCAAGCACTTGTATGGCAAATTTCATTAAAATCGGTTCAGCACATATCCACAAAATATTGTCAAGCGTTCTTCCTTAATAGTATTTAATGAGGAAATTGTTTACAGAATACTTCACTTAACCCTAGCAGTGGCCAACCATCGTCTGGTGACGGTTTGACGTTGATGCTTAGAATGGCCAGCCGTCGTCTGGTGACGGTATGGGCCGAAATTATTTTAACGGTAAAAAAACACTTATAATCAACTCAGATGAGAATAATATATATACCATTCGAAAGATCACATTCTGAACTTTCGTTTTATTACATAAACGAACCCTGTAGCAGGTATATAACAATTCCACGACGATTAGAAATCAAATAAATTTTTGGAGCGGCACGACTTTAGCAGCTGACCCTTGGGAACTGGCAAAACACGTCTTGTTTGGCATTACCCTGCTCGGGTAATAATCGCCTTGGGATGTTGCGGGTGGTACCACTGGATAGCCATTGATTTTATCTTCATTGTGGTAGTGATATTTTAGAACTAAATATTGATTGGACAACCGGTACGATTTTATGAAAACAGCTGTTTTCGAAATTTATAACAAATGGCCAACCGTCGTCAGGTGACTGTATGGAAAATGCAAATTACATACAGTGTAAGTTATTATTACTAGTCATATAATATGTCATTTTGAAGAGGAAGAAATGTAGCTTGTTATAGTGGCAGCCCTGCGCTCAGGGTTATTTTTGGTTTCTCTCACTAAGACGACGAAAGTGTGTCACTACTGTCAAGATCTCACACACAAAGTGCCTTGTATTCGCCATTGCGTGTTGTTGCCGGTGAGTTTTCGCTCTCGTTTTATCCGCGATTGATTACTAAATTTGTTTTTATTTTGTATTTTTTGAGAAATGTGTATGTGTATATAACAGTAATCTTCATGTATTTTATTATGCATGAATATTTACTGAATGGTGTCAAGTTGTGTTAATAAAAGGTTGTATTTTTCTTTTGGTTGTATTTTGAGGTTTTCCGTTTATTTATATTATTATGCCCCTAGCACGTAAAAACAAAACTTTTTACCCAACATGTTATACATTTTTATGTACGTAATTGAATACACTACAAGATGTTTATGTTGGTTTGAAGTAAAAACATTTGGTACAAAAGTTTTATACTAAATACTATGATTTTTTCTCTCACAAAATCGCTAAAATACAAAAACATTATTTTATTTATAAATAAAAAATATTTTTACCATAAATTTATGACTTTTTTTGATTCCTTACTTCATTAGCTTTACACACATGTATATATCATTATTAGTATACACATATATTATATCACTTTTTACAACACAAACTAACACTGTACGGTTTTCAATTTTTTCGGTTCTCCGTTTGTTATTATATTTCGCCCCAAAAACTTATAAAAAAAAAATATTTTCCTAATATGTTATATTTTTCTATGTAGGGAATTAGATTGTCTACAAAATGTATATAATGAATTTCCCATAACAAATCCGCAGAAAAAAAATACCAAGGCCGCTTTTGAAATAAAAAAAAAATCAAATTCTTTTATTTTTTCACTTTACCGAAGAAATACACAATCATATTATATAAATCATAAATCATTATTATATTACTATTTCTAGATTCTCCTGTTCTTTCTGAACAAAATGAATATGAGGTTGGCTAGGTTTACTTGTACGGTTGAATTTTTACAAATTTTCAAAAAAAGGTCTGCAAAATCGCCCAAATGGGTTGGCCATTCCCCACTTCTAACATTGGCCACTGCTAGGGTTAAGCATGACCTGAGATTTTCACTTATAATGTTTCACTATACTTCTTTAACTGGCCACTAGATTCCCTCATGTTCAGTCACGGATGGGTAAGTTCACTTATGAAGACAGGAAGCTGCTTTGTATTGCTGCCTCAGACTTCTACAGACAGGTTTGTGGCGCTTCAAACAATTTGATTGCAAATTTCAATGTATTGTTTGTTTAGTCATATATGTAAATTATTTAAAGAAACATCTTGTAAATAATTTCCTTGTGGTGTTGATAGCAAACAAACATTTTTTTAATGTTTGTACTTTTGTGTTATTAGACTTTATTTAAATCGTTTTGGTGTTTGTTGACATATGATTGTATTTTCCAGCTGACTGATGATAAGCAAAAGGAAACATTCTATAGAACCTTTAAAGAAGCAGCATCAACTCCACGGAGCCCTTTTGCTGATGTGATTGCAAGTCTATAGTCAAAAAATTGCAACAGAGTCAAAATAACAGCTGAAAAAGTAAGTATACAATCTATATATATAAAGCTCAAATACCACTGACTCATTCACTCACTCATCACGAAACCTCAGAAACCATAAGACCTAGGAACCTGAAACTTGGCAGGCATCTTCCTTTTGGGTAGTAGACGCTCACTAAGAAAGGATTTTACCCTCCGACCTCTGGGCTCCGCCCCAGTGGCTCTGGAGTTTCCCATGTTAACCTTATGAGTACTTTTATTTAAATGGAATTAATGAATCTTAACAGCTGTTTCAATTAAACAAGTTGGTTCTGTTCCATGATGTTCAATAGCATTAAAGTTACAAGGATTACCAACAGGGTGCTGCACTATTATTTCTTTTACATTTATGACAACAGCTAATTTGCAACCAAAAGGTGAGTGAGCGTAGCGAACGAACTTCAACCTGGAGGCGAGTTAGCGTAGCGAGCGAGCTAACCTGAAGGCAAGTGAGCGCAGCGAACGAGCTCTAACCTAAAAGTGAGTGAGCCATACGAGCTCACTTATGAAGTTAAACGGCGCAAAGCCCGCGGGTACAGCTAGTTTATTATAAATTCAATCATATTTATGTTGGTTAAATTAAGTTGTAGTATCTTAAAACCTGTTATTACTTTAAAGTTATAATTCCTTAAAACGGATAATGAACTGGGAATTTTAACTGGCATAAAAACAATTTAATTGATTTTCAAACGGTTAACACCAGAATTGTAGCAACCTTTCTAAAAAACTGATATTCCTGAGAGCTGCCTTCAGGTAACAACCTGTCACCAGTTAACTTAAGTGTACATTGCCTACTATTTTGTATGATCAATATAGTAGCGGTGTCAATGCAGTCAATGTTAAAAAAACTACAGTCGTATCTATGTTTGTTCAAAGATATCTGACTTTGAATGAACATAGCTTTGAAATTTTAAAATTGAATAAACAAATTTGATATCTGAAAAGCCTTCTTCATTTCGGTTAACCAGGTTTTACTGTAGTATGTACAAAGAGTAAGAAATATGCAATTTTATTTGTAGCCTCAAAGAAGTTTTTACCCTTTTACCTCCAAATGCAGATATAAATGTTAAAAGAGTAACACAATCAAAATTCAATTTAGAAGTAACCTTGGAGTTAAATTAAAACTTTGCTTGGGCTTTTAGTTAAAGAGAGTTGTTATTGTGGTAGTTAGGTGTGGTCATTGGCCAAGCAGTCTGAGTGCTTGGACTGTTAGTTAACGAGTGTTGTTAGTAAGGTAGTTAGGCGTGGTCAGTGGCCAAGTAGTCTGAGTGACTGGGCTTTTAGTTAACAAGTGTTGTTAATGTGGTAGTTAGGTGTGGTCAGTGGCCAAGCAGTCTGAGTGCTTGGGCTTTTAGTTAACGAGTGTTAATAGTAAGGTAGTTAGGTGAGGTCAGTGGCCTAGCAGTCTGAGTGCTTTGGCTATTAGTTAACGAGTGTTGTTAGTGTGGTAGTTTGATGTGGTCAGTGGCCAAGCAGTCTGAGTGCTTGGGCTTTTAGTTAACGAGTGTTAATAGTAAGGTAGTTAGGTGAGGTCAGTGGCCTAGCAGTCTGAGTGCTTTGGCTATTAGTTAACGAGTGTTGTTAGTGTGGTAGTTTGATGTGGTCAGTGGCCAAGCAGTCTGAGTGCTTGGGCTATTAGTTAACGATTGTTGTTAGTGTGGTAGTTAGGCGTGGTCAGTGTGTGACGCATAGCGGCACGCTATATTTTATATATAGTAAGCGCATTTCGCAAAGCCGGGCTACATGGCCAGCTCGTAGCCTGCCGCGACTGCATCAACGCTCTATCCCCACCTTCCTACTCTTCTCCTCCTTCTTGTTCTTGATCTACGAGCCTTGGAAGAGAAAACTGTGAAATTGCTAACTCCGGCAACCGTAAACTGATAAGTTTATATTTAGTTATAATTATGTAGATATATAAGTTCCAATTATGGTTGGCTAAGTCAGGAAACAAGCGGGTAGCCCTTCTGGCTCACCCGACTATTGAAATGTAGGAAATCACAACTTAGTCGGTTGGCTGCAACGTTCTTAAACATGAAATATTAAACCACATGTTCCCAGAATGTAGCTTAGCAATTATCAATCAAATTCATACATATTTCACATTCAGTATTCAATTATATAGCATTTATTCACTCATCAATATTAGTAAGTAATTATCCATGTTCAGTTCATAGTTGGAAGGATAGGTCTACAGTTAAATATTTAGTTAAATTAGTGTAAATCAAAGCTGGCTAGGCAAGTGTTCTGATCTGGGTAAAAGGTCTCCGTCCCTCTGGTCCCCAGCAATCTTCCTAATTTTATTGGTAGCAGATTCAGCACGCTAATACTAAGTTTGGTCCAGACACAGATATTCCTAACCTATTAGCATTACCCTGTTTATTCCCTCCTGATTACCCGAATTCCAACAATGTACCCATCGCCCCCAGTTCATCCTTTGATTAATCCCCCCCCGGCTACAAGTGGCCAAGCAGTCTGAGTGCTTGGGCTTTTAGTTAACGAGTGTTGTTAGTGTGGTAGTTAGGTGTGGTCAGTGGCCAGGAGACGGCAATGAAGGTAGATTGATTTTATGAATTTCATCTCTGTCACCTGTCTGGCAGAGCTTGGTAGAAGAGACCTGTAGTAGTTGGGTGAATCCTTTGCGAGTTGTACCTCAAAAGAACCATTTTGTTACTTTTACTTTTCCTTACTGAGCGACACGCCAAAAACTTACTTTAAAATAATTTTAAATTTTCCTGTAGACATACTGTGATCAAATCATCAAATTACTAAAGAATCCAGGATTCAAATATGATAAAATAATATTTCGATACTAATTGGCAGTCAATGGGCCTTTTGGCCATCAGTTTTTTTGTTTTCAAACAACTGCTGATGTCTGTGTAATTTGTTTGATATTTCAGGGGTTGCAGCTTTAACACATTTTTAATGAAGACATACAAACCCAAGACTCACAGTGAAGAGTTAAATTCTCTTAATTTTACACTGGTAATGTTATGTAGAAATAATTTGTTATATTTTTATAAGTTATTATATACTGTTAATTAGTGTCAGGGTTAATTGTTGTATTGACTAGTGTGATACGTTAAACTACATTTGTTTTTATTAATGTATAAGTTGAATTTATCAGCCAGTACCTTAGTCATACGCTTTTTACAATCCAAGTCTAGCCAATGTATAGTTTTGTTTTATTTATATTTATATATAGTCATCAACAACCAAAGGTATATTACTTAAACTTGTCTACCTTAGACATTCCGATCTTTTTATCATTGCTTCCAGGAAAGTGTTAACTGCTAAGGTTGTATGGAAAGTGTTGATTAAGTGTTACTGTGGCTATTAATACAATCTGAATAGTTGGTTACCATCACGAATACTTGAACAGAACAAATATGTATCATAAACATAAACAAATGACTTTGCTGACCCGAATCCTATACTAATAGCATTAACATATGGTTTAGACAGTTCCATTTAAGCAATGTTAAATAATGTTTATTTTCGGGCCAGGAACGTCATTTGCTTATGTTTATGATCCATACCGGTTCTGTTCAATTATTCATGGTTACTGTAGAACACAGAAAAACCACCTCACTAAATATCAAATTGTTAGAGGAGTACAGTAAAAATTTAATTTTTCAATTAATTTTGTACTAAGAATTCATCTTTTAAATTAAGAAAATCCAAAATCTGTAATGTTAGGCCATAAAATAAAAATATTTTTCTAAAGGTTTTATTATCTGAACTCGGTGTGGTTTTCTCACAGAAATATATAATAATGGATATCACAAAAGCATTGAAAGAGTTTGTTATGGCATCTCCCTTAGTTATATTTCATGTCATTCTATGTAAATCCTAATGTTTAAAATTGTTGTCTAGCCTACAAGTTAAATATTTAGCTCTGTTCTTCCTTTAGTTAAGAAACAATCAATACAGACAGTGTTAGCACGATCTGTACATAACAAACAGAAACAAAGCCTACTATAATATAGCCTACAGGTAATGTAGGATTTGGTTTATGGTATAGGCCTAGTAAAAGGCCTAAAAAAATAGTCACTAGCCAATGAAACATGGTTGAATAAAAATTTAGATTTTAAGACATAATGAGGATTTTTGACTACAATACAAGGACTTAAATTTCTCATCGAAAAATCAAACCACAGAACACATTTTGAAAACCTGATACAGTTGCCGATTTGTTTTTTTAATCTTTATGACAATGCAATTTCTTCATAATATCCCTGATATAAATATATAACTTTTTCAGATTGATCCTTCTCCTTCCATGTTTGAAGTTCTTATGTAGGTATTTCCCCAAAATACCTATATTTAATAAATAAATACCTTTTAGAAAGTATTGGCTCAATATAATTAAACCATATTTTTGCTTTGAAAAAGTACATCCTCAGATATCCTGATAGTAAGAGAAAACCATTTAAAGTGTAACACAATTTTGTAATGTAACATGAGTATATCCAAGGCCGCACTAGATATGCAGGCCGTCCTGCTAATTGTGTGACGTCACAACTGTAGGCGGTCCCGCTGCCGCTACACACACAGGGGCTTATAAAGATTTATTGCAAAGAAATAAACCTACCACCACTTCTTTATTGTTCGATATTTACAATTTTATCATAAACGTTTGAATGGTTGTGGACGATTTTGTTAGTATACCACCGCGTTATGCCTACTGACCACACCGCATAGCGGGGAAGCGACCGCCTTCAGTTGTGACGTAGCGCCTGAAGTGGTGGGGGAGCAGCACGGCCCCTATATCTAAAGGAACCTTGGTATATCACATAATCTTTTTATTATATATTAGTTTTTCTTTCGATTACTTAAAGTAATATCCGTTACCTTATTACGATTTCTCGTACAATTTGTTACTCTGTTATGATTTTTTCAGTAACCTACAGTTATTATGTTATGTATGCTATCATGTTTGTAACATATTTAATATATTGAAAATAAAAGTGAGATGTAAGATAGTATTTTGACAAAATCACAGTTGTACCTAAATAAATTTTATCTAGTAAATTGGTGGATTCTCATTATTTCTTTCATATTCTCTTGTGTTTGAACCCTATCACATTTACTTTAGCCCCACATGTACAATTGTACATCTCCAAAACATTGCTTGGGAATGTTGTAATCGTTACCACAGAATGCGAGCTTTATTCTGGTGTAGGTTGGTACTAAAATTGCCCGTAAAATCCCGTCTGGCAATGCTTTTGTCCCGTTTTTGGAGATTTTCTCTATTCGAGCCATATTACAAAGACTCTGGTTATTGATCCAGGCAGTGCTGCTACCTTTGGGTGTTTCAGTGAATTACGTCCACTTTCGGGGTAACGCAGAACCATCACCACTGCTCTTTTGTGATTCGTCTTACTGAGATATTTCAATACCAATAGCGATCGCTGATTCAGTTAGCGCGTTGGGGCCTCACCGCCATTGGCGAGCGCCTGTTTAAAGGTTTTCAGCAGCGAACGTGTTAACTTACAAAACAAAAACACATACAATTCCAAGCCACAAAAGCCAATATGGCTTGTCTGCAGCAATTATTATAATTTTGTTATTTCACAGTGCTTATTTACAATCAGTCTTTGTTACACAATCAGTCTTTTGTTTCCCTTGTTTTTCTGTAAGAATTCAATAATATACCAAACCAATCATAGAATTTAAAGTAGTCAGATTTTAACAATTATTAATAAACAATGAATTAAGTAACAGTAATAAACAAATTTAAAGCTATTAAAAAAGTAACAATAATAAACATTTGAAACATTGAACAGTGAATAATCTATTAAAAAAGTAACAATAATAAACATTTGGAACAGTGAACAACAATGATGACTGTTATGACAACTATGTATGTAATGACAACTAGTTTTGTTATCTCCAAAACAAAAATGATATTCTCTCATTCTTTCTTACACTACAGTCAAACCATCTCAATCTCATAATGCCTAAGACTAGTAGAATGTCTCATTAAGTTCAAAGAGCAATCATGGCCGACACAAGTATACCTTGCTCAGTCTTCAAGCGCTCTACTCCGTGATGTGTGATCTATTTGATCCATGGTCTGTTTGCATCAGCAAAGACTGATCTCTAAACATTATGAAACAGTACTAACATTTTGCAACATGTTTTCTTCGCCTTTATATGTTAGATTTTGGTAAATAAATTGATTCTCCAACTCATCTAAACGGGCATAAAATGGCCTTTCACTATGCTAAAAATTTTTGTTCCGAAACAAATATATTTCCCATGTCCAAGGACCCAGAACTATGATCTGTTTCACAAGAAGAGGCAATTGACACTATAAATACTCCTAAAGTAAAATAAAACAAAGTACCATAGTGCTGATAAAATAGTTATTTGTGCAACTGGTGAGAAAAAGTGAGCAATTGACTCACTCGAGAGAAATCCTTACTCACGAGCCGTAGGCGAGTGAGGAATGGTTTCTCGAGTGAGGCAATTGTACTTTGAACTCGAGTTGCACATTATACTTTTCCTACAGTTACCATAAAACCATAATTTGTTACCATAATTTATGAAGAAACATAACCTATTTTTGCACAGTGAACTTTTAATATAACATTTAATGTGAAGTGACAAATACAACAGTACAACAGCTGACCAGCTGATTTACAGCCAGTGCTGCCAACGTATTCCCAATAAAAAAAAAGTAATCCCAATATTCAAAAAAGGTGATAAAAAAATGGTTTAAAATTATCGGCCTATTTCACTTGTTCCTATTTTTTCCAAAATATTTGAAGCAGTAATGTATAATCAATTAAATAATTACTTTGAAACAAATAACCTATTGTCAAACTCCCAATTCGGCTTTCGTCGAGGTAAATCCACGACCTCAGCAATTCTCACTTTAGTTGACCATTCTCTCGAAACTTTAGAAAAGAAGGAATCTGTGTCATTAGTTTTATGTGATTTAAGTAAAGCTTTTGACACGGTTCCTTTTGATATCCTAACTAACAAACTACGTTTTTATGGCATCACTAATGATGCCATGCTTCTAATTTCTTCGTATTTATGTAATAGACTTCAATTGGTATCAATTAAAAATAAATGTTCTAAAACTGAAAAAGTTGAAACCGGTGTTCCTCAGGGCTCTGTACTAGGGCCATTTTTCTTTAACGTCTACATTAATGATCTTCCTATAAATATAAATACACAATCTGTTATATATGCGGATGATACAACTTTACTCGCTAACCATTCTAATTTAACAACCCTGCGCTTAATTAGTCAAGAGGCTGAACATAGAGCATATGATTGGTTTTCTGCAAACAGACTATCTTGTAATTCTGACAAATCACAATATATAACAATCAGTCTTAAAACAGAGGTAAAATTTGAATCAGTTAAACTTTTAGGATTTAATTTGGATTCAAAATTAAATTGGTCATCACACATAAAATCTGTTTGTAACAAAATTTCAAGAGTGAGGTGCTTGCTGTGGAAACTTAAGGATTTTGTTAGTCAAGAATATTTAAGATTGGCGTATTTTGGACTCTTTCAATCGCACATACTATATGGTCTTATTTTGTGGGGCCACTCTCCACATATTAATGACATCCTTTTACTCCAGAAAAAGGCGGTTCGAAGCATTGCTGGAGAATGCTCAGATACACATTGTAAACCTCTTTTCATTAATTTCAGTATACCAACCATAGTAAAGTCAAAGTCAAAGTCATCTTTATTGTCACAAAACGTTTTTTTTATGCTCTGGCACAGCCAGACAAAACAGGTGACATTTTCAAACTATACTAAAATAAACTAGCTTATATTGGTAAAAATAAATACATAGTAGGTAACAAAACAAACAATTCACATTGATTTATCTTCAAGAAACTGACCAATACTATAATAATTCTTTTCCAATAAAAATTCAAAAATTTTTTCTTTAAAAGATTTTAATCCTATTATAGATTTGTAGTACCCAGGCAAATTGTTAAAAAATCTTTTACCCATATAAGAAGGTGTCCTTTCCACAAGATTTAATCTGTGTATAGGATATTGAAAATCTGTATGAAATCTAGTGTTATAATTGTGTCGATTATTTTCACTGTGGAGTTTTTCAAAATTTGATTTCACATACAATAAACATTTAAGAATATACAAATTAGGGACGGTTAGAATCTTTAGTTCTTTAAAAAGTTGTTTGCAAGAATGTTTTACGGGTTTAAAAGTCATAATTCTAAGTATTCTTTTTTGAAGTTTAAAAAGTTGATACGAATCAGATGTGACGCCCCAAAGCTCTATTCCTTACTGTAAAATTGACGAAAATAAAGCGTGATAAATCATTAGTCTAGTGTTTAAATCAACAACATTTCTTAAGATCAACATTTGAAAACATACTGAATTTAACTTTTTAGAGGTGTTATGAATGTGATTCTTCCAATTCAATAAACTATCTACATCAATTCCTAAAAATTTAGCTGTGTTGCTAAGATTTATTTTTTCATTATCAAAATAAACAAAGCCTTCAAGATCGTCCCTACACTGTGCAGTTTGAAATTTTACTATTTGTGTTTTAATGTGGTTCATTTTTAAACCGTTTACTTTAAACCATTTTGACAGATCTTGAAGAGCTTGATTCAAGGCTAAACTTAGTTCATGACTGTCTTTTGATTTAATGATGGCTGTCGTATCGTCAGCATATAACAACAAACTAGGTTTAACATTCTTAGGTAGATCATTTATGTACATCAAAAACAATAACGGTCCTAATATAGAGCCCTGAGGCACCCCCATAACAATCTTTTCCCATTCAGAAGCATACTTAATGTTTTCTTTAATAATAACTGTTCTTTGAAAGCGATCGTTTAAATATGATTTCAACCACAAAATAACTGATTCTGAGAATCTATAGGAGGATAATTTATCAAGAAGAATTTGATGGTGTACACTATCAAAGGCTTTGGTTAGATCACAGAACACGCCAATAGTGCTCTGTGACCCATCCAAGCTCTGTGTTATTGAATTTACAAAATGAGCCACAGTGGAAGTGGTACTTCGATTTTTCCTAAAACCAAACTGTTCATCAGCTAATAAGTTATTAGATTCCAGAAAATAGGACATTTGATTGAATGCAATTTTTTCAAATATCTTTGAAAAAGAAGGCAGGACAGAAACTTTATATATTCCAAATTCTAATATATACAAAGTCAAACTTAGATCAATTCTCTTTCCGAAAAGACGTACACAATCGCTATACAAGAGGTAGGGATAAAATAGATATATTGCAGCACAGATTGGCAAAAACCAAACATTCACATAAATTAAATTGTATAATGTTTTTTAATAAGCTGCCTGAAGAAGCAAAATTAGTTTCTTACAGTATTTTTAAAAATAAACTGTATGACTGGATTGTTAAAAATCCCTTTTACAAAATTGATGATTTTTTAAGTTGTGAAGTAAATATTAGATTTTGAAGAGTAAGTTGTAATAAAGCTTTTATTTTCATGTAAGTGGCTATTTAAATTTAGATATTTTGTACTGTAAGCACTGAATCACCTTGTAACTATGTATAACAATGACGTGTCCTATTTCTTTTATAAAGATCAATGGAAATAAATATTTCTTATTCTTATTCTTATTTCGCGCGCTACGACGTTGCCTGCATGTTACGTGCTCACTATTTCGTGCCTTCACGTTGCAAATCTGGAGTGAGACAAAGTAATTAGAGTGAGACAATGTTAACATTGTCTCACACTGATGAGCGAATTGGCCACTTTGCTTTCTCAAATCAGTGAGAGAACATGTACATTGTTAGGTAACTGTAGGAAAAAGTATATTTACACACATTATAAAAGATTCTAAGCTCTTGAAAGGATTTTGATTAAATAAGTATCACGTATAAGGTCAAAAGGAATATTAAAGATACATCAGACCACTGGTCATAGAATTTACGTTAACATTTCCAATGTTCTGTATTTTTCATCTCAGCAATCAAGCTATCTCCACATGGTTAAGCTCTTTACTGTTTGTTTAACCCTTACGAGAGTGACTCAATA